CAAAACAAAAATCACATTAACATAACATTATTATATAAAAGACTCGTCAAAGACCTTACGACCAATATAATGAACCCAAAAAAAAACAAATTCATTGATCTATGATAAATGCGAAATTAATTGAATTAAATACATGAAACATTTAAGAAAGAGACAACTCGGAACAATGTGGCTCCATGGCCGGGCATGCACCAGAATCATTTTACAATATTAAAACAAATCTATATAAATTATTTTTTATATTTGTATTAAATATTTACTGTTTGTTGTTTAAAAATTCATTTAAAACAATAAAATCCATTTTTTTGAATAAAAAAAACAAATAATAATCAATTTTTATACAACAGATAAAAAAACTAGATTAAATCTTTATTTTATATTATTTTAAAATAAAATTATTATATTGATTTATAATTATCATTATATTTTAATACTAAATATTTATCAATTTTTTATCAATGGTCTATTTAACGGGATTATTATAATTGTTTAACAATAATTTCTTATTATAATTAAAAGATTTTTTAAATTATTTCTATGAAATTTATGAATTTTGTTTTATATGTGCAACAAATTATAAACATTTTTTTAAAAGATTTTTTTTTGTTAAATTTATTTTGATAATATTATTAATGTTAATTAAATTTTAAATAAATATTTTTATTATTTATTTTGTTTTTTTGAATATTTTAAATTCATAAATGTTAAATTTTTAAAAGATTTCTAAAAAAACTTTTATAATAATTCTATTTATTTAATATATTAATTTATTAAGATTTTTTAGTTTCAATAAAAAAAATTGCCATTATTTGTGATTTATTTTCAATTATTTTTGAACAATTTGAACATTACTTAAGATTTATAAATTATTTTTGTTATTATATTATAAAATATATTTTTATTGTTAAATTTTTACAAATTCAAAAAATCTTTATATTCAAACAAAAATACAAAATATGATTTTATAAAATTCTAACTGATTTTATTGTTTTTAAAAAATTGTTTTTGAGAGTTTACAAAATTAATTTAAAAATCTTTTATATTCTTATTATTTTGATTTTGATTGTCAATTTTTTATCAATTTAAATATTTTTTACAAAAATCATAAAATTATCATTTATTATATTAAAAATAATTTTAAAAAATCTTTTAGAAACATTTTAAAAGATTTTTTTTGATTTTTATAATTCAATAAATCTTTTCAAACTTTTTTCAAAACATTTTATCAAATTTATATTATTTTTAATCACATTTTTATTACAACAAAACAAAATTATTAATTTATTAAATTGAAAATGTTTTATTTCATTTAGATTTTACATAAAATACATTATTTGATTAAATTAAATTACTTTATTATTATTATTTATATGAATCAAATTAATATATATATAATTTTGTTAAAATCTATCAATCTATATTTTGTTAAAATGTTATTATACATATAGTAATTTCGATTTTTTATTTATTATTAATCAAATAAAAAAATATCATTATTAACATTTTATTAAGATTTTTTAATATTATTGTAAAAAATAAATTTCAAATTAATTTTGATACAATTGATATCAATATGATTAACATTTTTAAAAATTTTGTTAATATTTTTGAAGATTTTAATCGTTTTTTAAAGAAATTAAAAATTTTAATATTATTTTTATATTTGTTTTTTAAATGAAGTTGTTAAATGAATTCAAGAATTGTATTTAAATTATATATTTTATTGATTTTTAGATTACAAAAATCTTGATTACAAATAATAATCAATTAATTAATATATAAAATCTGTTTTATATCTCAAATAATAATATAATTTTTATAATCAAATATTATATTATTTACAATAAAATTATTGAAAAACATTAATTTTATATTTTTTGATTAATTGTTAATAATTTTTTTTATTGATATATAATAATGATAATTATTAAAGCATTAATAAATATTTAATTGTTTTAAAAAAAAATTTTATTTATAAAAATTATATTTTATTTAAAAAATATATTTATTAATATTTTATATATTTTATCAACAAATTTCATATTTATTTATCATATAATAATTTGCAATCGATCAATATTATATTTCAATTATTTTATATTATTATTATAAATTTTATTATTAATTTATTTAACCATAATAATTATAACAAATATTTTATGTTTATAAACAAGTTTGTTAAATAAATCAATATAATTTTACAATATTTTGATTAAAATATTAAATATTAAAATATTATTATTATTGAGTATTTATATATTTACAATTGAAGATTTTTTAAACAGTTTATTATTAATCAAAATTAATTTTTTATTTTTAATTTTAATATAATATATTTTTCATATAAATATTATATGATTTTATTTTATTGTTTATCATTCTTAAATTGATAATTAAATAAAACATATAATTTATATTATTCAAATTATATTGTGATATTATTTGATAATTAATTTTAATATGAACAAATAATAAAATTCTTTTATTTCTTCTATAATAAATATTATAAATATTTTATCTCATCATATCATATTCAATTTAAATTTACAAAAATTTTAAAATTTTTTACAAGTTTTTATGCGTTTTGACTTTTTGTAAAAATATAATATTAAAAAAAAAATTATTTTGTTAAAATATACATAAAACATTTTATAATTAACATTATATTTTATTTTTTGATTTAAATTTGAAAAATAAAATTTTTATTTATTTATATTAAAATTATATTATATTTATTATATATTAGTTTAATTGTTGTTTCTTTCAATAATATATAAAAATTTTTAAAATTTTCAAACGTATCAATTGTTTCATATATTGTTTAAAATTATTACAAACATTTTATATTCATTTTATATTTTTTATTATTTAATTTGAATTTGCACAATTTAATATTGATTTTTTTAAATATTAATATAGATAATCCAAACTTGCTCAAATAAAAAACAACAAAATCAATAATATTTTCATTAAAAAAGATCGTTACAAAATTAAACATATTATTGATTAATATATTATTTATATTAAATATAATTAAATCTTTTATATACAATATTTTATTTTTTAATGCAATTATTCTATTGAAAAAAAATAAATTTATATTAATAATTTAAATATTTTTAATCTTATCATTAAATATAAAATATTGTTATAATTACATTATTATCTTATTCATTATTATTCGTTTTATCTTTTTTTATTTCATTTTTTCATTTATTGTATTTTTATTTTATTAATTTTATTAATATATTTATCTCTATAATATATTTAATTTACAAAAACATCATATTAAAATTTTATTATTTTATTATAAATCACTTATCAATCATCGTTATATTATCATTTAATGGAATACAGAACAGATTGCGAAATTAATTTTTATAAATAACTCTAGAATTTCTGCGATTGTGATATATATGCTTTACCCTAGTTCCCAGCCACTTTAAAGTGGTCGGACTTAGTCGATTCTGCCGCTTCAACAACAATCATCACCATACTAATGAATATCGATCGTCATATTGACGTTTTCATCGCGTTTTCATCCACTGCAGCATTAAATTTTTTTTAAATATTTTAAATAAAATTGAAAATTTTGTTTTTCAATAATAAAAAATTATATTAAAATCATTTTGATTTTTATTAAAAAAAATCAAAAAAATTTACATTTTATTTAAGAATAAAAACATAAATAAACATTTTTTTAAATATTTTTTTTCTCTGCTTATAAAACATTATTAACTTTTTTTAACAAATAAAAAAATAATCTGTTATAATTTATCGAACAAATATTAAAATTATCTTTATAATATTTTCAATAAAATTATTAATAATATATTGAGAAAATTTAAAAATAAAAAACAATAATAATTTATTCTTTTAAAAAAGATTTTATTATTGTCATTTTTCAAATCTTTTAATTAATTTTAATGCAATTTTGAAAAAATTAAAAAAAACCATTAAAAAAAATTTATAATTATAATAATTATAAATACATTTATTTCGAAATGTATTAATTTGTATTAAATAAAAATCATTTTTTAAAAAAATAATAGATGAAATAATTTGAAAATAATTAAATTAAATTAAATTAATATAATATATTTATATATAATTTAAAATATTATTTATAATTAAAATAATTCAATTCTGATTTTTTTTGACAAAAATAAAATAATATAAATAATATAAAATAAAAAATATATATTAGTATTGTTTCATTTACATTTATTATTATTAAATAATATAAAATTTTTAATTTTTTTAAAATTATATTTTACAATTATTCTAAAAAGTTTTCAAAACTTTATAAAACGTATAATAATTAAAAATAATTAAAATTTGTAATTAAAAAAATTAACAAAATATTTTATATTTATATTAAAATATTAAAATAAATATAATTGTTTAATCAGTAATTGAAAATAATTATTTTATTTAAAAAAAACAAAATTATTATTAAGATTTTTTTAAAATAACAATTTAGAATTTTTATAATTTAATCAATTTAATAATAATATAATTAAATAATTTGAATAATAAAATTAACATTTACATATCTTTTTTATATAATAATTCAATTAATTAACCATTTAAAAAATCAAATAATTAATTTTTTTTAATCAATAAACATTTTTTTATTATATCTATATCTGCTTTTACATTTAAATTATAATATATCCAAAATCATTCTAACATATCTAATATCTCTAATTAAAAAAGTCAAATGCCCAAATAAGAATCCATCCTTTGCAGGGCTTCCCCTTACACTAACATTAATTTTTTTTAGTTTATAGTATTCAATATATTAAACCAATTTTAGATATATTATAATTCGAAATCTAGTGGAAAAGTAAATATAAGCATAATAAAATAGTTTTAGATTAGAAAGGATTTATTATTTAATCTTTAGAATAGTTAATTGATCAAATCACTATATAAAGAGAGATATTCTATATAATTGATTGCTAGTCTTACTATTTGAGCTGTTTATCATGTTATTGCTAAACTGGCCAAGATGTAGGACTCTTGGAGGCTTTGGCTCCGCTGTTCCGAAGGCCTCCGGTGACAGTGACATATATACTTTCTATCTAATATATTAAGTATGTATTATAGAATATAGCTCAAGTTTCGATCCTCCTATACAATGTTCTATCAAACGGAACGCTTAGGGCTATCTCTATAATCAAGGAATTCTCGATCACAAATAATTAGAGCAGTTACCATCTTTAGGCTGACATTGACCTTTTCCAGCTTGTTATCATTGAATGTGCGGAGTCAATAAAACGCTGCAACTATGAAGTGTTCGCCCAGTCAATTTCCATCATATCGCCGCCTTCTGTCTCGTTCCAGTTGCCTGCCTTGACATGTTCGCCGTCTGAAGGCGTCGACAACGTACCACGGGACACACCAGTAAATGGGGATACCTGCGCTTTTTGCCTGGCCCTAGCCCGTTCCCTAGTCTCAACCAGTGCTCTTCTAACATTGCTATTTTTGCTCGGCTCCAGCAGGGACACGGGCTCTCGATAGAGGACCAGCTCGTTGCAACTATTCTTGCTATCCGCGAGCATCAGCCTGGGTACGGTTGCCCATGTCTCCTCAATCCCGGGTAGAAAAACGACCGAATTACCCGGCAAATCCACCTCTGCAAGTTCTCGATCGAGGTCCTGGACGTAGATCTTGTCCTTTTGATCATCCAGCAGCATCACGTCAGGTGACCCCGGCGTTTCCTGACTTGTGCTCGGCGTCAATGTATGATCATGATGGTGGTGGTGGTGGTGGTTATAAAGTGCTACAGGATCTGAAAAGGGTAACAACGTTAGGGTACAGGCCACTGCAGCTAGATGTAGATGTCGAGAGATATTTTACCTATGTAAAGGTCGTTGAACCTTTTTGCCAGAGGCCGATCTCCGTCAGGGTCACTCTCGGCGGGGCGCTTTCTGCCGTGAAGAATTCCCGTACCATCATGCTGCGCCGCCATCTACCACAATCAGCTGGACCGACCAATGGGCAAAAATATCCAGCAAGCCTTGCACATGAATAACTAGACTTAAATATCGGGTCCCAAGAACAGAATACAATTGCATGCAATTGAAGGCATTGCCGAGGGGGGTTGCTTGATGCGAGCCCCTAGAATACTGAGAAATGGGGAACTGGGTTTGACTCATCTGCTGTCGCCCTTTAGGTCAAACCCCAGAACATTCTACCATCTTCACACTCCCCCACTTCCAGCCATTTTGCCCGCCAAAAAACGCCCACCCTTCGCCAAAATGAGCTCCCAAATCCCGGGAGAGCCAGAATGGACTGCGCGGAGCGTACGGGATGCGTTTATCAAATATTTCAAGGATAATGGCCACACCTTTGGTTTGCGACCCCTCATGCGATGGTCTTGCTGATTGTCGCCACTAACACTGTTGCGCGCGCAGTTGCCTCGTCGCCAGTTGTTCCGCTGTCCGATCCCACCTTGCTATTTACCAATGCAGGAATGAACCAATTCAAATCAATCTTTCTAGGCACCGTGGACCCAAACTCGGACTTTGCGACCTTGAAGAGTGCGGTCAATTCTCAAAAGGTTGTCTCCACCCCCTCTATCACCAATCCTTCACTAACTAGGTTTGAAAGTGTATCCGGGCTGGCGGAAAGCATAACGTGAGTAGACAATATATTAGGGAACATGTTCGGGGAGAGCTACTAATGCCCCTACAGGACTTAGACGATGTTGGGAAAGATAGTTATCACCATGTAGGTTGACTACCCCGAGAACTGAATGATGCGAAAAGGCACAACGGAGCAGAATGAAGCTTACACCGAGCAGACCTTCTTTGAAATGCTCGGCAACTGGAGTTTTGGTGATTATTTCAAACAAGAAGCTATCCGGTATTCCTGGGAGCTTCTGACTAAAGTCTACGGCCTGGATCCTGAACGTCTTTATGTGACCTATTTCGAAGGGTGCAAGGATGGCGGACTTGAACCAGACTTGGAAGCCAAGGCTCTCTGGAGATCTGTCGGCGTCCCTGAAGATCATATTCTTCCTGGAAACATGAAGGATAACTTTTGGGAAATGGGCGACCAAGGCCCCTGCGGACCCTGCAGTGAAATACACTTTGACAGGATTGGTGGTCGTAACGCCGCCCACCTTGTTAACCAGGACGATCCCAACGTCATTGAAATTTGGAACAATGTCTTCATCCAGTACAACCGCGAAAGTGATCGCTCTTTGAAGCCCCTGCCAAACAAGCACATTGATACTGGAATGGGATATGAAAGGCTTGTCTCGATTTTGCAAAACAAATCATCAAACTACGACACCGATGTGTTTACTCCCCTGTTCCAGGTCATCAAGGACATAACGGGAGCCCCGGAATACCAAGGGCGGTTTGGTGCCGAAGATTCCGATGGAATCGATACGGCATATCGCGTTGTGGCGGACCATGTCCGTACCTTGACGTTCGCTATATCCGATGGCGTAACTCCAAACAACGAAGGTCGTGGTTACGTCATTCGCCGAGTTCTTCGCAGGGGAGCCCGTTTTGCTCGAAAGTATTTCGGAGTTGAGATTGGTAACTTTTTTTCCAAAATTGTCCCCACTGTCGTTAATCAGCTTGGTGATATGTTTCCGGAGTTGAGAACAAAGCAGCACGATGTCATGGAAATCCTTGACGAGGAGGAGATATCCTTCTCTAAAACATTGGATCGTGGTGAACGACAATTTGAGAATTATGCCAATCAAGCCAAGGCCAAAGGGGTTCCCAAACTCCACGGCGCTGATGTTTGGAGGCTGTATGACACTTTTGGATTCCCGGTTGACTTGACTCGCCTCATGGCAGAAGAGCGTGGATTGGAGATTGATGATGGCGAATTCGAGGAGGCTCGCTCAAGAGCTAAAGAGGCCAGTAAAGGCCAGAAGAAGACCGCCGCAGATGCCGTTAAGCTTGATGTCCACGATCTTGGAGAGCTGGAAAAAATGCACAATGTTCCCAAGACCAACGATGCCGCGAAGTTCGATAAGGGCAATATCAATGCCCAGATCAAGGCAATTTACTACGCCAAATCGTTCCATTCATCCACTGAGAATGTTCCCCACGGGGACCAACTTGGGGTTATCCTTGACCGCACAAATTTCTATGCTGAACAAGGTGGCCAGGAAAACGACACCGGCAGAATCGTCATTGATGGACAAGCTGAATTAGAGGTTGGTGATGTTCAGCTTTATGGAGGATATGTTCTTCATACTGGCTTTATCAAATATGGTTCTTTCGCTGTTGGCGATTCCGTTCTTTGTGAGTATGATGAGCTTCGCCGGTGGCCAATCAGAAACAATCACACCGGAACGCACATTTTGAACTTTGCACTAAAGGAAGTCCTCGGTGATGGCATCGAACAGAGAGGTTCTCTTGTTGCTGCCGAAAAACTTCGTTTTGACTTCTCCCATAAGTCTGCTGTTACAGAAAAAGAGCTGGAAAAGATTGAGGAACTTTCTACAGAATACATCAGGCAAAACTGTGCTGTTTACTCGCAAGAAATTCCTCTTGCCACCGCACGCCAAATCTCGGGAGTCAGGGCTGTTTTTGGAGAAACCTACCCTGATCCAGTTCGTGTTGTTTCAGTTGGTGTTGAATTGGACGAGATACTGAAGCAAGTGAACGACCCTCGCTGGGAAAAGGTCAGCATTGAGTTTTGTGGCGGCACACATGTGCTCAAAACCGGGGATATAAAGGACCTTATCATTTTGGAGGAAAGTGGCATCGCGAAAGGAATCCGCAGGATCATCGCAGTGACGGGTGAAGATGCCCATCATGTCCAGCGTGTTGCCAGCGATTTCGAACAGCGTCTAGACCACCTGCAATCGATGCCTCTAAGCCCAGCGAAAGAGCAGGAGGCTAAGCAGATCCAAGTGGATCTAAATCAGCTACTTATTTCTGCGGTGCAGAAGACGAAATTCCGGGAGCGGTTTACGAGTATTAATAAGCAGATTATTGATGCACAGAAGGCACAACAGAAGTTGGAGTCAAAGAAGGCCGTTGATACGATTACCGCCTTTTTCCAAGCCCCAGAGAACCAAGATAAATCATGGCTTGTCACCAGACTTCCCATTTCTGCCAATGCCAAGGCTGTCAGTGAATCTTTGAGCCATGTCAAGTCGAAATTGAAGGACAAGGCAGTGTATGTGTTGGCCGCGGATGGTGATCAGGGTCGTGTCGCTCATGGCTGCTATGTCTCAAAGGTGTGTACCTCTCCTAGTGCGAATTCTCTTGGAAGAATTCTAAAGACAAAGAATGAACGGATGTTGACATTATCGACAGCCAATGGATGATCAAGGTGCTTCTGCCAGTGAGTGGGCCAGTATCGTTGCCGGTGTGGTAGGTGGTAAAGCCGGAGGAAAAGGCTCTACTTCAATCGGAAATGGTCTTCACCCCGACAAGGTTGACGAGGCCATAAACCTGGCGTCCGACTACCTCCAGAAGTTTAAGCTGTAGGCTTAGGGCTCCTGTCCGCACCAAAGCGAAAGGCAATCCGAGATCCTGATGTTGTGCCAGATGGGACAGAATTTGTACTTGCTTTTCCTTTCTAAATAGCTGCCAAGACAAGACAAGATGGATATCTGCAAATCACATTTCCCCACATTGTGAAATAACCACATCCTGATTTGGTTTATCTCTTATTGTGCGTGTATGTTCTATCATTCGCACAATGTCCATTCCGTCAATGACTTGCCCAAAAACCACATGCTTGTTATTCAAGAAAGGAGTAGCCGTTGTCGTTATAAAAAATTGACAGCCGTTAGTATCAGGGCCTGAGTTCTAAGTTTTTTTTTATCTCTTTTAGCAGAGGACTTGGGGGATTATATCTTTGGTCAGCGACTTACTGCCATGCTCAGTAACCCGGGACGGTCATGCTTCAGGACAAAGTTCTCATCAGGAAACCGGGGCGTGTTGTAGATAGAACAGCATCCTGTGCCATCGCCATTAATAAAGTCACCACCCTGTATCATGAAGTCTTTGATCTTTTGAACGCTGGGTCAGCTTCCTGAGCAACAATTAGGCCAAGAGTTGAGGGTTCTCTCCAAGCTTACAACTCGGTGGAATTTGCTGTTTTTGTAGCCCTGCGGCCTTCCATGAGAGTTTTTGCTTTCACCCGTGCAAAATTGGCGAAAGTTTTCCGCCGTCCGAGGGGTGGTATCGGCGAATAATTCTATCCTAATGCGACCAAGAGGTTCCCCTAGTGAAGTGTTATTTATCTTGGGTAGATGGCAACGGTGTTGTGGTAAAGCTTACCACCCAGCGTGATGTCGAAAAAAACGACAGGATTGGGGTTCCGCGGCTGACTGAGGGGCAATTGCTCCATGATTTCCGTTAGGACATCGAGATATACCTAGTTCGAAATACCGATCGATTGCTTGCATGGAGCCGTTGAAGCTTCGCAGTTCGCAGAGAGGCCCGGCGAGGGGAGCTGTTGGCCCCACTATGAACGACGGGCGGCGCAAAGTCTAATGCAATGCTTTTACTTCTTTACATACGAAGGGAAATCAGTACCTAGCTAGATTGAACAGCTGCTTTCTACTTACCCTCCTGACGGCAAAACTTTTCTCAGATGGCGTTACACGATCTCTTTCACCCCAAACGGACATCAACAGGCTCTTACAGCTGCCCTCGTCCTTTCCGTATGCAGGAAACAGATAACTTAAGAATTACTATTGTCTAACTTCCAGCCATCGACTATTACCATCGCAGAAAGCTGCCCTTTAACTGTATGTACATCGCGTCACCTACTGATTACCGCGGAGTATTGATCTCAACCATGGCAGCATGCTAGGAGCCACCTAGGGCTTTCTGATTGAAAAGGTTTAGGTCTTTGAGCTGCACTGTAACTCGACTCCAGCTTCCCGACGCCGGATTGTACTCGCCCTGTACTTCAACCCTGCAAAATCCCTTTGGACCCTGAAGACCAACCGGCCCAGAAAAGTAAAAGATCCCACGAGGAGGCGTGTACCGTTCTCGAGCTAAGCAATCTCGTAACCGCAATTGGAAAGCCACCCTCGCAGCGAATAGATCCGAGCCGGGCTCAAACTTTGGCAGTGGCAGCATCTGTAATGCGGCGATAAGGAAAGAAGAGTGCAGACGAGACTCCGTATTGTCTTGCGGTGTTCCTTCACGAGGAACTTTCGATGTAGGTGAGCCCCGAGCCTGAGTTGTACGATCCAGTGCCTCCAAAGAGTTAACATCACGCGGGAATTCTTGCTTTTGAGATGGAGCAACCGTTGCTTTTTGCTGTTGTTCCTGACCTAAGCGTGTCATGCCAAGCCGAGTGGCCTGCCTCTTCAACAAAACCATAAAAGCATCTTTGATAGCAATTGCCACGTAAATTGGCCGGGCACATCTAACTATCCGGTCCCCGTGCTCTTCAGACAAAGGTTTCGAGGTCCAGGAGACACCGTAGTCGGTTATTTCAACCCTAAATGGTGTAAGCAGATGGTATTATACGGTTCTTTCATACCACTTACCCAGAACGAGTGTAGGTAGGAGGGGCCCGAGATGGAAACCAATGTACAAGCCAAAGTTTTGTTACTGTCAAGGGACCTCCGAGAAGGCGCGAGAGTAGACGGGACCGACTTGCATTCGTTAACGCAATCGATGCCAGTTCATCTGAACGAGTGAGTACGTGCCACATAGACAGCCATATGATATATCATACCTCTCAGAGACTGAAGCTTTGTGGGATCTCGAGAAATCCTGACAAATTCCTGCCATTCCGGGTCCGATGCTGAATAGAGCTCTCCTTTGTGAATCTGGGGCCAGCCCAGTGGGACAAAGATTTTATCTGACTCAACTGACTGTTGAGTATTGGCATTAGACCCGGTGGCGCTCTTTTCTTCGCCTCCGCTTGCCTTCTCAATAAGAGGCTCCTGTGTCTCATCGTCCTCGTCATCGAACTGGAGGAGTACGAGTGAACTCCATAGATGGAATGCCACTCCGAAAAGAAAGCATTTCTTGACAAATGATCTGTCCTCTGTATTAGATTAGAGCAAGCGCAAATGATAGCATGGCACTAACCGGACCCACGGTCTCTGAAGCTTTACATGGCGGACCCTAAAGAGACTGCGCTCAGGCGATGGTGGGCTAAGCCGGGATACCACTCGGCTAGCTGGAAATACTCGCCTTAGACGAAACATTGAGAAATGTCATTTGAAGGGATTGTTCGGGTACAAAACATATCCGGTCAGCTTGGATAAGACATTTAACAGTAATGGTAACGATCGTACCGCTCGGGGGGAGGTTGAAAGGCTGCCAGGGACTAATATATCAGTACTCCGTACCTAGTAGCGCCGCACGTGATACGGCATCCGACTACGTGCCGCGCCTCAGATGTTACCACTCAACACTTTGGAACCTGAAGGTTATCGGCCTCCGGAATAGCAAGCTTCAGACGGCTGCTTCTTGATATCAAAAAAAAAAATCGAACATCGTACTTTTTCATTTGTTCCAACATGCAGCAGCTCTTCAATATCTTAGCTTTGTCAGTGGCAATCGTGTCTGGGACCCGGACACCGGAGGCTTTAGTTCTTACATTCGGTGATACCCATCTGCCGCACAATCTCAAAGCTTCAGGCGTTTCAGACAATGTGGTGCAGCGTATTATAGATCTCCGGATGGGATCGGAGATCTCCCTAACTTTGGGAGGAGCAGATCAAGATACAATCGAAATGTTGAACGACCTTGGGGGAACGCCGGCCCCTCTGTTCGGTCTTACCTCCGAACTCGATAATCCAGCTCGAGATCTCCTTGTTCTTGAAGGGGTAGAACCTAAAATTGGTATGTTTTAATCATTGTTACATAGCTATCGCCAAAGACATACTCATTATGGAAAGCTTCAATCATTGAAAATGAATTTCAACGCAACTTGCTGGCGCGAGTCTCCTCTGACGACCTACTGCCCCATTTATCTGCTTTCACGTCGGCCGCAAAAGAACCGGTCGGCTTGTACACGACTCAAACGAGACATTGCGAGCTCCATATTGACAATGGTGTTCCATCGGATCTACAACAGGTAGGTTCCCGACTCCTTGCGACAGCAATACCAGAGGCATCTGAAAGCTAACTCCTCTATAATGCAGCCCGGGAAGCGTTGCATTTCCGAGGGCTCTGTATTCGAGGTGTCACCCCATATCTTTAATTCGGCGTTGCTTAGCCGAGCTAGTAAGGTGGAGTCATGGATTGACGAGCGGACTTCGGCCACAACCCTCAAAACCTCTCTACAGGTAATCGAAAGCCTTTCATCTTCCGATCGAGTCGGTTTTAACATCATTCGCAGTCTTTTAAGGAACATGAAAGCTCAACCCCCACCGCCGAACTACTACAATCTGCTCTGTATGCCCTGAAGGCCTCTTCGGGGAACAGGCTGGTTACAGCTGTATTTCTGCCTCATCCCAGCACGCATAGGGATAATATGGCCTTGGAACCCCGGGCAGTGGAGAAACAGGGCACACTGCCGAGAACAACTCTACCAACAGCTGACGCCATGCTTCAATCTAACCTGCTACCCGTGGCACCAGTTTGTTATGCATCAAACTCCTCGTGCAATGAGCTGACAAAGACCTGTTCAGGTCATGGCTATTGCTATAGGAAATTTGGATCATCTGGCCAAGCCGCTGCCAGCGACTGCTATGCCTGTAAATGTCAAGAAACAATACTTAGGAAAGACGATGGTACCATCCAGAAAATAAGATGGGGGGGATCAGCATGCCACAAGAGGGATATCAGCTCTCCATTCTTTCTTATAGCCGGAATTACTGTCTTGGTCCTGATGGCCACAGGCGCTGCTGTTGGAATGCTATATCAAATCGGGCAGGAACAATTACCAGGCGTCATAAGCGCTGGCGTCGGCACAGCCAGAACACAGAAATGAAAAGCAATCCAGGCCGAGGGCCGAGGGTGGGAACTTCCATGTTGCATTGCTTTTTAACATGTAGCCGTTATTTTTCCCTGGGCCCAAAAAATTTAGTAGATGCAAGTATGTATATCAGACCGTGCGCAATGTTATCTTTTCAACAAATGCAAAGTGAGGCTTAACACCTTGCACAACTACTCCCCTACTCGGCTCCGGCACCCCGATCCTCTGTCAAGCTAGGTAACTTGAAAGTGAACTTGAACAATATGCTGGCTGGACAAGACCGGAATAGCGCCCCCGGCCAATACATCGATACTCCTTAAGGTACGAGGTACCCGTCCTGTGAAGATGCTTCCAAGTAGGTAGATAGGTATCCGACAGCTGGAATTGCGGTGACGTAAAGCGATGCAGCCCTGGCATTACATCATTTTACTGCTGACTTGCGACTTGCGAGATAGACCCGTCCTTCCCCTTCTACCTATCTACAAGCTAGGTACCTGTCTGCCCAGATAAAAAGTATGCTTCTCCAGCCAGCAATGGCCTTACCTCCGAAGTTTGCAGGCCAGAGATTGTTGGTGCCATCGGCCCAATCACCACAGCGCACGCTAGAATTGTGTATGTTTCCCGGGAATCCCAGTCGAATCAACACACATCTAGAAACAACCGACCCTGGGTGAATAAAAGACCTTGATTATGTGTGCCCGGTCAGTGTACAATTAATTTAGTTCCCTATCTTGCATGGGAAGTGGCGTACTCATGTGCTATTCAGTTTCCTGCCAAGTTATTCAATACCTTTTACACCTCAGCTAGACCAATGATTGTTGAGCGACATCAAGTCTAAATTGCAAGTTATTTTGCGACAGCATATTCCGCCCTGGCACCCGTCGTCCACCCTCACACATGAAGCTGCCGCTGCTGTCCTGTGAATCGCACCGGATAAGCTTTGGGATTTCAGTGCCGCTCTATACAAACGCCAGGAGAAATTCTTTGACGTTAGTGTCCCCAGCGAAACACGCAATGCAACGTACAAAAAATTGTCCACGATTGCGGGGAGTGTTGGTGTAGATGAAAACAAAGTACTTGGATTATTGGCTATCAGGGAAACACCCACGACACAGGGGCAGTTGAATGCCGGGAACGGCGTGACCGATGATATTAGACGGATGATAAAAGTGAGACTTATGATTTCAGATGCATTGGTACAATGTTAACACGTAATACAGTCAGATCGGGTAGTAGGGGTTCATGTCTCCCCAACCGTCTATTTCAATGTATGGCACCTCTTGTCATGTGAGGAAGAGACTTCTGAGATTGGACCACTGACACCATTGTCTAGGGCATTGAGGAGCCAGAGACCAGCAGCAGTTTCACTACCACCCAGTGGGAGCAGTGGCTGGCCAGAAACATAACCTGAATGTCCCATCTCACAGGATACGAACAGTGAACAAAAAGCGTATGACCAAGATAGCCATGACATAGGGAGCAGATAGGGTCTAATTAAACAGTCGAACCGTATCTCATTTCAGAACCTCAGGTTGATGAAGCAACTGATTCCCTAATAAATCTCATTTTCATGCCGCATCTTTCTTCGATGGGTGGTATCGCCTTCCTCCGTTGACCGGGAAGGCGAGATTTCGGGGCGCGAGTGATGGGGTGGGCGGCCTTTCATTTACTGAGAGACTGGCGGTTGGTAATTCAGAGGGCGCCTATGGCGATCAGTTGTAAGTAGGGGGGTTGGCGAGATACACAATATGTTTTCAACTCACTTGAACAGAAGAATATGCGGTTCTGGCTCGTGCACCTCGTAGTGTTCCCAGCCCAAACTCTAGTCTCGAATTAGATTGTCTGTTTTCCCTTTTTTTCCCTTTTCCTTCTTCTCGATTTGCAAGCTGGAATGCTGTCCATTTCTGCATACCTGTGTAATACCCAGAGCCCGCCATTCCTCCTCCCAAAGCAATTTCAACGTGCCTTTTGAACTGTCAAAGTAGTCCGCTGGAATTTTTTTGAGCATGTTCTTAGGCAGCTGGACATGGCGGTATTCGAATTGATCATCTGAGTATCTGCACACGTTGAGCTACCATCCATGTGGCACATGAAATGTATATACCTGGCAGAATAGTGAATGGAATCAATGAATTCCTCAAGCCTCTCCCGTTCAGACTCTAGCAAAAGTCGGGGCTTTTTGTTCCTTCTGGTTGTGTCGATATCCATCGGGGAATTATCTTCGTCGTTCGTAATGACAAGCACAACTTCCCTATACACTTATTCACGCTTATGAGTGAGTTCGAAGCAAGAAGCCCAACGGGCGACAGAAGGGAAGGAATGAGCGAATTATAACGACTTACAGGGTGTTTCAAAGACCGGCGAGACAGCTGGCGGATGATATGGGGGAAGGAAATGAAACTTGATTTATTAGTGCAGATGCACCATACCAGAGTTAATAATGGAAAAGGTCAGGGGTTGACGACCCTCCAGTTTCTTTCTACCTCAAGTAGCTAATATCGTAACATCAATAGGAGGGTAGGTAGGAAGATGGGACAGCAAGAAGGAGTAACGAGTGCACACGGGTGGTAAGTCGTCTGCCAGGATGCGGACTTCAATCTTTGTTGTTTGGAACAACAGTGGAGGGTCTATCCACTTTGGTGCCTCAGGCTGCAAATACATTCCATGTCAAATCAGGTAGAGACCATGGCTTTCTTTCCATCTTCTCGTCGAAACTTTCTTTACTTTATTTGTTCCGCTCCTACCCCACGCGACAAAGTGCTATGATACTGTGTGCTTTACATCCCTGACTTTGTTGTTGTTCCCCCTCCAATTACTTTGCTACGGGAGGGGTGTATCCACTGCGGCGCTGGAATCGGAATCAATTCACGAAGGTTGGTGGAAGGTTCCTCGCGCTCCCTCTTTTTGCCTCCTCAGTTTCTTCGGGCGGGGTCTTTCCTCATGTCAAAGTCCGAAATGTCCGGTCCATAACCCACGCATTAGTTGGTACCTACCTAGGTAGTAGTATCCAGTGCAAGGCGTAAATCAATTTCGAAGCAATAGGAGCAGTCCCGAACCTCCCCAGCCTCTACTCCGTACTCCAGACATCTAACCATGGGCGATTGTTATGATCATAGAGTATTGCTGATTACCATTCACCAGTCAGTAATCCAGAGGAGAAGGTACCTCGCTTCAAGAATCGTAAGCACGACATACCAGTACACAGTTACAAAGTACATACCTACCACATCCCGAGTACTTTTGTGACGAACTGACTTCGCAGCCCAAGAACACGGGTATACACACATACATACCTTTAGTTAGCTACATATCTCGGAGTATGTGTGTAGACGTAGCTACCTACTTCGTAGGTAGCACCTATAAACCTGGCTTTACCCGGACGGTAATGGTTAATTACCAAGTTATGGAGTGGGGTGCCTCAGGATGACTAAATACCTTTAGTTAATGTCTAAGGTAGGTAATTAACTAACTTACCACGTTACGGTACAAGTACTACGTATTACCGTAAGCTAGGAATTATCGAGGTGTTGCCCCTCCAGCCGAGGAAATTTACGGTTGGGTTACCGGCTTAGGGCGAGAACAAGGGCGGTCCAGGGAAGAGAAAAAGAAAAATGGAAAAAGGCAAAGTGGGTTCGAATTTTTTTTTTTTCTTGCCCTCACTCTAAGGGAAAAAAAAAAAAGAAAAGAAAAAAGAAAGAGACCGGGAAAAAAAAACTTTACAAATTTTTTAAGCGCTACCACCTAAATCACTCGGAGTGCATTTTATAAACCTTACCTCTCCGTTCATTATCCTTCTCCTATCCCTAACCCTCACTTAATTTTCATCTAACATCTACCTTTTCTTTTGTGACAATGTCGGACGAGGTTTACGAAGGCGCCATTGGCATTGACCTTGGTACATAATGTCTTCTTCATTAGAATAGCACTGCTTTGCTAACGTGAACCCCTAGGCACGACCTACTCCTGCGTTGCCAACTATGAGGGCACCAACGTTGAGATCAGTAAGTTTTAATGATCAGATCCTGATGGTCATGTCTTGATGCTAATGTTCTTCCGCTCTGTTTAGTTGCCAACGAGCAGGGTAGCTACACGACGCCGTCTTTCGTGTCTTTCACCGACAAGGAGCGTTTGATCGGTGAGGCCGCCAAAAACCAGGCTGCTATGAACCCTCAGAACACGATCTTCGACATCAAGTAAGGCTTCTCATTTCACACTTATCCTTCTTTACCATCAGATTCTGACGAGTCTCAGGCGTCTCATCGGTCGGCGGTACGAGGACCCCATTGTCAAGAAGGATGTTGAGTCCTGGCCTTTCAAGGTCGTCGACCAGGGTGGAAACCCCGTCGTGGAGGTCGAATACCTGGGAGAGACCAAGACTTTCACCCCCCAGGAAATCTCTTCCATGGTTTTGATGAAGGTAGAGTCTACCCTATTTTCCCGCCCGGCATTGAAGAGCTGTTTGTTGATTATCTGAATAGATGAAAGAGGTTGCCGAGACCAAGCTCGGAAAGAAGGTCGAGAAGGCTGTCATTACCGTCCCTGCCTACTTCAACGACAACCAGCGTCAGGCGACCAAGGATGCCGGTGCTATCTCTGGCCTCAATGTCCTTCGTATCATTAACGAGCCCACTGCCGCCGCTATCGCCTACGGTCTCGGCTCTGGAAAGTCTGACAAGGAGCGTAATGTCCTGATCTACGATCTGGGTGGTGGTACTTTCGATGTGTCTCTCTTGAACATTCAGGGTGGTGTTTTCACTGTCAAGGCTACTGCTGGTGATACTCACCTTGGTGGACAAGATTTCGACACCAACCTCCTTGAATTCTTCAAGAAGGAGTTCCAGCGAAAGACTGGCAAGGACCTCTCGGGTGATGCCCGTGCTCTCCGCCGCCTGAGAACCGCTTGCGAGCGTGCCAAGCGTACTCTCTCTAACGCTACTCAGACTACTGTTGAGATTGATTCTCTGTTCGACGGAGAGGATTTCAACTCCTCTGTCACCCGTGCTCGTTTCGAGGATCTGAACGCCAAGTCTTTCTCTGGTACCTTGGAGCCCGTTCAGCAGGTCCTTAAGGACTCTGGCCTCGAGAAGAGCGCTGTTGATGAGATCGTCCTTGTTGGTGGTTCCACTCGTATTCCCCGTATCCAGAAGTTGCTCAGTGATTTCTTCGACGGCAAGAAGCTGGAGAAGGTATGACCCCCATTGAACCTCGCGGAAATTGACCAAGCACTAAATTGAGTATTTAGAGCATCAACCCTGACGAGGCCGTTGCCTACGGTGCTGCTGTCCAAGCTGGTATCCTCTCTGGAAAGGCTTCTTCCGCTGAAACTCAGGACCTGCTCCTGCTCGATGTTGTCCCCCTCTCTCTGGGTGTCGCCATGGAAGGCAACATCTTTGCCCCCGTCGTGGCTCGTGGCCAGACCGTCCCCACCATCAAGAAGCGTACTTTCACCACTGTCGTGGATAACCAAACCACTGTTCAGTTCCCCGTGTACCAGGGTGAGCGTACCAACTGTGCCGACAACACTTCGCTTGGCGAGTTCACTCTGGCTCCCATCCCCCCCATGAAGGCCGGAGAAGCTGCTCTGGAGGTTGTGTTCGAAGTCGATGTCAACGGAATCTTGAAGGTCACCGCCACCGAGAAGTCCTCCGGCCGTACCGCCAACATCACCATCTCCAACGCTGTCGGCAAGCTTTCCACTACTGAGATCGACCAGATGATCGATGGTAAGTCATTCCGTATCCCCCATCGGTGACTCAACTTTGAAACGGACCACTTACCATATATTAGATGCTGCCAAGTTCAAGTCCAGCGACGAGGCTTTCACCAAGAGATTCGAGTCCCGCCAGCAGCTCGAGTCCTACATCTCGCGCGTGGAGGAGATCGTCTCCGACCCCACCATGTCTCTGAAGCTGAAGCGGGGTAACAAGGAGAAGATCGAGTCTGCCCTCAGTGATGCCATGGCCCAGCTTGAGATCGAGGATTCCACGCCCGAGGATCTCAAGAAGAAGGAGCTTGCTCTTAAGAGACTCATCACCAAGGCTATGGCTACCCGGTAAAATGGGAAAACAATGTTGAGGTAGCAAAAAGGAAAAAAAAAGGTCGGCAGTTTCAAACACTGCATGGAGAATGGGGAAAATTACGCACATGTCATTTTGCAGTTTCTTTTTTTAACGAATAGAGGTCAAAACATCTTTACCTATGAGAATCACGTCAAATTTTTTCCCCCTCATGTCGATTTTTATATTTGTGAGCTTAATTCCTATTAAAGTAGACTCATCCGCGGGGTTTGCATGATCATTCACCCAACCGTGTTGACTGTTTGTCTAAGAGCATGTGCTGTGTGGCATGGGCCAGCTGTATCTAGTCAACGGGAGGAAACCCGACCGTTGTGTGGACTGCATGAACTTCACTAGCAAATGTCAAAGCTTGGTGATTCCTGAGGAAAGAATCCTTGTAGATGATTAATCATCACCACATCCGCACTCCGCAGGCTTCTCAACGCACTCTTTGATCCCACCTGCCCGCGTGTTTTTCCTCTCAACCTTTGCCTTTCCTGTTTCTTATTATTCTTGCTTGTTGGAAAGAATGCTGCGCGTTACTACGTCGTCTGTTTCTCAACGAATCTCAAAGCAATGTTTACCTTATCGTCTGCTAGTAACACATCTGCGACATCGACCGATTCAACACAAGGGACCTGTGTCGAGCCCATTTCAAAGCTTCTCGAGTACGCCGTTGCTGCTTAAGAAGAAAGACCGGGGTAAAAGCAACGCTGCAGAGTCCGAAGGCAATCCATCGAAGCTAGCAGCGACACCAGACGACCCGTCTGACCTCTCTCAATTGCAGGAGGGAATTGTAGCCGCCGTGTCTCGGCTCAAGGATGAACTCTCCAAGCTTCGCATGGGTGGCAGGCTCGGCACTGATGCCATCGAGAGCCTGCGGGTTCAAATTAGCAAAGGAAGCAAGGACAAAGTGAAACTCGGGGATCTGGCGCAAGTTTTCCCTAAAAGTGGTCGATTGGTAGCTATTCTGGTCTCCGAAGAAGAGGTGAGTCCATTACCAGATTCGGCCTTTGGGAACGCAACGTAACACTTGGATCTTCTAATTCTAATGGTCGTTTTTGAATGAGTAGCATATAAAGCCAATCACCTCCGCTATTGTTTCCTCCGACTTGTCTTTGACTCCACAGCCCGATCCCCATAATACTCTTCAGCTTAATGTGCCTATTCCACCCCCTACCAAGGAGTCTCGTGACAAAACCGTCATAGCTGCGAAGTCCGCGATGGATAAAGCCATTGCTGCAATCCGTGAATCGCGAGGTGTTGTGCATAAACGCCTGCAGGACATGCAAAAGAAGAAAATCGCTCGCCCCGACGATGCCCGCAAAGCCCAGGATCAGATGGAAAAACTAACAGAAAAGGGACAAAAAGAGGTGAAGGATCTTTTCGAGGCAGCGAAGAAGGGCATGGAGCGTACATGAATCGAACTGACCCGCAGTGCAACTCCCATTTGGTACTTTGCTTCGGCCTGTTATCTCTAACAAGACCCTGAATCCACTCTCTAGGCTTCATATGACCGACCGAGTTTGGAAAGATTTCCATCAGCTTTGTCCGGTGAATTCTGAGTGGTAGGATACTATATTTAATAAAGCAGGCAGAGGGTACCAGTCAAGAGCATGGCTCTGATTAGAGAAAGGGAAAAGAAAGGGAGAAGAGAACGAAAGAGAAAGATAAGACACTAGATTCTATTGTACATTAAATCTTCTAGTACAAACCACTCCATTTACATTCAGACATTCTTGCTTCTGCAAACTTCAGTATATCCTCACGCACGCTTCATAGGACGACTTGACGCCATAAGAGATTCAAGTTTGGACACAAACTGCGCGCTCTTGCCGCTTGTTTGATATGTCTCATTGTTGGCAAGATTCCTGATGACTTCGCCAACCACGGCAGACTTGCCAACATGTTCATCTTTGGTGTATTTTCCTTGAACCAAAGACTGTAACAGAAATGCCCGGTCGTCCGTGTTTATCGGTGCAAGGTCTACCTTCTCCGGTTCCACAAGCTCGCCTTTGCGCTGTGAATAAGCATCCGCACGCTGTTGCGAAAGCTTCTGGGCTTCCACCAGGGCCTGAGATTTCTCTTCCTCGTCCAAAAAGTGAACATATTGTCCATTCAAAAGCCGCTGACCAAGCTCATGAGGTGGAATATATCCATTTGGGGTGCGATCGCTTAGGCGTAGCAGCTTCTCGAGGACTGCGGAATGATGAGCGCCTGAATTCGTTGGGAAAGAAGGCAATGTTCTTTCCAGATTGGACAGCGTGGGGGGCTGGGGATTATAATGGCTCGGGGAAAGTTTTGTTCGCTCTGCGAGTTTGCGATAGGCTTGTTCGATTTCGGACTTTTGCATCTCTCCCCCTTCCTCCAAGTCTTGTGGTCGGGCGGTTCGTTTGCGAGGTTCTTTCTTCTTCGGGGCGGCGGGTCTGAAAGGAGGCCGGGGCCCACGTCCGTATGCTGGGGAACCACTACGAGGGTTCCGGAGCCGGGGATTTCTTATAACATTTGCAGGCTGGCCACCGGCCCTGGGAGCTGCGAGAGATCGTGCGTCGAAGACTCGTCGAGCGCCGGGGCGTTCAGAGTTCGCAGGCTTCGAACCAGTTCTCGGGGGGCGAGAATTGCCATCTTCAGAACGGATCCACTTTGTATTATCGAATCCTGTACATTATTTCGCGGAAAAATTAGCGATGGAAGCAAGAACCCCGACCACTGAGGCGGGATTGAAAGGGAAATCGAAAGGCTCAAAAAACTTACGCTGCGGCGGTTTGTCCGTCGCTCGTTGCTGGATGGCAGAGAACCGGCGGACAAGCGGCAATGTCCGATCGAGCAGTCTAGCAGACCGAGGTCGCCAAACTGTCACACGATGTTGGAGCATCGTTGCTAACAATGAGGTGCTGGTGAAAACTTGGGGCCAGGCGGGCTGGCTGTACGGAGTAGAGTGCAGTAAAACTGAACCGCCGGAACACACCCCTAGTCACGTGGACCGCGCTCACGTCACCTGCGTCGAGGCGGGTGCTTTCTTCGCCGTCGCAACTGTCTCCCTTCAAAGAAAGCGAAAATACCTACAGTCTGATCTGCTTCACATTCTGAGCGGCCATATCTTGAAAATATGATACGTCGAAAACCCACAGCCATCGCTATAACTTCCGAAGACCTTGCAGCCTTTGAAGAATCACGACTACAAAAGCAGGCCGAACAGAACGATCCTCAGAACCATGCTAAATCCAAATCCACCTCCCGTGTCAATTTCGACCCAAGTGATGAATTGAAGCCTCTGCCAGGCGATAAAGCGAGGATTGTTCGCTCACGTGAGGAGCGAATAGGCTTAAATCGACGCAATTAGTGGCACTTTTGACACAGACAGGTATTGGGAGGACGTGGACAATGAAGCATGCAATAATCCTTCAACAGCCAGAGAAGTTGTGTTAGAGGCTTTTGATTTTTTCTAAACATATGTCCCATGATTTACGATTATGTACTTATCCACCAAGTCAATAGGTTCATCCTATTGCCTTGCGTGTTTGCACTCCGTTCTTGTGCCGTTTAGACCGGTTTTCTCCACTGATATTGAAACTGGAGGCTCCGAATCAAATGACGCTATAGCATCAAGTGGTAACTCTGTCTCTCGGTTAGAGGCGATAAATGGACCGGATGAATTCAGGCGTTGGTTCTTCGTTTACTTCGTTAAGCAGCTAAAATCAAACTTTGACGAGGCAAGGATGGACAATGCAAATTTTATTGACTTGAAACACCAAAGCCATTGGTTCCGGACAAAGGGTATACCTATATAAATAGCAAAGACACCAAGAGTCTAACGTCTTAGAAATATAAACACAAAACAAGGAAAAGAAAAACGCCCCTCCACATGAAACGTTTCATTCAAGATTGAAGACGGGTGGTCATACACGTGCTCATTGGGTACTCAAGAAAGCTTGTCCCGATCGAATAGACTAGCTTCTCTCCCAAATCTCCGGGTTTGGGGGTCTTTAACCCCACTGTCAACGCTGACGCTTCGAACTATGTTCTGCTCCAAGGTCGACCGAGTAGTTCCAACGCCGCTTAAGCCCGTTGGGGTCGAACACGCTGGCAACACTTTGCTGCCAATCGCGTGCTGTGAATACGATTGGCTGTCCGCTGAAGTGAGGCTGCGACAAGGCTTGCGCCTGTGGAACTGATGGTATTTTTGCTGGTTGCCCATACTGAACAGGGTACTGGCCCGCCAACGTACTTGGTACGCGCTGCGAAGGCATTGGCGGCGAATTCGTATTTACCGAGGATGATCCCATAGAGAACGCCATGTCCCATTGGCTATACTCAATTGTCAGTAATCTCGAGCGAGCCATGATTAGTAGCGAATTTCTTACTTTATGATGCGCGTGGGGTCCCAGCTGTTTTCGTCGACCAGTGGAACGTCCATCGAATGGCCAGGAATCGTATGAGAGGGTATCATCCCTAGAGATTGAAGCTGAGAGGAGTCGGACTTTGAATCTTCAGTACTGGTTGAAATTGGAGGTGAGATCGGGTAAGTCGTATAACGCACTCTGTTTGAAACACCGCCAGAGACATTATTCAACTGGGGGGGATAATGTGCATCAAGCGGCGGGCTTGGATGGTACGGCTCCGAGGGACTCCCATAAGGAAATGTGGATTTGAGATCGAAGGGACGGTGTATGTCGGCGGAAAAAGCAAGACGCAACGAATCGATCTGAGCCTGTATTTCTGGCATTGGCCAAGCCGCAGAGCACCGTTCAAGTATACGCATGTGTCTTGTGAAGTAATCCCGCGCGTCTGTGTGGAAGCTGGGATCAGGGGACGTTATGGCAACCTAGAAGTCATAAGCCTCCGTCCGACGCGCTATGCAGCCAAGATACCCATCAACCAAATGGAGACTCACCAAATGCAACATTGTGCACGTCAGTATGCAGTATATTGCAAAATTGATACCCCTTTGCATGAAAAGGAGACCAGACAGACCACACCGGTCCAGAATTGCTTCCTGAAGTCTACAGATATACTTTGCCGAGGCATAACACAGAGCCATGTGGAGTTTTCCGCCTCCGCCAGCTGCAAAAGACTTGGAAGCGAGCAGCTGGGGACGGTGCAACAAGATAATTCCTAGATGACAGTGCGAGTGCATATTGCCCACAAAGTGAGAAGGTATCCAAGGAGGCGACCCGTCGGCGGGATAGTTCACTTGTAGATCAGGAGGTAGACTTTGCAGCCAATCAGTAAACAAGGGATTTTTCTCGACAAACTTTGGGTTTGCCCCCCAGTCTTTTTGTCTTTTGATTTTGTGATATATGTCGGTAATGATACGAATGTGACGGGCATTTTGAACGAAATAGGCGTACTGCCTTGATCTGTCGTTCTCAAATGGATCAAGGTCTTTGCTATTCAGCTCCGGATTCATATTGACGGTATTGGGATCCACACCATAATCAGAGCGACCTAATAACATTAAGTTGGAGAACTTCAAAAATGGGGGGTGGGGGGGGGGGATGGGAAGGCTCATACCTTGCGGCGCGCCGATCATGACCTCGACAACTAGAAGTGCTTGCCACACCCTCGTCTGCACCAAACATTCCATTGGACTTAAATCACACGACTGATTCTCTGCATGCGTGTTGTAGTGTTCATGAATATCCAAATCTTTGGACATCGAAACGATAGTTTTCACCGTTTGCCAGGAGCGATAGTAATAACCTTTCTTCGGTAGCGACTCCCTTGCCTTTAGAAGAAGTAGTAGCGCCTGTATCGTACTCAGGCGAGGCACATCCATAAAGCTTGATTCGTGCCCTAAATGTGTTCGTATTTGATGGTAAGTATACGGGACCAATGTACCAACCTAGGGGCTAGGGGGGAAGAAGGGGTCGTTCTCACTGTTCGCCAATGCAAGCCACTGAGCACCCTGAGCAGGATCATCTGATAACCTCCCTGAACATGCCAGTAGTGCTTCCAGAAGGAGAGGAGAGATCAGGTGACGTTCGTGTTGCCACTGATAGTAAAGGTGAGAGCGATGAATCACGGGCACATAAGGGTGTATATCATCAAAATAAATCTTAAAAAATTTCATAATCTCGTCATCGGCCGGCATGAGTTCTGGAGGGATTCGGATTGTCGAGCCCGCGCCAGTATTAAGGGGAGGAAGTGTCCCCTCAGCTTCATCTTGTGATGAAACTTCCGGTTCAACTCCCTCTCTCCTCTGTTGCCTGATATAAGGAGCTGTTGAGTGGTTAGTGGGGTTCTTTATTTTGGCAACTGCCAATATAGTTCTTGTAGTTGTTGACCTTACCAATGCCGGTCTCGTCTATTCTAAGCTCCCCAAGGACCTCACTGAGGCCTTCAGCAGTCGACTCAGACTCCCCGAAAATGCTACCGTCTACCGCCTGAGACGCAGAGAACATCTGCGGTTGCTGATAGGAGTGGGCTGGTAGAGTAACGTGCGGTGACTGTACCTCATACACTCCAGGGTGCTGCGGAGTCGAATGAGAATACTGCGGAAACACCCCAATCGCATCTGCGTACGGCTGAATGGCTCCCACAGAAGGCCGGCTATTGTCTCTTGAAGTTTGAGGCATAGAAAACGATGATAGCGACGGTTCGGGTGCATCATGTGTGCCCAGAGAACCCGCAGGGCCGGCCTCGACATTTGGTTCCGCGGAGAAGTCACTGTCCTGTCCAATCGTAGGGGGCACGCATACTAATTTAAGGCGAGTGCATGCCGAGCAGGGCCATGTGTTTGTTGTCGCAGCATCACACTTGATCTTTCGTTTTCTGCAGCCATTGCAGGCTCGCATCACTGAATTTTAGAGATTTAGTAATCAATATCCAGCACCTATAGATTAATGACACAACGTACCCTTGAGTCTTTTGTGTCTGTTGTGCTCGTCCACGAATACGTAATCTGCCGGAGACGTTAGCTTTTGGTTTGGCGAATTGACCCAAACGAGTTGCTCCGCGAAAGAGGGGGAAACATATGGTCGCGCTTACTCTTATGGCCCTCCCTTGGAGGTCCCGTCGGAGTTGTGAACGAATAACTCTGCATTTTTGACGTCGAAAAGCCGATGTAGTCAGGATTTAGGTATATCAGGGGCGGAGTGTGGACCAATGATGTGGTATTGCCCAACCAGGTCTATCTGCAAGGCCAGCCTTCTCCAGATAAAACCAGCCTTAGAGAAATATGGGACTGTGATTGCAATGCCGGTATTGTGTAGCAAAGGCAAGGCTGGACAGTATTAGGCTTATTCGACTTGGAGCTGAAGGGGGACTAGTAGGCCGGCTTTTCTTGATCACAGTCGAAGCGCGTTTACAAATTTCGTGGAGTCGGGGTATCACGGATCTGTCGAGATGTGTACCGGAAGGCTTCAACTTCAGCCTTGAAGCGTTAATTCTGCCGTACGGTACTTGGGGATTTGGCTGAACGTTTGTGTCGGTACCGGGATGGAGAGCTTCACCTAAGGATTGGCGCAACGCCGAAAGATATCCCAAATTTAAGATGTGATAAGTATCGTGCGAATAGTTTCTGTATATGGCATTAGGTCGAATTCGATACAAGGTAGACAGTGATGCTTGCCGCCAGAGGCATCAGCAGATCTATACCTTACAGTTGAAAGGGCACTAGAAGCCTATCCAGCCTGCATTGTGGTTCAATACCATCGGTATTTCGGGCGAGTTCAGTTGAGGTGAGAGGTTAACATGCAAATTGGCTGGTACTTCAATCACAACTAGCAATCAGCATTTGAATACACACTGGCTTGCGGTGGGGTTCAGCGGCAGAAAATGACGAGAGCCATTGAGAAGAGGGAAGCCGAGTAGATGAACAGGCAAGGAATTAAGGAGCAAAGAAAACTAGGGGCCTGGGGAATTAGAGGCCGACTGACGCAATGAATTTCGCATGTGGGACTAGATAGCATGAAAGGCCGTGACAGACGTGCGATAACCACCTCCTTGGCTACTGTTTAGGAGGCCGCCTGGCGCATCATTGCTCTGAAAAACGTAAACGGTAAATTTGGGCGGTGACGAAATTGGCGACTGGTCAATGATATTGAGGTAGAGGTGGATGACAAGGAGGAGGGGGACGAGGTGCTAGAGCATGTCGAGAGGTTGAAGTGAAGCGGGTGTGCGTGAGTAGAGAGGGATCGCCTCGGAAGTTGAGGGGCCGCAGGATTGCCGCAGACTCGCGCTGCCCCAGTAGCGTCCGCAATATGGCGTCAAGCAAGGTGCACGAACTTCTCCGAGTGACGATCCCAGCCGTCCATATTCTTCCTCAAGGTTGTTTATGGAAAGCCACTATTGGGTAATAATGTTATTTAGTTAAGTCCAGGTGTTTACTGGTTACACTTCGTAAGATGGCTCGTGATGACGGTTGATTTGCGAAGGGAGAGAGAAGTACAGATATATACCTGGTAGGTAGTTATTTGTATAAATGGCCTGATACATAAGGCCCTACAGAGCAGTCTCACCTGTTACCTCGACGGTCTGCCAGTACGATACCATACCGACGAGGATGGCTATGATACGGTAAGGATACAGCGGGCGAAAGGAAAAGTCCCGGACAAACTGGGCTTAGCGCCGGAATTTCCCCTCCTCCGTATGCTGTACTCCGTACTACGTACTAGTTAGTGAGTAGATCTAGTATACTTCCTGGTTTTCCTCCCTCCGGAACAATTCGGCGCCTCAATTCTAGATCCAACTTACCCATCCGTTTAGGGATCCGACATAGTTGACACGCAGTAACTAGTTAGTTGGTTGGTGCCCACCGCCTTGCTCGCTGAGTCGCTCTGGACAAAGTACATACATCTTATCTTATCCGGAAAATAGTTGTTACTCCAACGATTCCTTTGCCCCTCAGCCAACAGGTCGCCGCGGGCATCGCGCAATTCTCTCACACCCTCCCTTCTAGCAACGGGACCCCGATCTTATTCTGTTCATAATGGCGTCCGAAATGCAGAATTCGAACCCTACGATCCTAAACTCCGCCGACTTGCCTACACGGTTGCGTCCCGTAGTGTCTCACAAGCCTGGTGCCTTCAAGACCGGTAGCGTCTTTGCAACTGCGCTTCCTCCAGACCCAATTGATCTCCTTTCTACTAGCCCTCCGTCGTCTGTGGAATCTGAAAGTGATGGCGATTTGATGGAGGAGCCTATTGATGAGCAAGAAATCTATGGTAAGTACGCAGCCGTGCGGGTGTCAAGCAAGGCCCGATGTATCACCTCTGTCCCACTGAATGTCTAACGGACGGCACCTAGATCTCATCTCGACTATATCCGACCCGGAGCACCCAATATCGCTAGGAGCGCTTGCCGTCGTCTCGCTTCCCGACATCTCAATTGCGCCAACGCTTCCAGATGTCCCGAGTTCACCGCTGCGGACGGTCACCGTCCTCATAACGCCCACGATTACACACTGTAGTTTGGCTACCGTTATAGGACTCGGTGTCCGTGTTCGACTCGAGCAGTCTCTTCCACCACGCTTCCGCGTCGACACAAGAATCAAAGAGGGAACACATAGCACTGCCGACGAAGTCAACAAGCAACTAGCTGATAAAGAAAGAGTGGCCGCTGCTCTAGAGAATGGGACCCTTATGGGTGTCATTGCTAAGATGCTGGAAACATGCCAGTAAATGTCGTTGGGCATGATGCTCTACGATTTTGCAGTCATGGCATTGGTTGACGTCCCTACGAACCGATGATGATCCTGTTGAACTATTCCTTTTCATTGAACAATCCCTTCATGCTGCACCACGAAAATTATTAAAATCTTACAACATCAGAAGGTGCCTCGTTTGTTCTCGTCTTGATTTTAGGTCACGAGTCTAGAACGCCACTTTCCTTCAGACCTTTCCAAAGATCTGGCTCCAGGAACTTGCTCACGGTGACATCCTCCGCAAGCCCCTTTCGTCTCCTTGTCTTCAGCACGAAATCTCGAGCAGTGGCCATTGCAGATGCCATCTCCAAGGGCTTGGTCTTGACTTCTCGATCTAGTGGATCACCCGGCACCACGCTCCACTTATCGAACACAAGACTTATGGAAGCTTGGCCCTGTGTATGGATTCGAAGATCTGTCTCGAAACCAAAGGAGTCTATAACGGGAATCAGTCCGCGGACTGAATAGAGTGGTGTGCCCGCAATTGGCCCGTCGGAAAGGACGTGTCCTCTTCTACGCGAAAGGACTGTATACATCGATGCCACAGCATCTGCAGGCCCTGTCATCGCGCAAGAGTAGATGGGCTCCATCAAGCGTGGTGATGCCATGAGGAATGAAGAGTATACGGCGCGACGAGCCGTAGGAATGATTTGGCCCCCGCCTCTGTAGATAGCTTGGTCGGCTAGTGAAACATCCGTGAGCCTGAATTTGGTGTTCCGGATTGCTGTTATGTTCAACGTTAAAATTTTGTCGACAATGAGTTCAAAGCCTTGAAACCACAAGCTTTAGGACAATGGAGGAAAAACTTACGCTCTTCACATAGAGGACCTTCTCTCGTTCCCCAGTTGAACCCTTGTGTAATGGAGTCTCTGACACTCCCAATTAACTTTTTATCGACTTGGGATGGTAATGTGTCATCTTGTAATATGTTGGGACCCATTTCGTCAGGTCCAAAGGCCCAGATGCTTCTGGCTGCCAGTTTATCCCAGTCATAGTTCTCTTCGAAGAACCTGGCCACTTTCCGAATTGGATCTTTGATACGGACCTTGCCGCTCTCGATGTCCTCGGCAATCCCATCGTCAAGTGGCTCTGCGATCATCGTGATCTTGTTTTTCTTATTCGGGGTGATTGAATAGCACATAATGGCTGACGTTTCCGCGACAGTCTCGCAAAAGCGCGTGACAGGATCCGAAACCTTGATTTCCATCTCCGAATATAATCTTCGAAGATCGTGAAGGACGCAATCCATATAAAGTTCACCAGTGCCCAAGACAACGTGTTCCCCAGACTCCTCTACCTTGGTTGTGATTAGAGGGTAGCTTTTGTTGATTTTACGGAGACCATCGAGCATCTTCGGTAGTTCAGACGGGTTAACCGGCTCAACAGCAACTTTGAAGATGGACTCGGTAAGGTTCCGAATGGGTTTGAAAATGTATGCGTCCTCCTCATCGGCAAGTGATAAGGGCACAAGCGTGGCTGTTTTGACAATAGAATTGTCCACGCCGCCCAAAAGGACAAGATTCCCTGCTGGCACTCCGCTGGTAGGAATGTTGTAGCGAGTTTCAGCAATCCACGTATCAGATATGGTCGCAGTGACCATATCTTCCTCATCTTCTGGGGTGTAGCCCTCGCCCAAGACCCGAACCTGCTGACCAGGTCGGGCGGTTCCACTCATGATCCTTCCGAAAGCATTGAAGCTTGAAGCATCGGAACTGTTGAACAGTTTGGTGACATGGATGACCAGTGGCCCGTCCGCATCGCATGCGGTCATCGCGGCGGCTATTTTAGTGTTGAGTGGCCCAGTGTAGTGTTTCTCCAACTTGTTCCGAGCACCTTCTAATGGAGAAGGCACATGCCGAATGATCATGTCCACAAATCCGGTCGCAGGACCGAAAAATTGTCCACAAACAAGATTCAGCAGCACCTTCGCATCTGACTTCAATTCGGATGGCTTCAAGTTGATACCCACACCTGCAAGTGTCTCTCTCAGATCTTCGGCGCTTTCGCTAATAGTATGAGAGTAGAGTTTGTAGATAGGCTCCAAAACAAAATTTACAAAAGTTCGTTTGGAGCCCTCCTCTACACCCTTGCGCGTAAATTTCCGACTCCGGGGGTTAAAGAAAACGTCACCCCAAAGGCGAAGGGCGAGGTCAGCTGTCTCAATCTGAGGATAGGTTTCTGCATACATTTTCGCGAAGGATTGCAATGTGAAGCACCACTCCATTGAAGCACAGGCAAAAGCAACATTTCCTTTCTCGGGACTCAACCGTCTGCTTTCACCTTGCCCTGGCAGGATGTTTTCAATGACCGTGTTGACTTCCTCAATAACATGCTTCAATTTGAAATAAGCGTCATTGGGCGGTATTTTCAGTTCTAGAATCAATCTGTCCATCTTGTTCACCACCAGCGTCAAGGGAAGATCTTCCAGCACCGCATGTTTGATCATTTGCTCGGTGTTTGCCTGCACACCTTCCACGATGTCAACAACCAGTACTATGCCGTCGACTAGTCTCGACGAAGCAGCCACTTCATCCACAAAATTCACATGCCCAGGGGTATCAATCATGTTGAATAAATGGGATTTTCCCTTTGTGCTTTGGAGAACAAGGCTCATAGGAGATGACTTGATTGAAAGCCCCCTAGATCTCTCCAAAAGGTGAACATCGGTATACCGGAGTTGTTCCTCACTTTGCGTGCCTGTTCGCGCCTGTAGGCGCTCAGATATGTCGTGTGTTTGCATGACAAACATATCCATGAGAGCCGTTTTTCCATGATGTAGATGGCCCACTAGAGCAATGTTTCTGACTTGTTCGGGGAAATTGAGTAGATCTGTCATGAACTCCCGAGAGAAATGAACAGGTGGTAGCTCGGCCTCTTCGACCGCAAATTTCCGTTGTTGAACGGGAGCAATGATGGGTTCCGAAAGAGGTTGCGTATCCTCCTCTTGGACTAGGGTTTCGACGCCTTGATCGTATACCTGCTGGGCGCTGGGGTAGTATTGCTTGTCTTCATGTAGAATCACGGCATTTGAAGGGCCCTCTACTGATAGTTAGCTAGGATTCTCCATATGACGAAAAGCCTGGAGACGGAAGCTCACCATCAACCTCCATAAGCTGCTCCTGATGATTGACATCGTCTTCGTCCTCCCCAAACGCCTCGTCGAAGGCGAAAGTTGAGGGTCGAGCTTCCTCATGGTCGACCTCCTCGTCCGAGTCAGCGGCCTCGCCAATGTAATTGCCAAACCTGTAGGATAGTTTTTATCAGCCAATTGTACTTAACGGATCACGAATTCTGTTCTGGAATAGCATACTCGTCGTAAAGATCATCCATGGTGGTGTGGGGAAGGTGGTTGACCAGCCAGAAATTGTCACCCGTGGTGAAAGCGGCGCGTCGCTTTTTTCCTGCCGGAGCTGAAGTCAGCGCACCGCCGCACCGAGAGGTCCGAGCTTGGCATGCGTTGTTTGTCACGGCCCCGCCGCTCCTTTAACTAGTTAATTATGCCGCTTAAAAAGTAGGGAGGGGCCTTCCCATCTCATCTCATCTCATCTCATCTCTAGCTTTATTCAAGCCTTCCGACAAGCCCACATCCCACCATGTCTTCTCTTCCTCCTGTCTACATTGTTTCGACTGCCCGGACCCCTGTGGGATCCTTCCTGGGGTTAGTGCCCCTAAGTACCTCTCCGATAAACTAAAAAAACATAAGCTAATGTCCTTTCGCAGCTCTCTTTCGAGTTTGACTGCCCCGCAACTTGGTGCCCATGCGATCAAGTGTATGGCAAGCTGGTTTAGCACCCCCTGCCTTTTTCGATATGCTAACTCCGCTCTGAATTAGCCGCTCTTAGCAGAGCTGAAGGAGTCAGCCCCTCAGATGTTCAGGAAGTCTTCTTTGGCAATGTTCTTTCCGCAAAGTAAGTCTTGGCTTTTTAGCTAGTCCAATTGCCCTGTACTCACCCTATGTCTCAATTTTAGTGTTGGTCAGAACCCTGCCAGACAATGCGCTCTTGGTGCCGGACTTGAGGAATCCACTGTGTGTACCACCGTCAACAAGGTGTGCGCATCTGGCCTGAAGGCTGTCATCCTTGGTGCACAGACTATCATGACCGGAAACGCCGATGTTGTCGTGGCCGGCGGTGCTGAGTCCATGTCCAATGCTCCTCACTACCTCCCCAACCTTCGTTCGGGTGCGAAATATGGTCACCAAAGTCTGGTGGACGGGATTATGAAAGATGGCTTGACGGATGCAGGCAAACAGGAGCTCATGGGCTTGCAAGCCGAGGAATGTGCCCAGGACCATAGTTTCACCAGGGAGGACCAGGATAACTATGCTATCCGAACATATGAAAAAGCCCAGGCTGCCCAGAAGGCCGGGCTTTTCAATGATGAAATTGCGCCGGTCGACCTTCCCGGTTTCAGGGGCAAGCCCGGTGTGACCGTCGCGCAAGACGAGGAGCCCAAAAACGTGAGAGAGTTTTCCCTTCAAACCCTCGTCGATCCACTAATGAAGACTAACATGAATATAACCCTGTCTTAGCTTAACCCTGACAAGCTCCGAGGCATCAAGCCCGCCTTCATTCCCGGTTCTGGAACGGTCACGGCGCCCAACTCGTCTCCACTCAATGATGGTGCTGCGGCTGTGGTGTTGGTCTCGGAAGCTAAACTGAAGGAGCTTAATCTGAAGCCCGTCGCAAAGATTCTTGGATGGGGAGACGCTGCTCACCAGCCCAGCAAATTCACGACTGCTCCAGCCCTTGCTATCCCCAAGGCTCTCAAACACGCTGGTATCAGCCAGGATTCTGTGGATGCTTTCGAGATCAACGAGGCGTTTAGTGTCGTTGCTCTTGCCAACATGAAGCTACTCAACATTCCGGAAGAGAAGGTGAACGTCCACGGCGGAGCCGTTGCTATCGGCCACCCCATCGGAGCTAGCGGTGCTCGCATCTTGACTACGCTGCTTGGTGTTCTAAAGGCAAAGAACGGCAAGGTTGGCTGCGTCGGAATTTGCAATGGTGGAGGAGGTGCCAGTGCCATGGTTGTTGAGTCGCTGGCGTAATTAACGGGATATAGCCTATATTAAGGACTCTATAACCGCAGGTTAAACTCTGCAGCATGCGTCCAAGGCGCTCACTAGCAACATGTAAAAGTGGGTACTTCTTTGGGAACATTGAGATGACTTTTTTTCTTCTTTCCTCCTTTCATGTCACAGGAAATGCTCATAACAAGACTCACTGCATAGAGGGGAAGCCTCTGTCGTGTTCAAACGCCATCCTGGGCCCGGTGGCCTAATCCAAATGCTGCAGAAAATAATGTCTTCGCCAGCGAAGCCAGAGTGACCCCTTTCCAGAGACCATTCACCAGCAGTTCTGTTGGTTAGACATGATGAATTCAATTCGTCAAGAGCCCGATAGTCTTGCTGTAGCTGCTAGGCCCAGAGCGCTGGTCAAGGCGAATATTACAACATACTACATGGACCTCTGCAAGTGTAGACCTCGCGAGCATACGAAATAGGGTTCGACGAATAGCCCAGATTAAACAATAGCAGTAGAATCACGAAAGTGGTCGTCCTCTAGGTTGGACTATACATGTATATATATTTAGATGTTCCCATTTCCAACTGCTGATGATGAATTTGGCACAAGTGAGGCCGTCTAATAAATCAAGCAAACGCACCGACTAGAGCCATCAGTACAGCTCCACTAGCGACTGCGATACAGGCCTCAACACGTCGCCGGCCCTTCAGAGATGCATAGCTTGCATCGCTGAGAAAGTCCTCTGCCAGCAGCTCTACAAGCCCCGCAAATAGGAGAAGCCCGCTGCTAATGGCATTGGTGATGCCCACCATAAGCAGACCCGCCGTGCTGGCAGGATCGTAAAGATTGTGTAACATTAAACCGATAGCTTGCCCAATAGGAGTGGTCATCCCGTACGCAAGAGACATGAGCCACGGTTTCATAGAAGATGGGGAGAAGAGGTCTGGAATAAGAGATGCGATACGTGACCCAAGAGCAAACCCTTCAAAGGTTTGGTGGAAACAGATGGCCACGAGGAGAACAAGGAACGATGTTCCTGTTGCGACGCTGAGCGCCATACCAATAAACACACTGTGGAAAAGAATACCTGCCTCGAGCAGGAGACACTGGAGTAACTGGCGTTGCGGGTTCTGCAAGTGTAGGGTTGCGTCCGCCTGTGGGCGGAATTCAGGTTCATGTGAATGACGACCTTGAGAATGGCAGTCCTGCTGCCCACTGATGTAAGAGACGTCACGAGAGTTGGAGTCGTCAAAGTCCAAGTCGTCTTCTTCCTTCGGCTCCGTCGTGTTCTTCGAAAGCGCTTGGCCATTCCCTCCTGAAAGATGTCTTGACGTAGAGCTGGACTGCCGTGCTATGCTGGGCATTGGCTCGGCCTCCTGAATTCTGCCCAGCGGAATGTGGTTGGCCACTGAATCCTGTCCTTCAAGCATCGAGTAGTGGGTATCCATGTTATGATCGTCATGTGGGACCTCGAGGCCAACGTCGCTAATCAGCTGGTCATACTCACTTCCATGCACATGACCTGCCCCTTTCATGGCGAAGAACATCTCGACCACCACTACCACAAAGACCGACACCATGGCAATGAATCCGGCCATGGCACGATAGCCTTCACTCCAGAAATGTGGAAGGCATGGGTCCGTCAAAGAAACAAATGCCGTGGGAAGCAAGTGGACGAAAGCCGTGGCAATTAAAACCCCCGTTCCAAAATGACGAGACAGGAACAGAAAACGACGCGGTATAGGTAGGCGCGGGAATCGGCGGGCCAGCACAGGAAATGAACACGCTTGAGTGAAGACGATAGGTTAACAACGGTCATTGACACAACGAATGGATTGATGTGTGGTACCTAACGTGCTCAATGCCAGGATGAGAAAAAGCGCCATAACATGGATTGGTGTATTATAAACACCTGGTTCCGATGAACCGCACACGGGCTTTTCATCGCGCAAGCCCCGTGCCTTGCTCCGCCGAGCAAGTTCTGCCCGCAAAGCAGCGTCGGATAGATCAGATATGGGGATAGCGGTCCATTGAAGGCCTAGGAAAGTCGCATATTCGTGTCAGCAAAGGGTGACCTAGGTTTAGTTTATGTAATACCGTGGTCAAGGGAGGTTAGGCCAAGTCGGGTTGCTCTCGGTACTCACTAGATTCTGCCCTCCTGCGCTGGTACCATTTCACGTATTCGGCCATCGTGATTCCAAGTGTCCAAGTTTAACATTCCTCTTCTGGGCTTATTGTATGTACATGACCCAGAAGTCAACCGGTGGGCCAGGTGTCTCGCAACAAGTTTCGAAGGCCCGATCAGCTCTGGCTTGCAGAGCCGTTGTAGGGTAGATGAAACCAGCCCCAATAATTTATCAAAGACAGAATCCAAGAACGGAGGACGCAGGGCTTGTTGATTTCTCTGGTTAAGTGCCCGTGTGGGATGCGGAGTTTCAACGTCGGTGGTAGGAAGCATGCATGTTGCGGAGCAATAGCACGATGGAGATGGATCGAACACGCAACAATTTACGATAACGATCTTATCAATCAATCGGCTTACTCGGGGCTTAGTAATAGTATTTCACTCCAATCAACCTTCAATCAACTAGTTATATGGAGTAGGACGAAGTGATTAGTTTGTTGAGACTAACACCTCCTATGTACAATGATAAATGAATTGAAAGATGATTAATAGCTTGGCTAGCTACTCTATATGCCGCCCCTGCTTGCATAATTGGGGTGACTGTAAACGAAAGGGGAAAGACTTGCTTTCATTGTTTTCTTTTCCACTTCATATCATTGAATTTATATATATTCATGGTCTATTCCTTAATTTGGTCCAACCGCTTGTCCCCTTCAGCCCGTTGGATCTGTGGGGTTCGCCAGAGGTGACCGCATTGACAGCGCTGCTTTCGGGGTGCGCAGTGCTTGAATAACTGTCCTGGTCATGGGGCGGGTTGCCTTCATTGACCGAGGATGGATAGATGATTTCCTGTGACGCATCGTCCCACTCCCTCCTTTCCAGTAGTTCCCACTCTGCGCTTGCCATTTCTCCCAAGAGCACCGACTTCAGTTTGTCGGCGATTTTAGTAGGAGATGGCAATCTCCATGTTCGCATGAATTCAGCGCCATCTGAAGCACACAGAAAGGAGTGCACAGTGCCATGCGAATAATGTCCAAGCATAGGGAATGACTTAGTTCTTTGAATTGTTGTTTTCGGGGTGTCTTTGGAGAATTTCGTTTTGGGTTGTACTTCGCGACCAGTGACTGCCGTCACCAACGTCAAGGGTTGTGCAGGAGAGGCGAAAAGTAGCTGCCACATGTTTCTTCCCAAATCACATATTTCCTCCCAAGAGTCTGATGCTATATTGAGTCCTTGTGTTCGGCTTAGCCACGACACATTCCAAGCCAGTAACACCGCTCCCTCGAGGATAAGTGCATATGCTCCTGGGTCTTCGCTGGCCAGCTTTGGTAGTGTTTTGTCTGTATGGAGAGGACGAGGACGAGGAACACGAGATCCAAAATCTCCTGATCGTGGCGCAGAGTTAGTTGTCATGTGCGGGGCAGACGTCCCAAACCCTGCTTCGTGTGAAGTATACGACCCAGAAGGCGACAGTATAGTAGTGGTGGGATGTTTTCTATGGGGAAGAGATATTTCGGCAGGGAGCCTGAGGGACAAATAATTCGAAACTAATACAAGGAGATGAGCAATGTAGGCGAATGAGGTCGAAATCTGAGCTGGTGTCGCGCCTGTTTAGGTATTATTATTTGCAAGACAGGGTGGCAAGGTCAAGATAACTTTCCATTCATATCCTTTAGGTTCATAATGGGTACCCCGCCGATATAATAAGTCTCTTTGAGTTCACCATCTCTCTTCTTGACCTTTTGGCGTAGACCGTACAGGTTGGCGGCTTCTCGGCATAGAAAAATTCGGGCCTCCGCGGTCTTGCTATGTAGCGAGTGCCAGAGATGATCCGTTCTTTTGGTGCTATTTTGGATCCCAGCCAACATCGTAGCTTCCCGTTCCGCAAGTTGATAGTTAGCAGACTCGGCATCCGACTTTTGTTGGGCTAACTCCAGTCTGCGATGGGAAATGTCTAGCCGTCTGTCCTTGATTTCTAGCCTCAGTCTCTCGATCCGATTTGTAAGGCTCTTAGTCCTGGCGGATGACTTGGTCTTCTCATCGATGATATTTTGAATGGTCCAGGATCTGTACTGCCTATCTTCAAACTTGGTTTCTAGCTTGTCGTGTTGACCGAAGGATAGGCTTCGAGCGCTGTTAAGTGTGACTGCATTCTGGATTTGGCACGATATAGACTCCCTTTCGAGAAGAATCCGAACATTTTCATGGCGCAGATGATAAAGGCGATTGCGGGCGCAGGTAGGGCAAAAGAGTTGTCTATGTTGTGTCAAGGTACGGTTGCAAACGTGGCAACTCATTTCAGCAGCAGTCTTATGTCGTTGTGTTACTGATCTAGCTCAGATCAAGCCCTTCAACGGATATAACCGATGGTCTTGGTAGGAAACATATCAAAGCTATGATAATGGGAGTTGGGATCCTTCATGGCTTGGGATGCATCACGTATAGGGGAAAAGTCCAGGACAAGATATGAGAATTTTGGAGAAATATGCAATGCAAGGGAAATTTGCTAATAATACGGAGGCAGACAACAGCATGCCTAACCTATCATTATCACCTGACAAAGAAGGTAAGCGGAGTGACGTGACGCAGTTCCAATTCAAGTGAATACCGCGGGTGACGGATCAACTATTTCGCCGATCAGGGCGCGGTTCTTTACGTGATTGGAAGCAGAACAGGATCAATAGCAGTGCATCTGCAGAACGGCGACAAAAAAGATTATGACCAACAACAACATTATGGCAGAATAAAGATTAGCAAAAATTCAAAAAGAGTAGTCATGCCCGGGATCGAACCGGGAACCTTCTCGGAGCATTTAATGTGAGCGAGACGCCATAACCATTAGGCCACACGACTTGGGATGTTCTATTATGTGTATTTTTACATATAAGAGACAAAACACATTACACTCCAAATCTCTCGTTAATGTGTGCACCGTAGTTATGGCGGAGTACGGACTTATCTCGCATGAATCTATTATCTAAGCACTCCTACTCGCGACTGTAGAGCATCTACTGTAGCAGTTCAATAAGAAGATATCTATCTAGTACTATACCACAAGCAGTAACATACGTATAGCAGTAGCAAGTATAAGTGGTGGGCTGTCCGATGTATCGCGGTTACACATACTACAAAGGACCTGCAGGTGACTATACGCGTGCAATGTGTAGAATTGAGAGATCGTTCCATATATAGTAATAGTGTAGCGCTATATGGACCCTTTCACCTGATTTAGACCAAGTATTGTACAGTACTGGTGTTGCACAATCCCTCTTCCAGTCTTGAAGCTTTGCAATCTGAATGCCATTTCTCACATAAAGGCCTTTGTTTGCAATGCCTGACAAGGAAAACTTATTATTAATTCAGTCGCGTGGCCTAATGGTTATGGCGTCTCGCTCACATTAGATGCTCCGAGAAGGTTCCCGGTTCGATCCCGGGCGTGACTATCTTTTTTGTAACTTTTGTTTGGTCTTGAATGGTCAGAGTACCTTTACCGTACTGTACCAAATACTCAATACTGGTATGTTATACAATCGGTAATGCTAATATTACATACCTCACACGCTATAATACAATACCGCCCACCGCCATAAAAAAGCATCCACAGTAAGGTACACCGGAGTACACTAGGTAGGTAAGGTAGGTAGGTACGGTAGTCCGTACTGACAGCGGAATGCAAAGCAACCTGACGCATCTTCTAACAGAGTAGTAGTCTTGCTCCTGGGCTGCCACCTTTTCTTGTTTTTGCTCTTTTGAATTTTGCTCCTTTTCATCTGATGAATTGTCGTTGGATGTGAACCATAACCAGGGATTGTGCACTCTCTAGAACAGGACGACAAACATTGATACCCCCTGCAATATCCCAGTCAAAGACAAAGCATAACCATGTCCACCGAGGAGCTTGAGAGCCTCGACTGGGAGAAACTTCACCAGAACTTTGCTCACGCCATGGAAGAGCATGGACAAACTGAGGACGAGCTGCGAGCCCGAATTTCGAAGCTGCTCGAGGTGATTGAAATACTCTCTTTGTTCTTGGGTCGTTCGCTACTGATACCGCCTAGATTTTCATGGCTTGGTCTCAGATAACTGTTGTCCGGGATGAAGCAAGAGCACTAAAGAGGTTGGGGCCCATTGGTGAAATACTTATTTGGCATTTGTGGGCTCAAAATTTACAGATTCAAGACACAAATGCAACATGTGCAGAATTCAGAAGAGAGCTTAGAGAAGAGAAGACAACATTGTAGGTGATAAGTTAAGGACTTCTGCTTTCGAAAAGCGAAGGTGATTAACGCTTTCCTGACAGATGTTGATGTCGTGAAGGCATTTGAAAGCGCACTTGCATTGTTAAATGATCGAATTAAGGCCTAAACCCTGGTTGCGAGTAACTAAAGTACTACCAACCCCCCTGTCCCAATCTGTTTCAAAAAAGCGGCAGATTCCACGAAATTCATCTGCTTTCCTATTTTCATTCTGAACAGCATCCTACTGCTCAGTCATGTTCGTGACATGGATAAAGGAGGATTTGAGAAGACGTAATATCACCCAATGCTATTCAGTTGTGTACTAAGCTGAACCACTAACCTGTTCCAATGAAACGGGCAAGTAGGGAATTTGCAGATGCTAATGTATCATCCGGTTGTACCAAACCGTCGACTAGTGCTTGCTAGTAGGCTTTCTTCTTCGGCATCTTCGGCATCTTCGTCAAGCTGCTGCTCGTCCAATTTTGGTGACCGTATGAGGCATGTGGTTAGAACTATCAGGTAAACGCCTAGGCAATGAGGTACTGTCAGTATGGTCGGAGCGAGAATTTTTGAATAAACAAGGTGTATTACCGAGAAAGAAAAACTGGGCCCAGAACAAGATTGCACCGAAGAAGGGGAAATTCATTGTCACACGATTGAGTATTGTGCTGGCAACACTTGGTGTGCAGACTTGCTGTGCAGCTTTGTTTTGTGACAACTCAGAACATGGTCTGATAAGGTGTTCGGCATTTGTGCAATCCGGTTGCTTCTCGGACGCATTTTGGCTTCGATCACAGAATGTTTGCGGCCCAAAAGTGGCGTATTGAGGTGCAATAGTCATGGGTATTGAGTAATTTAGCGCCAAAATGATCAACATCAGCATAGCTGTTGTCAAAAGAAGGGCCTGCGGGGAAGTGTGGCCCTTGCGAATTTGGAAAATCCTGATCCAAAGGAACCGAATCCCGACAGCAGATATACCAACAACCGAGCCAATGAATAAAAACAAAACAAGGGCGGTAAAGAGAGCATAGTCAACTGGATACACCTTTGCAGCTCGGACCAATATCCAGTTGATAGGGTTGAAGATCTTGATGTGGGCGAGAATGTAACCGCAATGGGATTTGCAAAATGAATTTTTAGCCTTATCAATCGCCGTCAGAAGCATGGAGGCCCATATTATCAAGGAGGTTAACAACAATACGATGCCCCCTAGAAGCTGAAAAGGGCGAAGACATGCTTTGATTTTCAGCCACGAGTTCACAAGCCAACCCCGATTGTTTCCCGAAGTTTCATCGGCCAGTCGTTGCCGTCTGATCAGGGTTCGTTCTTCTCGAGCAAGAGAATCCAGCTCTCGTCTATCCTTTGAAGACAAGAGATCCGGGTTTCCTCCACAACGGCCTTCCAATTGGCGCTGCCGTTCTCGGTTGGATACAAGCTGTGTGGCTGCGCCTGCCCCAGAATCTGAGGTTGAAAATGAGGGTGTGGTTTTGATCAGACTAACTGGAAGGAAAGCGAGTCCAAAGGAGGTGTAGAAGATGTACAAGCACATGCCGAGTGTCATCAACAATCCAAGTGCGAAAGTGAGAGTACGTTCACCACCTGCAGAATACCTTAGCATCCTTGTACAAGAACGTTTAGGAAAACAGAGAGAGGAGGGGTTTGGGGCCAGGTTCGAAAGAAAAAGGACCAAGCTTACGATTCTCAGATAGCAAGTGTTTGAAAAAGTCCAATCCGCCCGCCTTTTCTTTTGAAACAGGAACAAAGAAGCCGACGAGGAATAGGACTGCTGATATTGCAATAAAACACATGGTGTACTTGGAAGCTGCCCAAAACTGTTGTGCAGTTGTTTGCTCGCCCGCTTCAGTAGCCACTTCATCGTACTCTTCATACCAAAAATACGTGAAAGGGATCACAATGAGACATAGAAGGGCATCAATAGAATATAGGAGGTAGTATAAGACTTTCAAGGAGAAGAGAATCCTATCTACTTCACTCTGGGTAGCCCATTCCTTCCTCCGACCAAGTGCTGAGGAGGTTGTGGAGGAGACGAGGGCGATATCAACTGGAAGCAAGAGAACAGTGGCGAGAAGAATAGAGATGGCAGCAATACATGTCAAAGTCACTAGATTAGACCGATCTCGAGGAGTCTGGTAAGTATATATGAGAAAAGAGGCTGCTATGATCAGAATGGCGATCACAATTGCATACACAACCCAGATCAGGGATGTTTGCAGAAGCACCATATTGTAAAGACCGAGTATTCATATGGGACTCAAGCCATTCAACGGATATGCGAGAAACTCCGAAGCCTATCCACAGTATGTTGCGATCATGGGTGTCGAAGAGTCCGAGGGATGCTCATGAGTTGCAGAGCGCAGACTGAACTTGCGCGCCTTACGTCATCGAACTGACGCCGCGGAAAGGGTCACGTGGGAGCTCTGGCGCTGGGCGGACGGTGATAAAGGAAACAGTGAAAGGAACGAACGGCTTTGTCCAAACCCCCGAGACCTACTTATTCGAGTCGGATGGCTGACTTTCAATTGATCCCCACCCTTCAACTTCCGTTGTCCTCCTCCGCCTTTCTCGCAGGTAGTTCTCCCCCGGCGCCAGAGCAGTCCAATATTTAGCTTGATGGGGAAGGGTCTACGACGGGCACCAAACATTCTCATTCTCAACGGCTTGCGATCTACAAATGCAGTGCTATACCGAAATCCTGCCTCCCACCGGGGTCACTCATTCATTGGCAGTCCCCTTCACTTGTGCGACAGCCAATAACTTGGTCGTTGCGAGGACCTGCCAGCTCCAAATATTTTCTTGCGTCAAAGCCATACCACGGTCGGAAACCGCTCAAGATCAGGCAGCATCCAAGCTGGTGCTGGAAGGAGAATTCGCTCTTCCTGGGATAATAACCGATATTTGCCGGGTCAAGGTTCTAAATACAAAGAGCGGAGGGGAAGCTATCTTAATTGCATTCCGAAACGCCAAACTTAGCTTGATCGAATGGGACCCAGAGCGCCATGGCATTTCGACTATTTCCATTCACTATTATGAGCGAGATGATTTGACCCGTAGTCCTTGGATACCAGATTTAAGCAGTTGTGGCAGCATCCTTAGTGTGGATCCGAGCAGCAGATGCGCAATCTTCAACTTTGGCGTTAAAAATGTCGCCATTCTTCCTTTTCATCAAGCAGGAGACGACCTGGTGATGGACGATTACAATTCTGATTTTGAGGAGAAACAAGATGGTACTGGCTCCGGGGTGGAACTTTCTAACGGCGCAGCCCAAGACGAGGCGGCTCACCAGACCCCGTACGCGTCTTCCTTCGTCCTCCCTTTAACTGCGTTAGATCCGTCGATACTGCATCCGATAAGCCTTGCATTTCTATATGAGTATAGGGAACCCACCTTTGGCATTTTGTATTCACAGGTTTCAACATCAAATGCACTTCTTTCTGAGAGAAAAGATGTTGTCTTCTACACCGTGTTTACGCTAGACCTGGAACAACGAGCTTCCACTACACTTCTCTCGGTGTCCAAACTGCCTAGTGATTTGTTCAAAGTGGTGGCCCTTCCGCCCCCTGTTGGAGGTGCTTTACTTATCGGCTCCAACGAACTCGTCCATGTCGACCAGGCCGGGAAGACCAATGCAGTGGGGGTGAACGAATTTTCAAAGCAGAGTTCAGCTTTTGCTATGACCGATCAATCGGATTTGGCTATTCGGCTTGAAGGCTGCGTTGTTGAACGCCTTGATGAAAGCAATGGTGATCTGGTGCTGGCTCTTTCTGTCGGAACGATGGCACTTGTCAAATTCAAGCTTGATGGAAGGTCGGTGTCTGGCATCTCGGTCCACCTCGTACCTGCACATGCTGGTGGCGACATAATGAAATCTGCTGCTTCATCGGCATCTTTTCTTGGCAACAGGAGAATCTTTTTGGGCAGTGAGGATACGGATTCGGTATTACTTAGCTGGAATTATTCGTCTTCGGGTATGAAGAGGACGCGATCCGAGGCTAGGTATCTCGATGAGAGTTCAGGAGACTTGTCAGAGGAAGACCAACTTGACGATGATGCGCTGGAAGATGATCTTTATTCGACCACACAGGATGCAACGACGGACGGTCGCCTCTCTTCTGCTGAAGCGTATATGTTTGGACACTGCAATTTCCAAATCCACGACAAGCTTTTGAATATCGGGCCCCTCCGTGATATCACCTTGGGTCAGTCTCATTTACATAGCAAGGAGGGAAATGAACAAGGTGCAGGCGGCCCTCCGTCCACACTGCAGCTCGTATCGTCGCAGGGGTCAGACAGGAGTGGTGGAGTGGTAGTGATGAAGCGTGAGATTGAACCTTTGGCTCTCGTATCCCAAAAGATTGATTCCGCCGCTGGGGTCTGGACTGCCTCTGTAATCAACAGAGCGACTGAATCGGATACAAGCGGACAAGCGCAAGAGCCGAACTGGCGACACTATGCTATCTTTCCCAAACGGACCGTGGCTGAGAAAGAGGAATCAGTCATTTTCCAGGTAGAGGGGCAGGAACTTAAGCCTTTCAAAGCGCCTGAATTCAATCCTAATGGTGACTTTACCGTGAAAATCGAGACGCTAAGGAGCAATAATTGCGTGGTTCAAGTCCTCCAAAACGAAGTTCGGAGCTATGACGCTGGTAAGTACTTGCCCACCACTACAATACATGGCTTGTTCTAACCGAATAGAACTGGGCTTGGCTCAGATTTACCCTGTGTGGGATGAGGAAACCAGTGAAGAGCGCATAGCTGTGAGCGCTAGTCTCGTGGGTACTTATCTTGCGATTCTTCGAGATGACTCTACGTTATTACTTCTCCAGGCAGATGATAGTGGAGACCTCGACGAGGTTTCACTGGATGGAGACCTGGCACGTTTGAGTTCGAAATGGCTGTCCTGCTGTCTGTACTGTGATAAAAACGGTGTCTTCGAGGTGGCTCGCCCAACCCCAGATGGGCTACCTCAAGATGAGGTCTTCTTGTTTCTGCTCAGTTTGGATTGTCGATTATTCGTGAGTGACATGGCCCTTTCCAGAGAAATTCCCAGCTTTGCTCTAGGAATGTGATAGGGAGTTATGTGTATGGACATGGATCTGACAGAAGATTCAGATCTACCGACTCTCCGACCAGACTTTAGTGTCGATCATAGAAGGCGTCGATTGTTTAGGTCCAATTCTGTCGGCTGAGCCACCGAAGCGGTCGACAACGCGGGAGCTCCTGTCTGAGATTGTTGTTGCAGACCTTGGTGATGACTGGTGCACTAGTCCTTACTTACTCGTATGACCCCTGATCTCCCACACCCTCCTCTGGAAATTATTGACGCTGAACGCAGATTCGAACCGTGAATAACGACATTTCGGTGTACAAACCCTTTGTAGCTGCAGCTGATACTGGGGAAACGCTCTCTAGTTTAAGGTTTTTGAAAGAAACAAACCATGTTCCACCGAAAGCTTCTTCTACCGTTGACCCGGCTGAATTAGGCGATTCGCAGAAGACACCGCTACGAATACTCCCCAACGTCTCGGGCTTCAGCGCTGTATTCGTGCCTGGATCCTCAACCGGCCTTATACTCAAAACATCGAAAAGTCGACCGCATTTCACACCTCTAGGAGGGGACTCAACATGGTCTTTAAGCAGCTTCAATCATGATGGAGGCGCCAGTACAGGCTTTATCACGTTGGACTCGAAGGTATCTTCTACACGCACCCTTCCCTATGAGACCATGAATATGCATATTGAATAATGCACAGAATATTGCGCGATTGTGCCAATTGCCCAGTGATACAATCTTCGATCACCCTTGGACATTACAGAAGGTATCCATCGGCGAGCAGGTTGATCATTTAACGTACTCTGTCTCGTCTGGGACGTACGTTTTAGGAAGCTGCCATAAGACGAGTTTCAAGCTGCCCGAAGATGACGAGCTGCACCCTGAATGGCGCAACGAAGGTCTGTGCCTAGGCCCCCGGCTTTGTGGGACGTCAGTATTGATTAAGCTATAGTGATATCTTTGCTTCCCGAAGTGCATCAGAGCTCGCTAAGGCTCCTATGCCCTAGGACGTGGTCCATCATCGACAGGTAAGATGTGGGACTATGACTAAGTGTTTTCAAACACTAACATGGATTTCCAAAAGCTACACTTTAGGCCCGGCCGAGCACGTTACCGCGATCAAAAACTTGAGTTTGGAGGTATCCGAAAATACGCATGAGCGGAAGGATATGGTTGTGGTTGGAACTGCATTTGCGCGGGGCGAGGACATCGCATCCCGTGGCTGCATCTATGTCTTTGAGGTGATCAAAGTGGTTCCCGATCCGGAAAAGCCAGAAAACGACCGGAAGTTGAAACTCATCGGCAAGGAGTTGGTCAAGGGCGCAGTAACTGCGCTATCGGAGATCGGTGGCCAGGGGTTCTTGGTCGTCGCTCAGGGACAGAAGTGCATGGTCCGGGGTCTCAAGGAGGATGGCAGCCTCCTGCCCGTGGCTTTCATGGATGTGCAATGCTACGTCAGCGTCGTCAAAGAACTCAAGGGCACTGGAATGTGTATAATCGGAGATGCCGTGAAGGGGCTTTGGTTTGCAGGATACTCGGTAAGTGCTCTCTCACTTCATGTCATTGATGGGACCGAAGGAGTCGTCGCTAATGTCGTAATCGCTTGTTCCCCATATAGGAAGAGCCGTATAAAATGAGTCTTTTCGCGAAGGACTTGGATTATCGCGAAGTCATGGCGGCAGATTTCCTCCCCGACGGCAACCGATTATTTATCCTCTTCGCCGACAGTGACTGCAACCTTCACGTGCTGCAATACGATCCCGAAGGTAAGCTCGGAGAACCCATGCCATTGTCGAATGGGCAATCAATATGCGCTCGCTGCGAGACATTTGTGCTGACAGAAAGGGCCGGCCCCACTAGATCCCAAATCCTCCAACGGGGACAAACTCCTCAACCGGAGCAAATTCCACGTGGGCAGCTTCGTATCGACATTAACCCTCCTCCCGCGGACCATGGTCTCCTCGGAGCGAGTCGGCTCCTCCGACGCGGATGAAATGGACGTCGACACGCAGGTGTCACGACATCAGGTGCTGGTGACCGCCGAAAACGGCTCCGTCGGTCTGGTGACCTGCGTGTCCGAGGAATCGTACCGTCGGCTCTCCGCCCTCCAATCCCAGTTGACAAACGCCCTGGAGCATCCCTGCGGGCTGAATCCGCGCGCTTTCCGGGCCGTTGAGAGCGACGGGAGCGTGGGGAGAGGCATGCTCGATGGGGCCCTCCTCGCTCGATGGCTGGATCTGAGCGTAACCCGCAGGAGTGAATTAGCCAGTCGGGTAGGAGCGAATCAATGGGAAATCAAGGCGGATCTGGAAGCTATTGGTGGCGCGGGGCTTGGATTTTTGTAGTAACCAGCAATCAAGACTTGGTGAAGGATGGATGGATACTTCAATGATCATGATATAGCAACACCCCCCCCCCCCCTTTTCTTTTAGGGCTATGCGCCGTGTAAATGTAGAAAAAAAAAAATAGATCTCGGATTGTAGATACTGACGGTTTTCTTTTTTGGGGACACATGTCCACGCCCGCAGGTAACTGAAAGAGAGAGAAAAAGGGGGTGGGAGTGTTTGAAAAAGAAATATATTAACTCCCAATGGAGAGTGTTTTCAAATGACCAGCCGATTATCAATGCTCCTCATAAGACCGCGGATTGGAAATCTTCGACCCAAAACGAACATGACCTCATAACACAATCATATATATATATAAACAGAGCCGAATAGAAAAGGGGTTCAAGAGCATGTAAAACGACCTCTCCCAGTATCCTAAACTCCTTCGCGCCGGATTCATCCATCAGACCGTGACAACACTGTTCCATTAACAATACATTCCTGGATGGTCCTATGCCCGGCACGTCCCTACCCATTGCAAAATAAGACTCAGTCCAAACGAGAAGCATAAATCGCAAAATGGGAACCACAAGAAGAAAAAGGCACATGCATCTGCGCCAAAGGGCGAGGGAGAAGAATTCCTACAACCCAGAACGAATCCATCCAGATGGACAAGACAAAGAAGAGAACTGAAGAGGAAATTTCGAATAATCCCCTGGCCACCCAAATGCACATTTTTTTTAAGATGAACTGGCCGGATGTTCGAGCACCGGCGTGCCGTGCCGATGGTTGGTGCTTCCTCGGCGGCTTGATCCAAAAAGCTTAAACCTAAAACACATCCTCCGCGGCGAAATAACGCTTACTTCGTCCTCGAGCAGCAACAAACTTCATCTCCGGCATGTTGGTGTGATGCACGACGTGCGGTCGGTAAACTGCGTCGACAGGTGCCTGCCAATCATCCAACCCAAGAGGGAAATACTCATATAGAAGGTCGGAATTTTCGTTGGGAAACGGTAAAGTAGACGCGAAGGGCTGCTGGAGGTTTGTGGCATTCAACAATGGTAGCGATGACGAGGCTCGTGTTGGTGTTTGGGAAAGACCATGGGACAATTTGCGCAATTTCGCCGGCGGTGCAGATCCAGGAGCACCCGGGTTCTTATTTAGCACCTCATTGATATAAGAGGAAGTCGAACCAACTGATTCATTTACGTTGGCGGCCTCTCCGCTGTCTTCTTCGTCCAATAATGACAGGTTTATAGGAGCGGCCACGGAATTTGTTCGTCGCTGATTTTCCGTCGGCCTTGAGTATTCCGGGCTGGACTGGGAATATAGAGATGAGTGAGGCAGGGCTGAAGAAGCAACCGCACCACTTGCAGGCCGAGAAGCTTGGTTCCAGCCCGGGGACGCTTGCTGGGGAATAAGGCCAGCCTGGGATCTTGTGGTATCGGGAGAGCTACTTTTTGCCGGGGCCTTAGCCTTGGCCGCTGTCTGGCTAGAGCGTAGGGCGGCTTCACTAGCAGAAGCTCGGTTGACCGATGCAGAATGGGAGGCCTGGGCATTCTTCCTGGATGCAGCGGCGCTCCCGCTCAAGGGCAAGTCTTTGCGGGACTGGAAATTGCGCGGACTCCGGCCTCGAACGATTATAGGCCCTGATTGCACCTCACATATGGGGATTTTGGTGCCGGTTGATAAAGTGGCGACGACCTTGAGTCGAACGAGGAAGTGCTGTTGAAGTTCCTTTCTGCGCCCGTTGTTGGCCGTTGCGACTCGGAATTGAAGCCGTTTCCATGCGATGGGAAATGTAGCGTAGTCGGTGTCGAGATCCTGGCCGGCCATTATATCCAGGGGGATTGGAGGGGGCTCTTTCTCGACTTTGGGAGTATTGCCCGTAGAATTATTCCCATCTTCGCCGAGGGGGGTTCCGCTGGCCGCAGGAGTTTTCCACGGAACAGATATAATCTTGACAGCATTGCCTTCCACCGATTCGGTGGCGGAGACTGTCAGCTCCTGGGCCAGGATGGGTATCCGATCGCCTTGATCGGTCATAATGTAGCGCAAACTCCGCGGAAGCGTGACCGACCCGGTAATCTGAAATAGATTGCGGCGGTAGCAAGTTAATTCAGCACCCTGTTGGGGTGGAGCATTCTCGGCAGGTGATGTAGTCCAGGGTGACTCTGCAAGGAAGAACATGCCGTGCAACTGGGCCGAAAGTGACAAGGAGGTTCGTCGTAATGAATAGTCGAGAAGCGTAAAGCTGTAGGCTGGAACAGAAAAGCTTAGTAGTTTATTATTGTGGTCGATGGAAGAATCCGCAGACTGCTCGGGCGGTGCAGGTTCAAACGGAGTCACCATGTCTGTGAAAGGATCTTCATAGCCCGAAGGGAACCTCTTCAATGTCGCCGGCAAACCATTTGGAGGAAAGGGTATGTCATCTCCGCTGAGCCAGGGAAAACGTTAGCAGTCCGCCTAGGATCGAGTGAGCGCGCCAGAGCCGGGTGTGCTTGGGAGCATACCTAACAAAAGTATCCGAGTCGAAGTTGGAGCGTTGGTCCGGGATTTCCATTCCCGGCATAGAATTGAGATAATCCGCGCTCTGGATATTGCCAAGCGACAATGGGCTGGCTAGGTATGGCATGGCCATGGTATCAAAGCCCTCCATGAGGGCTAGGTCCGACTGCGGCCGACAAAGACTATAAAAACTATAGCGGTTTCTTTTTTGTCTGACACGAGAGGACGGTAGAAGTGATGACGGGGCAAAAGATGTTAATAAGCGACTTTAGAAACGGCAGACACGAGCCCGAAAAATAGAGGTGGGAGAGTTGAGGGTGAAAAGAAGCCGGTGATGGACAGGAAAAGTGAAGGATGAAATCACAAGGGTGGAAAGACAAAGTTAAAGAGGGGAGGACATGGAGGGTCAGGGCGGAGTGGTGGGGGGTAAAGAATGATAGTAGTGGCAAAGGTAATTTGAGGGAGCACCGAGGGAATGGAACGAGGTGAAGAAGACGCGAAGAGGTAGCGGAATGGGGAAACAATTGAGGAGGGGCAGAAGGATGAAGGAGAAGGGGGAGAAAAGACGGGGACAAAAGAGAGAATAGTCAGTTAAGTGAGCGAGCTGTAGCAGTAGGCGTTGTAACTTGGAATAGTAGTTGTGAGTGGATCGGATTCCCCCGAGGTTCAGTATGGACTATGGTGGGGATCGCAGTAGGTTTTCAATGCAGCAGCTAAAAGACAAGACCAACGATCCGGAGTCAGTCTAGTCGGGATTGGATTAATGGAGATAACAAGAGAGCAGGAGACGGACCCGGCGACGGGGGGGCCGCAGGAGCCAGTGAGCCAGCAGGAAGGGAGTGGATAATCTGGATGGGATGGGTCGCTCGCACCAGAGGGAGAAAAAAAAAAGAAAAGGGAAAGACTACTACTGTCTCTGTCTCTCTCTCTCGCCCTGGTTCGAGGTTAGTTAGTTGGTGACTTTAGTTGAAAGGCACGCAACGAATGAGGGAGGCACTGATGGATCACGAAGACAGGCTGACAGGCGACAGCCCTTTGGGAAGTGGAGAAGGATGTGTGAGATGAAAGGTTATTAGTATTACTTGGGGCCCTATCTCTCTCTCTCTCTCTCTCTCTCCTTCTTCTCCGGCCTTTTCTCTCGTAACCATATACCAAATGGGTTCCCCTGTGACCGTTCAGACCTTAGAAATCTTTCATCAGACCATCGATCGTAGCAGCCAGAAGGGAGCCGGGGAGACGGGGAGAGAAGAGAGAGAGAGAGAGACAGAGAGAGTCAACCAAAGAGAATCCCCGACCGCAGGCGGAATCTTCTGCTTTTCATTCGCCCCACTTTTCCCACTTCCCTTTTTATCCTATTTTTTTTTTTTTTCTATTTTCCTCCCCCCCCCCCCCCCCCCCTCCCTTGGAGGTAGGGAAAAGAAATTATAAAATAAGGACAATAGCATAAAAGGGTACTCCATGTATTATTTTATTCCATCATTTTGGACGAAATACCACCACCGACGGGAAAAGAGTAATGATCGTACAGAGTAAGCTCATTAACTTACCAGTTGTTCGGCCGGCACGGAATCCTGCACCGAGGGGAGCGGTATGATTTCCCTTGATCTTCGGAGGGAAAGGAAAGGACATTCTAGAACAGGGGAAGCAGCCAACAAACTGGACGATGAACGCCGACGGTCGTGCTTTAGTGTCCGCAACATCTCCGGTGTGGATTGGCTGGACCGCAGATGCAGATGGCTGTTACGGAGTACAGAGACCCTGCCTCAGGACAAGTAGTTCAACGAGGTCCAAGTCAGAAGGACGGAAGTCTGCATCCGCTCAATTTGCTAAACTTCCTTAGCCGAAAACTACCCCAGTTTCGCAGCTACGGACCTGCCGCATTGGGAGTTGGGAGACTGGGATGGATGGGAGAGGAGGGGGGGAGCTCCACTTCGACCCGGGGAATAATAACCATTAATCCCGACGATAGGTAGCAGGGTCAACTGTATGCGTCTGAATACTGATAAGTGGGCTGCCTTCTATTACCAGCAGGGATTCAGGTGGGGACAATAAGTTCTTTCAGCCACTCACTTCATCCCATGTACTGTAGGTGTACATTTGTACGCTGTACCTACCAGGTTCGCGAGCAAGTCCCTTTGTTCCTCAACAATCATAAGTAGGAAGTGATGCCTCGAGGGGCTCTTTCATCCCAAGTACGCAGTGACTGACAACTGAACCCAGAACGGTGGCTAGTGCTGAGTGCAGTCCACCACATGTACTAGGATAGCACTCCGTCGCAGGGCGATTCCCAACTCGGATAAGTCGAGGAAAAGAGGCGAGATCCGGATGCAGCCACTGATTGGGCCAGGGTCCAAGCTTACCCAAAACGTCGTTCGGAGCTCCGTCGCACCAGATTCATTATCTGTACGGAGTAGCTTGTACATACGGAGGACCGATAGTACTATCTGCAGATCTGCAGATATCTCAGAGTCTGCCGTTATCACTTAGCCCTAGGTGGCCTAATTATATTATTATTATTATAATAAAGATAATAATAATATCATCATAACAATAGTGATAATAATAATGCTATTATCCGCAAGATGACTGCATTGCGGATTTGCTGCAGTAAATCCTGCGAACTGCACCTTCTCCGGAAGTGGTCTAGCGCCAGTCGCCCAAGAGATGGGGGCGGAGTCTGGCGGCGTGATTGGGCGAGAGGGAGCAGTTGCATGTCTCAGTGACCTGAGGGTGGTGAAGGCCGGATCAGCCGCGCCTTATTTCGGCCAGGACCGCTCGCAGGCAAGTGGTCGAGACCTCGCGCCCATTGGCGGTAACTCTATTTCTTGGGTTCTGCCTGGCCGCTGCCCGTTTTAAGTTTTTTTTTTTTTTTTTATTATTATTTATTATTCATACCTTACTATGATCATGGCCCGGGCACACCGAGGGAGATAAGTCCATTGTCGTACCTAGTCAGACGCACTCGGGCCTCTCTCCATATAACCATCCTCGATGCCTTTCAAGTGCATGCCTCTTCTAGCAGATTTCTAAAACGAGTCCGAGTACTCGCAGGTGCATCAATGGTGGTATCTACAGTATAGAGGGGGGACGTAGAATAAGTCAGTCCTGAGTGAGGACTAGACAGGCTCGATGGCATGTGATCCTCTGCCCACCAACATCACGAGGTGAAATCGTGAAACCCTCTTGTTTTCCGTTTCGCCCACTTTGCATTTTGGGGTGGCGGGAGATGCCTCCTCCACTCTTCCGCCAGCTCCCTTCAGACCTTAAAAAAATATTTACACCAAAAGAAGAAAAAAGAAAAAAGAAAAAAGAAAGAAAGAAAGAAAGAAAGAACGAGGCTCTCCAGCAGAAATTTCCCTCGTCTTGACAAGATTTGAGGAGGATCACGTGCCGTGGCGTCATCCCGACCCCTACTTAGACTGAGTAGGTGTAGACCCTTTTTGACTTTCTCTTGTGGATATCATGGTGGACAAGAAGCAGCAGTCCCAAACTCACGGAAATTATTTCATTATTATCCCTCATCCTAGATGTGATGTTTTCACCCCCTCTGCAATCTTCACTTGGAGTGGGTGGTGGCCCACTTTTGGCCCGGTCCATCACATCCATATCCGCAAACGTCCTGGCTGCTCGCGTTGATTGGTTGCGGCCGGCCTGTTGGAACCTTTGAACGGGCCCAACTTTGGCCCCGATGCCCCGAATGCAGTGGCTCTGGTCCCTGGGCTCGTGGGGGACCTTAATTTCGATCTAGGGATGATGCACCAGCCGACCGTCCCGCCCTGGCATGGTCTCGGCCTCTCGGCCATGCTTCGATCTAGCTCCCCTGGGCATGGAAGGACGGCTCATTCGAGAAAAGAAGAGAAAGAGAGCTGTCGAGTTGACATTATCATTGCACTGTACACTCATAATAACAAATCACAACAAGAGAACAACTGAGGGTATTGATGTGCCATAGAACCAATGCAGAGTGGATATCATATGTACCAAGCCAGAACTGCCACTGCAAACCCATGTGCTGCTGCTGCTCAAGATAATCATCAAAGAAGACCGACACAGTAAAGACACAAAAAGAGAAGAAGATCGACTACGTAGCAGTGATCATCGTCCATGTCGAGGCATCGCAATTTACCTCCTCAAAGCTGTGCAGCGTGCTGAAGCCCATTCCTGCCAGGCAGTCAAAATTGCCATCTCCGTCAACCTGCACCAGAACTATTAATGGAAAAGGCTCGGCCACAAGAGGAAAGAAGAGGGAGGCTGGTGCCCATTACTCACACAATCCATGATAACGGCCTCGACTCCTTGCTTACGGATTTGTTTGATCCCCAGAAAGACGAGGCCCTGCATCACGGTAGCATATTCCCCAACCGACGGCGAGATCACCGGCGAGGAAATGCCGCCAGCTGAGCCAGGTGTAGATTTGAGTGCCGGCATGTGCTCCGCCAAAGTCGCTCGTTCGTTGTAAATAACAACGCTGCCCAGGATCACTCCATCCCGAGGCCGCGTAGCTCTGATGACCCCCGAATTAGGTGCCCCTCCCAGCGCCAGTTTATAGATATCTACCACACCCTGCCTGGAATTCGTCTTGATATGGTCGAGGATCAGATCCGCGGAATCCCACCCGTAGACGAGATCGAAGGCTACATCTGCGTTATGCAGACCTTGGACCAGCCCATCCGGAGGGGTCCAGGTGGACAGGTTGCGCAGGTATACGCTGCAAACGGGTCGCGAAAGGGAAGTGTTCCAACCCAGGTTCGCGAACCATTGCCGTAGCCTCTTGCGCTCGACCTGGTTGGCGGATGGAATGCCAAGGTAAATCCCGGGAAGGCGAGAACCGAGCTGGAACCTCCGTACTCCTTTTCGCTGAAGGAGGGTCCGGATGGCTCGGTTGTGCAGGGAATTGCCGATGGAGAGTTTTCGTCTTGTCGGGTCAACAATTAACGATCCGATCACGCCAGTGCCCGTGGACCTAAAAAAGTATGTTGAGCAAAATCCATAGAGGGCTCGCGTGCTGCTGTTGCGTACAACGAAGTGCCCCTCGTCAATATCTTCTCTTCGCAGAAGGAAACTACTGGATGTCACACCCAGCAGCTCCGAGCGCTGCCCATGAGTGCAATCCTCTCTCAACGCATCTAATAGAGAATCCAAAGCGTGGGCGTCTCGCTCCTCGTTCCAATTCTCCACGAGCCAGTGCTGGCGCGCTTGATGCAGTTTCTGACTTCGATTGATTGATCCTGGCAGGGAGCCCATGGGGGCCATTTCTCCATAAAGTACCTTGACAAGCGCCTCCAGCGCCGTCTCCGTGAAGTCGTACGTGCATAAATAGGTTCCAATAGAAGGGTCTGTCGCGAAGTCATAGGGGGAGCTGGCTGCAACGACTACCATGGGCTTCTCGCAAGCCTCCCCGGCTGGCGTAAACTGGGACCGGCAGATCATGGCCACATGCTTGGTGAATCCGTGTTGGTAGAGATTTCTATTAGCATCTGCGGTGACAACAATTACTGCACCGGCCCGATCTATCAAGCTCTCGTGAATAGGGCGCACACCGTTGGCCGTGTAAGAGGTGTGTAATACACGGCCATTTCTTTGTCGGGAAAGAGACCTTCCTAGTTCTTTGAAAACACTTTCGCCGCTGAGAACAGAGGCTGTCCGATCCCCAGCTACCGTGTCGAGGGGCAAACTAAGGTGCTCGAGGACTGATCGAGACACCGCAGAGGCGGGTAATGGTTTCACTAAGGGTGTCAATAGCAATAGTTCCTCGCTTGACTCAAGGATGCTGGACAGAGGGAGCAAGTTCTGCTTGTCGCGAATCACCGAGATCGAGCTGTTATAGGCTTTCGTGGACAGACTGGTATGCGACGGCTGCATCTGCGTGAGGGAAGGGAGACCCGGAGGGTTAAGGGCCTGCTCCCAGGAGGTGCATTTTGACTTCAGAGTCAGCACCCTGCGCAACGACTGTTCGATGCGCTGCCGACCAATGATACCATTTTCCACACCAAGTTTCAACCCGTTGATGGCCTCCTGTTGCACCGGGAAAGACCGGCATAGAAGAACAATGTCGCAGCCCGCATTCTTCGCCATTACAGTCCCCCCGCCTACACCAATGTTATGGGTGAGGGCCTCCATTTCCAGGCATTCCGAGACGACTACACCGTTGAACTTCAGGTCTTTCCTGAGCAGATCATCAACCACCTGCTCACTCAAGCAAGCGTGCATCACGTTCACTCCGGCGGATGACATAGACACGCCGCCGACCATCATCGAATCTAAGCCATGAACGATAGCATTCCGAAACGGAACCAGTGCAGTCAAGCTGAGCTGCTCCAGCGATTCGGTAATGATAGGCACGTCGGTCTGCGAACCAAGGAACTCTAGATTACCGTAAGACGGGAAATGCTTCCCACAGGTCACTAAGCCGGCCTCCTTGAAGCCTTTCATGAACTCCACGCCGTACTGCGACACCTCCTGGGGGTCGTCGCCCGAGGTACGAACGCCCAAAGGCTGACTTCGGACGTTGGTGAGGACGTCGAGAACGGGGCCAAGAATCCAATTGACACCGACAGCCTTGAGTTCCTGGGCAGTAGCCACGGCGACGTCATGGGCCAATGTCTTTGAACCCGTCGCAGCAATGCCCATGGCACTCGGGAATTGTCGGATATAGATTTCATCGTATAGGCTATTTACCCCGCCATTTTCTTGGTCCAAGGCAATAAGCAACGGCACAGGATGACCAGCATCCCGGGCAATTGTTTGCAGCTCGAGAACTAACTGTGTGGCCTCTTCTGCAGCTATATCTGGGTTAGTATGCTAGATATGAATGGCGGACAAGGCTTGTAGGGTCCAAAGCCAGACCTCGTGTGGCAACGCTTGGAGGAAAGGAGGGCTAGAAGGGAATACGAATACATTTTAAATTCTTGGCTGTTAGCAGAACAGAGCCCAGATGGTAATTCTCAATAAGGGAGCGAATTTGAGGACTGACGGAGGTACCGTCAAAGCCCATCATGAACAGTTGCCCCATCTGCCTGTCGAGCAAACACAACGCTCAAGCCGTTAGCGCGTGCAATCATCGCATCAAAAGACGACCGAGTGCAGAGACCGGGAGTGAAAACGCCGCAAGAGGAATGTGCATGTTGAGAAAGAATGCCACCGCCGACGATGACGAAGCTTACAGGAACACGGGGAGAGGGAAAAGGTCATGCCAAGACAAAGGTCCTACCTGTCTAGATCCTCCCAGCCAGGGGGCAGCATGTCCTCTTTCGGGGCCATGAGGACCCTAGGGTGAGGGGGAGCCTCTGCAAAATCCACCAAGGCGGGCAAGAGAGAAGTATGGCCCACACAGACGTGGTGGTCGGGTTGAGTCAAAGGCTCAAAGGGACTTGTTGGTGGGGAGGATGGGGGGGCGAGGATGGGGGAAAGGATTGAACGAGAGACAAAACCGCAAACGATTTCGGAGCTGACAGGTGCCAGAAACGGATAAACCGTAGCGGTTGATACAAGCTACCTCAAAGGCGAGCTAGGAAGCGACCGAATGCGCGGCAGGGATCAGCATTCTACCGTCAGCTCTGAGTCGTCAGGTCGGAAATTTGGTTAGTTCCAGTGCCGAAGTACGGAGTCAGGGTAGGTAGGGGTGCTGACACTGCTGAGTGCTGACCAGCTGCTGCTTACCCGCAGACGAATCGGTCGGAACAGCAGGTGGTCACTGCGCGACATGATAACCGGAGTACCTACTGTACTAGCGGGAGTTGATCTTGGGAAAATTCAAATCAAAAACTGCCATGACCCATATACTCCGGAACCACCCGACGGTCGACCACATGGACAACGACATGGAATGTCGACAGGGGATTGAAAGGAGATGGAAGGAGAAGGTAGAAGAGACGAAAACATAGAAAGAAAAAAATCAAGTAGAGAAGACACGGCAAGTTCGTTCCTTCCTCGCGACCCAATAACCACGTGACATAGCCCGAAGCGTCCGCGTAAGGTATGGTCACTGCCATACGGGACGGTGGTCACTTACGGTACGACGCGACACGATACCTACCAGTATCCAGGCGGGGGCAACGTGACCGGCAGGGTTGCACTGAGCCAGAGAATTTATCTAATTTCCCCGGGTTCCCGACTCCACCGAATGCAACGAAGACCCATACCGTATTGGGTATAGCCGCAGTACCTTATCTCGCTGGTTGGGAACCGGCTGCCTTATGCCACCTCCTTCTGCAACATCACCTTGTCATTCTTGATGATGAAATGCCACCCTCGACATGACAATGCCATAATGGAAGTTGCGCTTGCGTCATCCGTCGCCACTCCCACCCCTCCATCCACGGTCTTCTCGAGGGCTTCGGCACAATGGAGATGATCCTGCATGTCAGTGCGCCCCTAAGTTAGTATGTACTCCGTACTATGGACCTTACTCCGTAGCAGTACCTAAGTAAGTTGCAGCTTGACGTAGCGGGTAGGCTGTATCATGCTGTCACCCTCCGCAGCAATATCCGGAATCCACTGGCCGGCAGGGTCGATTGCAACGGGGAAACCCATGGATGGGGAGCAGGTGTGTCATCTCTTCCCTCTTCCCTCTTTCCTTTCTTTCTTTTCTTCCCTCCTCCTGCTTTCCTTCTTCACCTCTTTCTCTTCGCACTTTCTTGCCCTTCATAAACCACAAACCAAAAGTTCATCCCACCAGCCCTTTGTTCGTCATCTACACCTCGTCGCTCCACCCTTCACCCACACCCTCTATCTATCTATCTATCTACCTTCCCTCCCCAGTTTCTGTTTTGACGACCGAAAGACCCCTCGGATCTATCTACCGTCGAGACAGTCTACCTCATTTATTTCTCCCCATCACTGCTTCAGCCTTTGGCTCTTCTTCCGTCGCCCCACTTTATTTGTGACGTAACTTAGTCGATATCTCACCATGTACGGCACATCTCTTCTCCTCGCCAGCTTATCGGGATTCATTGCGAGCTTTGGGCTAACGCGCCTTCTAGGAGAGTTATCATTCGAGAGAATGCCCCGGAGGCTTCGGAGTATATCGCTGATTATATCATCAGTAAGTCCTGTCTCGCACTCCTTCTACATCCAATTTGTCTCAAAAGGGCTCTATCTCTAATGCGACCTTTAGGCCGAATCAAATCCTTCAAACCAACCGAAAGCCAACCTTTTGTTCTTGGTCTCCCAACCGGCAGCAGTCCTGAAATCATATACAAGACCCTTGTCCGTCGTCATAGAGCAGGCGACATCTCTTTCAAGCATGTCGTAACCTTCAACATGGTATTTTCCCCCTTTCTCCCGCTACTGCACCGTTGAATTCTCGATCAAAATATGACAAGGACGGGATGCTGACCAAAGCAGGACGAATATGTCGGGCTGCCTCGTGATCATCCTGAATCGTACCACAGTTTCATGTATAAGCATTTCTTCTCGCACGTCGATATTGCGCCGCAAAATATCAACATCCTTGATGGGAACGCCCCGGACCTTGCGGCAGAATGTGCCTCGTTCGAGGCGCGAATTGCACGTTTTGGTGGCATTGAACTCTTCTTGGGTGGCGTCGGACCTGACGGCCATATCGCGTTTAACGAACCGGGATCCTCACTGAGCAGTCGGACTCGTGTGAAAACCCTCGCATATGACACCATCCTAGCCAACTCTCGATTCTTCGGCAATGACATCGATAAGGTCCCCCGGATGGCATTGACGGTGGGAATACAGACCATCATGGAAGCGAGGGAGGTTGTGATTGTCGCAACCGGGGCACACAAGGCTTTGGCAGTGGAAAAGGGCCTTGAAGGTGGCGTGAACCACATGTGGACGCTATCTGCCTTACAGTTACACCAACATCCATTGATCGTCTGTGATCGCGATGCAACGCTGGAACTCAAAGTTAAGACTGTACGGTACTTCGAGTCCATCGAGAACTCCGGGACGGACGCACGGACTCAGGGTCCTCCTTTGGTTTATCGCCCCAGAACCTACGTGCCCGCTCCTATCGGGGTCATCAAATCCCACCAGCAGCCTACCCCATTGTCCACACCAACCAAGGTGCCCAAGGATCTGAGGATCAACACAGAGCTTAGTCAGACGATTGAGGATGACGAGCTTACGCCGGATAGCATGTCCTCTCGAATGGTCGACTCTGCTATCAGTGGGTTGGACTCGACGTTGAAAGATGAACTCATGTTTGACCGCATGGGCACTAGGGTCGTTTCTTGAAAGGGTTCATTCCAAAATGAGCGCTCGTCAAGATTGAATTTGTTCCGGATACCAAGTACTTAAGAAACTCTCACTAGGGGTATTTTGCAGCTCGAAGGATTCTGGCATCTAAGCCCCAGCATATCTAGCAAGACAACAAGCATCTCTTGTTTCTTCTTTGGTTTGCTAAGTTTTCTTGCTATCTCCAGCTTGTTGCTTTGTTTCCTCAGTCTACTTTTCTTCGTTCGATCCTTGTTTTGTTATTCTATTTGTGGCTGTGCCGCTTCTTTCTACGCACATCAAGGAGTTCTCTTTCTTCGCTTTTTTACAGTGATAACCTCGTGGAATTTGTTTTTTGCTTTGTCTTAATGTTCATAGAATCTCGACCTTTTGGTGTCATTGTCTAGATTAAAATTACTTGGCTTTACTAAATGAAAATTAAGTAAATAGAATGTCTCTTCTCATCTATTCTATGTGTTTTCTGTATCTTGAAACCCTGGGTATGAATTGTTTAGGTGAGAAGCGGTCGCCATCGTTATTGAGAACAAATAATTCTTATAAATCGGATTAGCCTGAATGAGCGTTGTGGATTAGTTGATGTAAGTAGGAAGAACTATTCAATCGTCGTATGTACATATATAGAGGAGCTTGGCTTGGCAATTGTACCTCAAGCATCTCGAATGCTTAATATGGCATGGAGAAGAAGATAGTGTGTGTTTGTATATACAAAGATTGGATTTTGAATTTCTTATCCACTAAATACTAAATAATGTCGCGTATTAGACTGGGGAAGTCCTCATCCAGTGAAACGCTTATAGTTTGGCAAACACCGTGGCAACCTCGCCGCTCATTTCAACGAGAGTGCTCTTGTTCTTCACCCACGCCTCGATACCCTTGCGACCATTCTCGACGCCAACGCCGCTGTTCTTCCAGCCGCCGACGGCCATCTCAGCCGGGCTCTCTCCCCAAGTGTTCACCCAGGTGATACCTGCCTGGAGCTGGTCGATGATACGATGAGCGGTGTTGAGATCCTTGGTAAATACACCGGCCGCCAGGCCGAGCTCAGTGGCATTGGCCCGCTTGACCGCTTCCTCGACGGTTTCGTAGTACAGGATGGACATCACCGGACCGAAAATCTCCTCCTTTACGATCTTCATGTCATCCCTGCAGTCAGTGAAGATCGTGGGCCGAACCCAAAACCCAGCCTCCAGCTCCTTGGGCACTTGCGGCTTGCCCAGTCCGCCGTACAGAAGGGTGGCCTTGTCAGTCTCGATACCGTGGCGGATGTAGGAGGTGACCTTCTCGAGATGGGCGGCGGAGCTCAGAGGACCAAAGTTCGTGGCCTCGTCAAAGAGAGGACCGGCGCGGATGTACTGCATCTTCTCCAGAAGCAGCTTCTCAAATGCTGATTTCATGGCCGCTGGCACGAAGACACGGGTTCCATTCGTACAAACCTGGCCTGTGCTGTAGAAGTTGGCCATCATAGCCCCATCGACGGCCTTTTCCAGCTCGGCATCCGGGCAGATAATCAACGGACTCTTGCCGCCTAGCTCCATGGTCACGTACTTCATGTTGCCTGCGGCCGAGCCAGCAACCTTCATGCCCGTCGACACTTGGCCAGTGAAGGAGACCTTGGCGATGGTCGGGTGGGATGTCAAATAGGCGCCAACGTCACCCGCACCGTAGACAACATTGAAAACGCCGGCGGGAAGTCCAGCTTCCCGGTAAATCTCGGCGAGGGTCTGCGCATGCAGCGGGGTGAATTCACTAGGCTTGTACACCATGGTGTTACCCGCGGCCAGACAAGGAGCCGATTTCCACAACGCACTAGTTTCCTCCTCGTTAGTACACCAGAATCCAACTCATGAACCCACCGAGAGGGGAAAACCTACATTTGAATGGGGTAGTTCCAGGCGCCGATGCCGGCACAGACCCCCAACGGAGCCTTTTTGGTGTACACCCAAGCGTCATCTCTCAACTGCGTGGTTTCCCCGTTCAAGCCGCCGCCACCCACTAGGTTCGCATAGTATTCCAACACGTCGGCACCCGTAACGACGTCGACCGTACTCGTCTCGGTGTAGGCCTTCCCGGAATCCAAAGATTCCACGCGAGCGATATCGTCGTTACGCTCGCGCAGCAGGGCGGCGGCCTTTTGGAGGATGCGCGTGCGCGCAATGGGAGGAGTCTGAGACCAGGAAGGGAAAGCGCGGTCCGCGGCGGCAATGGCAGCATCTACGTCGGAGTGCGAGGCGACGTGAATTTCGGCTAGCGGAGAGGCATCAGAGGGATTGACGGTGTGGAAAGTCTTGCCGGAGGAGGCCGACTGGACCTGACCGTCGTAATAGAGCTGGCGCGGGGCAACGGACATGATGTGATGTAAGAAGAGAAAGTGGGAGGAGGTAGGGAGGGGGTTCGAAGGCGGATCCAAGGAAAGCGGGATCGTAGGTTTATTGAGAGGGAGGGCGATGGTCACAGTGTTCAATAGGTTATGTCGATACGATGGAAGGACTAAGGAGTGAGGAAGATGAGGAAGCGCAAGTGGCGGGGAGGAGAGAGAAGACCGTGTGCCTCGGATGAAAAAAAAAAAAAAAAAAAAAAAAGGAAGGCAAAAACAAGAAACAAGAACCTCAGGCTTCTCTCCCTCACCGCCATCCCATTTGGAGACAGTTTCCATCCTCCGCCGATCTTCTACTTCTCCTACTACACAATAACTCGTGCCTACGGAGTACTGAGTACGGCATTCATCTTCTTGTGTCCTCGGGGACGGTATTGGACGATAACGCCGATTTGATTGATTCCCGATCCCCTCCAATCGGCCTGTCTGCCATTCACTTACCCAGTCAGGTATACGAATCCTCAAACTCTCGTCGACTCAAAGAAGGTCAAAGGCTCCCTCCGCGGTGAATCTCCGTTTAACCAGTATTTTAGTGGGATCGTGGCGCCGGTTAGCGCCTGGGAGTGACGTCGTGATACTACTTTTTCGAATTAGGCACGCGAGGTTGATAAGAACCAGCCATCTTTGGGCCCAGAACCCCCGAGTCCTGGGTAAACTCGGAGCTCCTACCTCTCTTCGCCGTAAACCTGCCAGCCCAGAGGAACCCGGAGCAGAGATCCTATCATCCTACCGTCTTGGAAGGAGAGACAAATACGGAGTAGGGAAGACGGTATCAGACCATAACTACTCCGTACGTCCATGGTCCACACGGAACTCATGCAGGATTATCTATTATCTAATACGTTGACTCGGACCCACTAAATGGAGAATGTTTCCATGTCTTGGCCAGTCAGGGATCGTACTTTTTTGGTGCCTTTTCTCGAGGTGGGGAACCTGGGAGCGCGGCAGAAAAAAAAGTCGAGGAAAAAGAGATGGAGATGTCTTGTGTTGAGGAACAGCCGTGGACGAGGGAAAAAAAAAAATGGGCTGATGGTTGGCCGAACGGCCGAACCGGCAAAGGTATCACCGCAACTTTTTATCCCAGTCGGCAGACTTTTTGGCTGGATTTAAAGAGGCGCTCTTTTTTTCCTTTCCTTTTCTTTTTCTTGACTTTCCATTCCACCCCACCCTTTGTTCTCTCTATCTCCCTCCTCTTTCTTCCTCTACATTCTCCTCCCTTCTCCATTCCCCCTTCCTTCTGACCTCAAACTTTTCGTTATCATGGCCACCACGAACGAGTTCCCCGCCAGCGACGTGAACAGCTATGACTATGTCATCGTTGGAGGTGGCACGGCGGGCTGTGTTATCGCCAGTCGATTGGCCGAGTACCTGCCTAACAAGCGCATCTTGGTTATTGAAGGTGGTCCCAGTGATTTCAACGACGATCGCGTCCTCAACCTGAGAGAATGGTTGAACTTGCTGGGAGGCGAGTTGGACTACGATTATGGTACCACCGAACAGCCTATGGGTACGTTGCACCGCATGGTCTCCATGCTTCTCCGGTCCCACAAGTGATCCGGGTGTCATGCCTCGCCCGAATGATCGGAATCGCAGGAGAATTCCCTTCCTCTTCCTCTCTTGTCTGTGTTTCTCACACTTCTTGTGTTACAGGTAACAGCCATATCCGCCACTCTCGTGCCAAGGTGCTGGGCGGTTGCTCTAGCCACAACACCCTCATCTCCTTCCGTCCTTTCGAGTATGACTGCAAGAGATGGGAGCAGCAAGGCTGCAAGGGCTGGTCTTTCGGAACTTTCACCCGCGTGCTTGACAACCTGCGCAACACCGTCCAGCCTGTCCACGACCGCCACCGCAACCAGCTGTGCAAGGACTGGATCGAATCTTGCTCGACTGCCATGAACATTCCCATCATCCCCGATTTCAACCGGGAGATCCGTCTCAACGGCGAGTTGACCGAGGGTGTCGGATTCTTCAACGTCTCCTACAACCCCGACGACGGCCGTCGCAGCAGCGCCAGTGTCGCTTACATTCACCCTATTCTGCGCGGGGAGGAGAAGCGCCCCAACCTGACCATCCTCACCAACGCCTGGGTGTCTCGCGTGAACGTTAGTGACGACACCGTCACCGGAGTTGACGTGATTCTGCAGTCCGGAGCCAAACACACCTTGTGCCCCAAGAAGGAAACGATTCTGTGCGCCGGTGCCGTCGACACCCCCCGACTGATGCTGCTGTCCGGATTGGGTCCCCAGGAGCAACTCCGCTCGCTGGGTATTCCCGTCGTTAAGGACATCCCCGGTGTCGGTGAGAACCTTCTCGACCACCCCGAGAGTATCATTCTTTGGGAGCTCAACCAGCCTGTTCCTCCCAACCAGACGACCATGGACTCGGACGCCGGTATCTTCTTGCGCCGAGAGCTTCCCAATGCCGCCGGCACCGATGGTCGCGCCGCCGATGTCATGATGCACTGCTATCAGATCCCCTTCTGCCTCAACACCGAGCGTCTGGGATATGACTCCCCCACCAATGCTTTCTGCATGACCCCCAACATCCCCCGTCCCCGCTCTCGTGGTCGCCTGTACTTGACCTCCGCCGACCCCCAGGTTAAGCCCGCCTTGGACTTCCGTTACTTCACCGACGCTGAGGGCTACGATGCCGCCACCATTGTCGCTGGCTTCAAGGCTGCCCGTGAGATCGCCAAGAAGGCGCCCTTCAAGGACTGGATCAAGCGTGAAGTTGCTCCCGGCCCCAAGATTCAAACCGACGAGGAGCTGTCCGAGTACGGTCGTCGGGTCGCGCACACCGTCTACCACCCTGCCGGTACCACCAAGATGGGTGATGTGACCTCCGACCCCTTGGCCGTGGTGAACTCCCAGCTCAAGGTCCGTGGCTTGAAGGGTATCCGCGTCGCTGATGCCGGTGTCTTCCCCGAAATGCCCAGCATCAACCCCATGTTGACTGTCCTGGCCATTGGCGAGCGTGCTGCCGAGTTGATCGCCGAAGAGGCCGGATGGAAGCGCGAGCAGCCCCGTCTGTAAATGCCCCTTTCATTATGGACCGTTTACTTGACACTTTGCTTTCTTGTCTTTCGAACATCCCATCATGGAAGGGACTTGAATATTCGACAAGAGTTGGGGCATGAGCGGCTTCAGCCTGGAGCCTAGAAAAAAATTACAAAATAAATGATGGGGCGGAAATGTCTGCGCGTAACTTCATGCAGGTCTGCATGACGTGTGCAACAACATCAGCCTTACGACCGTACATGATTCATGACACCAAATGAACAACCAACCCATGCGTTTGGCAAAAGACAAAGAAAAGAAGATATTCTCGCTCTTGTGTACCTATTATCTGTGGCGGTTGTCTCTCTTCGGGTGGTTGTCAGTGATTGCTTGTTGCCCGGCGCATGGTTTTGTACAGTTCCATACAATCATGAAAATGAGTTTGTTGGATGTGCAGATGGCTTTGCTATTGTAAAACATTGACGTATATATAGAGAGAGAGAACAGATAGACTGAAATGAAAGAAATGGCATGGAAGTTAGCAGTCATCAATATGAGGTCTTGGAACCTCGATGTCCATGAAATAAAATTTCATGTTTCTGTTTATAATCATCGGTATTTATCTCATTCAGTTGGTTGGTTTTAATCTAATGGTATAACGTCTGTCTATGCTGCAATGTGCTTCTGAAACAAAAAGGCAAGGTGAACTTCACGGAAGCCAGTAGAATAAATCAAAGAAAAGCCAGGTCCTGCCATTGAATGGAAAAGAAAATCATTTGGTTGGAGCAGAAAAAAGAACAAGGAAAGACAGCAAGGGCGGTAAACCAATTCACCTGTGGTATGATGGGAGAGACACGAGGGCTCGACAGAAGCAGAAAGCCTGGCTTGCTGTGAAAGCTTGCCCCTCCTAGCGAGAACGAAACTCGTCTAATCTACCTGCATCCTCACGCTCGGCCAACGGCTGCCCCTTTCTCGGTATCGAAGATCTTGACTCCACGCTTCCACACCTGATCAACCGTCAAAGTGGGTCCGGAGTAGGGATCTGTCTCGTCGCTGAGCACCACCAGATCTGCGTCGGCACCGCTATCCATAGAACCCTTGACACCCTGCAGCCCCAAGAGGCGTGCCGGCGTGGCTGTCACAGAGTTCAGAGCCTCTGCGGTCGAGGCGCCCGACCATCGGCGGAAATTGTTGACGCACTCGATGAGGGTGGCAGAACTGCCGGCAATCTTGTCCGACCCTTCAAGGGTTAAACGGGCCCCGGTTTTGATGATGCGCTCGCCGTTGGTCCACTCGTAGATGCCGTCCGGGAGACCGCAGAGCTTCATGGCGTCGGTGACCAGGATGAGTCCATCTGGGTGGGCATTGTACGCGATGCGGACGGAGGTAGGGTGAAGGTGAATACCGTCGGCGATCACGCCGTAGCAAGGTCGACGGCGCTCGTTTTGACCCAACAGGCCAAAAATGCCCGGGTTTCGATGGTAGAAAGGCCGCATGGCGTTGAATAAGTGGGTGATCATGGTCGCTCCTTGTTCAGTGGCTGCCATCGCTTGCTCGTACGTGGCATCAGAATGTCCGATAGAGTATATGATATCCCGGGAGGTCAGGGACGAGATATGAGCGATCATATTCCCGACCTCTGGAGCCGCGGTGATCATTTTCACCGTTTGCGTGTCCCCCGTCAGGTTCTCCTTGCCGTAGCACTCGATTAGGTCTTGGAAGTCTTTTGCAGCCTGCAAGACCTCGGTCTTGTGGACACCATTGCGACCCGGACTAATGAACGGGCCCTCTACATGTGCACCCAGCGATTCTGCCCCATCTTCCGCACAGTGTTTGCTTCCCGATGGCCCTAAGGAAGGAAGTACCTATACCGTTCTGTTAGCTATCTTGAGGCGGGGAAGAAGGGCTGACTGGGATAAACGATGGCGGGGGAGAGAAATGCCTACCTTCCAGTACACTTCCGGGGTAGAGCTAACAACTGTTGGTAGATATGAAGTCACACCCGTGCGGGCAAGGCCCTTGTTGACCATACGTAAACCTTCATCGTATTCTTCTTTGGAGGCATGAGGAACGGAGAAATCGAAGCCTTGAGCGCCATTCAGCTGCACGTCGATGAGGCCCGGGGCCAAGATGCGCCCGCCCAAGTCGACGACCTCATTGGGAGAAAGATGCAAGCCGTAGAACGCCTCCTGAGCTCGAAGGATCTTTCCGGACAGGGAATCTATCCAGACGTCTTGCTCTATGAGATCATTGCCCTTGATGATGCGGCAGTTGGTGAATTTGGTGATGCGTGGAGGGGACGAGGTCTTTCCGGGCATGATGGCGTGGATTATCAAGGTGATTAGAACCCAAGCCACAAGAGAACCAGACAAGAGAAGTAGAGAGGGTGGGGGTGGACCTCATATGAGGAGAAAGGGATGTATGAAAAGAAGCGATGACGGACACAAGGAATGGGGAAGGTAGAGGAAGGTGCTGGAAAGGAAACAAAGGAAACCGGGCCGCTACATGGTGACATCGGAAATGGCAAAAAAGCAGGAACGCAATGCCCAAAGCGGGCGAGGATGTGACGTCGAAAGGTATGAGGCTGTTTATGAGGTGACATAACCAGATCCGGGGTGGCAGGTATGGTAGGTATCGTACCGTTCAGGACTGTAATCTGGAGAGGTATCATACGTAAGGGTAACATTACCACGCAGCCGACCCTGCAGGCTGCATGATCTTCATCTGACTACCTACGAGGTCCTTGGCATTTCGGGCAGAGACTCTGACTAAGAGGAAGTAGTCCGATGGACGGTGACACCCCCGCATTCGGCGTGGTTGCAAGCAGCCGATGTTACCGTCGCCTTCGGTCAGGCGACGAGGCCGGCCCGCGTTGCAATTCTGTCGGGTCACGAGGAGATAGCCGTCGCTTAGCCCGCCCTCGTGGAGATAAGACCCTCCCGAACAGGCAAGTGCGTCGGAACGTCGTTCGCGCGCGGAAAAGGACTTCCCTTTCCATCGCGCTTCTTTTCTTCCGTTTCTCGCCTCTTGCCCACTTTCAGTTCCTCGCCTCCGACTTCATTCCTGTTGTGCTCCGCTCGATCGGCAGGCCTCGTTGCGTTGCAGCCTCGCCATCTTTTTCTCCGCATCCTCTCCACGAGTGGAGCCCGCGAAAGTTACGGAGTACCTAATCGGAAATGCGAAAGAATCGCCGTGGGTGCCATGGGGGATTGAGAGGAGAGTGGATCAGGATGCTCCTCGAGGGGGATCGACCAAACACATCGTCGATTACATCTCTCCAGTTCCTCTCGAGACTCCGTCATCACCCGGTTGACTGTTGTAGCGTGGTATTTAAATGTTAGCTATCTACCGTTATCTCTTCCGCTGGCAGTAGTATCTGGTACGAGTAAGACACTCGCCGTCCCTATCTTGGGTGGTCCCATCAGCTAATCCTCGAGCTAACTAAGTGCTACTAAAAAAAACACGAAACCAAAAAAAAAAAAAAAAGAAAATTCCTCGAACATGGGGTTTGTTGGGATAAAATAATCAGCCAATTTTCGCATGTTTAAGAAACTTATTTGTTTCCTCTCTCCCCCCATTGTTCACTGTTCCCCCGGATTCATCACAAACATTCCTGGCAGTTTGTTTGTTGTCAGCCATTCTGCTTCTCTTGCTCCCATCCACTCCAGTATTTGATTACTCTCGTTCCTCCGCCTTCACTTCTCCTCCCACCATCACTTCTTTCTCGTCCCTCCAGAAGTCCTAATTGCTCTGGGGTTCCTCTTTTTGTGTGATTTGTACATATACACATATCTTCATACATATCTGTATGCACACCCGTTGACCCCAATCGCTTCGTTCTGCATTGAAGCTTACCAGGTTGTGAGTGGCATGCTAACTAATCCTCTGGCTTCCTCTACAGCACTTTCACGAATTGTCATTTCACACAATTGGCTGCAACTTAGGATCTAACGATTCATTCCATTTCCTTGATTTTGCCGTTTTCGTCTGCGTTTCGAGATAATGGCGTCTTCGACCTCCGGCGAAGAGCGCCAACCCGAGAAGGAGGTTCCTACGACCACAATGGATGCCGAGGCTGGTGGCTCCTCTGTCAAGGGGAAGCCGTGGATGTATAGACCGCTAAATGTTGGGCCATTGAAGATGCCCTGGTTCGCCTCCCCGGAAACCCAATTGGTCTTGGTCTCTTTTGTTTGCTTCCTTTGCCCGGGCATGTTCAATGCCGTCAGCGGTCTTGGTGGCGGTGGTCAAGTTGACCCGACCGACGTGAGCAATGCCAACACTGCCCTGTACAGCACGTTCGCCGTGGTTGGGTTCTTTGCGGGCTCCATCGCCAACCGTATTGGTCTCCGTCTGACACTGTCCTTGGGCGGATTCGGTTATTTCCTCTATGTGGCCTCGCTCTTGTCGTACAATCACAATGCGAATGCCGGCTTTCTGATCTTTGCCGGTGCTCTTCTCGGTGTATGTGGTGGCCTGCTGTGGTGCGCCCAGGGTGCAGTTATGATGAGCTATCCGAAGGAAGAGGAGAAGGGAAAGTTCATCTCTATCTTCTGGGTCATTTTCAACCTGGGTGGTGTCATCGGCAGCTTGGTAAGTCTGGAGTGCTTCCTCTAATTGTCAAACATCTGGTCCTAACGCTGGATGCACGCATAGATCCCCCTGGGACAAAACATGCACTCGGAAGCAGGTCGGGTCAATGATGGCACTTATATCGCCTTCATGGTCCTCATGGCAGTCGGTTTCGCTCTCGCCTGGACACTCTGCGACTCCAAATACGTCAAGCGCAATGATGGCTCGCATGTCATTGTGATGAAGAACCCTACGTGGAAGTCCGAATTCCTCGGTCTTTACGAAACACTGCGTAGCGATTATTATATCGTCCTCTTTTTCCCCATGTTTCTGGCAAGCAATTGGTTCTACGGGTATCACTTTAACAGCGTGAATGGCGCGTATTTCAACGTTCGCACCCGATCGCTGAACAGTCTACTTTATTGGCTGATGCAAATGGTTGGCGCCTTTGTTTTCGGCTTCACCCTTGATCTCAAGTTCTTGTCCCGTCCCATGCGCGCTAAACTGAATCTGTTCATCCTCTTTGCCCTCACCATGGGTATCTGGGGTGGCGGCTATGCCTTCCAGAAGCACTACACCCGCGACTCTCTTGAGCCAGCGGATTTGAAGGATTGGACCAGCAGCGGGTATATCGGTCCCATGTTCCTTTACATGTTCTACGGATTCTATGACGCCGCCTTCCAGACCTGCGCTTATTGGTTAGTTGTCTCTTCCTTGCCTTCTTACTTTGAATCGCTCGACTAACTTGATGCATAGGTTCATGGGATCCCTCACCAACAATGGTCGCAAATTAGCCAATTTTGCGGGCTTCTACAAGGGAATTCAATCCGCAGGCGCGGCAGGCATGTGGCGGTAAGTCTGTTGACCTCTACTTTCGAAGGCTACATCAACTAACTTTTCTGTGTTTGATAGCCTGGACGCTATTGGAACGCCCTACATGACAGAATTCGCCTCGTGCTGGGGTTTGCTCCTCGGCAGTCTTTTGATCGCGTCCCCGGTTATTCTGTTCAAGATCAAAGAGAGTACAGACATGGAAGAAGATCTAAAATTCTCCGACGAGACCGCTCAGGATGTAGTGGGCGTTCCTTTGGAAGATCAACAGTCCACCGAAAAGAAGGAAGAGAAGCATGTACCCGTCGCTTAATTTCTTTCTGGGCTATAGATATCTGTCTATCCCTCTCTCTCCCCCTACATATACCTGTATTTTTCTTTAATACACTTCCGCGGCGGCGGGAGTCTCATGCAACGACGGCATGACGAGATGGTCGTTTCTGTTTGCAGTTTACTTGCTTATTTTTTCGGTGTTGTATTATAATTTACTCTGGACATTTCCGGTCAGATTTTTCTTTGGGGGTTTCGAATAAATTAGGTTATGAACAAAGGCTGGCCTGTCTACACTAGCAGCACCAATTGATAATTAAGTTTTTAATTTCTGTTCTCTTACTTTCCCGTCAGGTAGACAGACGGACAGTCTTCCTGGGTTGCAAGTTGCAACCAGGCACGGCCAATTGACCTTCTTCCTAACTGATGTTCATTTCAATCATATTCACCCCCCCACCAGTCCCGCAATTCAAACTCTGTGAGCCGAGTCAGTGAACGCTAGGGCTAGGAGTAGCCGAGGGCAAGGGCACATAGGACTCGGTATGTGTGGTCCTCGCGGTTCCATTAGAGCTATACCCCGGCCAAATCTGGGTCGTACCCTCCGCGATATCCCACCCGAACAGCGTCCGATTAAACAACTGCAGGGACGCGACGGGCTGATAATACGGCACCTCATGACCAGCCTCATAGACCCTGGTGAAGGAGAAATTGCCGAACTCGCGCGTCTCGCCATACTGCACGCCGTCCACCGTCAGGGGCGCGTACCCCGCGGCCCGGAACTGGCGCGTATGCGTGTAGTTCACGGCTAGGGAGACGGCTTCGCCGCCGAACCAGTTGCAGATGTAGTCGGCGTCGCCGTAGATGAGGGATACGCGGACGGGCAGCTGGAGGATCTCTTCGAGGTCTTCGATGAAGTTGGGCCAGACGTGGTCGCCGGTCTGTTGGAAGGCGTAGTAGACGTCGTCGTTGGATTGCGTGTAGTTGAGGTTTACGCCGATGGCGTTGAGCACGGAGTCTTTTTCTAGGTATTGGTTGTAGTAGGGGGGTGGGGTGGGGTCCTATTTCCAGAGGTTGTTCGGGTTAGAGGGGGTGGGGTTCTATTTTGCAATGGTTTTGGATGTATGTGTGTATGTAGGGTTTGATGGATGGATAGGCTCCATATGTGTGTAGGAATTGGTGGATGGGATGGTGTGCTTACATCGATTGGGTGTCGAATGTCATATACACCGCGCTTTCCGATATTGTAATAAGGACCCTCTGTCGAGTGTCTGGGGTTAGTCACTTGCCATGGAAAGAGGCTCAAGGGGGTAGATAGGCTGGTTGCAACATACCGACGTTATCTCTACACATGTTGGTGGCTTCGGTGCAGAGGGCGTGATCGCCCAAGGAAGTTCGGTTCGTCTGCTTGCACAGAGCAACCTGGTCTTGACAGCCGTTGGGCATCGTATTGGCGAATTTCATGTAGTTGTAGACCGTGTCGTTGACCTATTATTCAATTGAGGTGGTGAGCAATGCCTGGTCGTTTTGGAGACCACTATATATGTGTGTATATGTATTGGAGAAAGGGAGACTCACGGCTTTGATACCGTAGGTGTTGTTAACTGCAAACTCGGGGTAATAGCCTGCCTGAATGTCGATTGTTAGTAATTGAGATATATAGGAATGGGAGTACCTCTTGGTACTCTGGACGTTGCGCAACATACTTGAATAGCCTCATCGATGATACCATTGATTATACCGAGAGAGTTGAAATCAAGATGAATGCCATCGACCGTGCCGTTGGCGATGCGTTCGTTCTGCTCATGGAAGTAATTGAAGAACTACTCTCATGAGCCACCATTCTTGGATCTGATCCAGGTTGTGCACTTACAGCCGGCCCATAATGTCTGACAGACGCAAATTCAGTCAGTAACGTGAGCATTCTCAGAGCTTATACTTGTACAAGGACTCACCCTCCGTAACTTTCCGTCCACAAGCTGAAATCCTTGGACTTAATCCTAGAATCTAACTGGGGAAGACCACCCAGGAATCCCTGGAGTACTTCCCAGGAAGCATGCGCTGCCAACTCGGTAGTATCTAGAGTGTCCGCATCGGATCAGAACAACCTCACCCTTAGTAAAGGGAATGGGAAAGGGAAAACGAACCGAGTAAAGTAGCATCGATTTGGGGATAGCGACCCTTGACGCCGTCGAAAGTGGCATTTTCGACCACCCCGGTCACCGGGTTCAAGGAGCCATTGACAGTGTCGCTGTACGAAAACCCTATAGGAAACCAATGAGTCACGAAGGAAACGATGTGCAAATTACAAAGAATGGGTCTCACCAACGCCCAATGGCTGCGACAAGAACAGAAGATTGGAAACCTCGTTCCACGAGTGCGGGTTGAGATAGGTTTCGTAGCTAGAGTTCACATGACAAGGGCCCAATTCTGGTGACAGCATATCAGCTTCTCCGTTCACAATGACCACTGACTACCACCTAGACACCGAATGACGAGAACAAACCTTCAAAAAGCCCAATCAAAGAATCACTTCCAGGACCGCCATTCAACCAGAGGGTAATAGGGGCATTTTCCGGGTCATGACGGGCCTCAAAGAACCAAAAGAAGGTGTGCGATGTAGGCGACAGATCCACGTATCCGGAATAAGACTTGACTCCGGGCGTAGTCTCACAGACACCCTCGGTGCCGGGTTCCTTGTACCGAATGGTGACATTGTTGGGGGTGGTGATGGTCTTCACACCGGTAGGGTCTTTGGGAAGTTGTCGTTTCCCAGCACCTGGGGGGACGTTTAGGGACCTGGTCCAGCCCGGCACGGCCAGCGAGAGCAATGGCAGTGCCTTGTATACACGCATATTTCCAGAGATGGAAGATGGGTCGGATATGTATGAATATATAGCAAAGGCACGGTGCTGGAAAGGTGGAATCTAAGAAAAGACCATACCACGTCCCAGTCGACAGATCCCAGGAGAAAAGAGAGAAGAGGGGGGATCATCGAGCCCAATTTATACGGTGTATAGTGCAAACACTGCGAGGATTGCGGATTGGGGATTGGGTTCACCGATTGACCGACGGCCCACATAGCGTGAGGGGAAAGCAAGGCAAATGCTACTCGGAGAGCGGCATGGAAGTTGTAAACGCGGCCAGGATGATAACAAGGTAGTATTCCTGTGCCAGATGGGGCCTAGCGACCAACACTAAGCATTTCATCGCGCAGATGGCGCCATCCGTTCTCGTCCCGTCTATCCGGCCGCCTTGGTAGATACATCAAGTATGGAGTATTTGCATAAGTAGATAGAGTAATAGATAGTCATGACATCAATATAAGAAATGTACAGTATATAGATATTATAGACAAGAAAGTACAAAGAAAAAAGCCAGCCCAGTCATCCCATATCCATAAACACCTTTTTGGGTTTGTACACATTCGTTCGCTTGACATTAATAACCTCCTGGCACCGCAGACGCTAGGCACTCAAAGATTCAGTCCCAGCTCGGCGTCAAGGTCAGTGCTGAGGCCTGCTGGGCCACGATCGCTATGTTGCCCAGTCAGATCCATACCTTTATTCTCGGGATCAAACCCCAACACGTCGGGCATATTATCCATATTCATAGAGTCCAGTCCGAACCCAAAGCTCTTTCCACCAGAGCCACCACTCGGATGAAGACTCTCCTCCGCCGAAAAGAGTTCCCCGCCGGCATCGTCAAAGTTGATCAACGCGTCAAAGTCGTTCTGCGTCACCTCGGCGTCGTTGGCCAGGCCCATAAGCTCGCTTAGACTGAGCTCGGGGTTGAAGTTGGGGATGGCGAAGGCTTCTTGCGCGTAGTTCGAATTGAGGTTGTTGGTACTGCCATTCTCACTACCGTCCGAAGGGGGAGGGGTCGAGGCGAATGCGGCGTCGTGTTCGCCGGCCAGCGCCGCAATGCCGGATGCGTCCGTTTTGGGGTACGTCAGATCGGGGATTTTCTGTGCGAGCGAATCCGGAGGCGGGGTCAGGGTGTTGAGACGTGCCGCCGTGTCGAGCGTACTTCCGCCACGCGATTGCACGTCTTGAGGCGAGACGGTCAGCTGAATGCCAGCCTTGCGAATGGCGGCTTCGAGGAATGACGTGGCAAAGTCGGCAGATGCATAGATCTCCCGCAAGCGTTGCAGGATGCGCATGCACTGGTAGAATCGCCGAAGGCTGGTCGTTCGGATGTTCGGGTCGCTGGACTTGATGTCGAGAAGATGAATGATGACGGCGGGCAGCAGTACCGTAACGCCGGTCGTGGGGAAATATCGCGTGAGATCCAAGCTGTGTAGATCCTGGGCAATGTTGGTGATTTCCACGGCGGCAAATCGGACTTTGTTTCTCGAGATCTCCTGTAACTCGGCATCCGTGGAGGGAAACGGAATGGCCGGAAGCACCTGGGGACGATGTAGGGCGCTCGAGGTGGTCAGGTAGACCATCTTGAGCAAAGCGCGATGAGAATGCAGAACCTCCTGGGCCTCGGTTAACTTGGACGGGGCGGCAGGCGAATATTGGATCTCCGCAGGAAGATGGGCCAGCCAATCTTCCAACTCCTGATCGCACCGTCGCACCTCGAACGTTTCGGCCGCCGACTTTTTGGGAACCAGCATCATAGTCGTCTCCATTGTTCCACCAAACTTATGACTCAGAACCGAGTATTGGGCGGACAGCACGTGGCTGACGCACAGACAAAGCTTGGCTTTCTCGATGAACATAAGGGCGAGCTGTTTCTGGTGATTGACGCTTTGGAGGACTTCGGAGTCGCCAACCATGTTGATGATTTCGGGGGAGAAAGGGTGGAATTCAAAGTCGTCGAGGGTCAACATGGGCACATCGCAGTCATCATCCTTAACGCGCATCGGGCGCCTCATTCCTAGAGCTATCAACCGATCGCGCGTGTACGTGCTCCACCAGATGCGTTTCCACATCCGCTGGCGGCGAAGTCCCATGCGAGAATTCCCAGGATCACGGTGCAGGCCGATGGTATGTGCGAGGGAGAGGCTGACACCCATCCAATGCCAAGTGTCTTTTTGATCGTCGGGTGTTTCGTACCAGTAGGTCATCAAAAGCAAGGATTGAACCAGCGAAATCCGATCCACCTCATAGTCGAAATCGTACAACAACCTGGCGCGCTGGAAGAAGGCTTTGCGCGCGGCCTTGCGAGTCGGGTAGCCTGCAGCGTGTAGATGTTTGAGATCAATGAAGGCCGTTCCTGCGAACATCACCGCCTGGAAAAGCAACAGACTCATGCGGCGGATTCCGTCGTTCTGCACGATTGTCTGGAGGAAGTCCTCCAGGTCTAGGAGAGGCATGTACGTGTGGACGTAGTGGATGTAGGCTTTCAGCAACTCGTTTCGCAACCCCACGTCGGGCACCGTCAAGGCGCCCTTCATGGCCAGATAGTCGATGTCCTCTCTCTGTAGGCGAGGCGGCAACCCCCTGATGTAGTCCGGGAGCACAATGCCTCCGGAGCGATCACTGACATAGGAGGGATCCAACAGCTGCTGAATCTGCGAAGTCACATGGTGGAGCGGCATAGTGGCCGGTACGGCCGGGTTTGGCGCCATTCTTCTTCGATAGCGCTCGCCCGAGCCAATTCTGCTGGCCTGGCTTTGATCTGCGTGGTACCCGGGTTAATAAACACCGACATGGGTAATCCAACACCGGGGGAAATACGAACACAACAGATGCGGCATGTGCTGTCCATGGTCCAGATCAACGGATCGTTGCGACGGCGAGGCGGGAGCAACGTCCGAGAGCCCATGGCACTCGCTGAGTCTCCTGAGAAGACTGCCACCGTCTTCCGAAACCTCGGCGGGTGATTGACCGAGCTGCTGAGTGGTACTGTCCATCTCAACGCGCGATTTCCTGAGCACCGAGAAGATTAGCGCGCAGCTCAAGGCTGCAAGGGGCTTTTCGAGGTGACGAACTTTCTCCGTTTGCTCTCGGTCACGACACACTCCACCTGGTCCAGGCGGCAATTCGTGCACGGCGAACCATTCTCGACGACGTCACAGCGGACTTTGCGAGCGCGACAGCAACAGCATGCCTTGGAGGCCCGTCGTTTTACCGGACGGGAATTTGCAGCGAGGCTGGCCGTTGATGATTTGCGTTTCCCCTTGGATTCCGTTTCCACCGTATTAGTTGAGGCCGAGGCCGGGGTTGTCGAAGAAGTAAGATCACTCATTGTGACGAGTTGGAAATCAATTGAATTGGGTCATTCGTGTTTGAAAAAATTGAAGGTATATAGGTACTGTCCTTTGAAGATGTCGGATATATTGAAGAAAGATGGAGTGGGAAAGAAGAGAAGAAAAAAAATGGATTAAAGATGGAGGCAAGAGTGGAGAGTGTCTTTTTTTGAGTCTTCTTTTTTTTTTTTTTTTTTTTTTTTTTTTGCCCTTCCGCAGAAAAGATAAGAAAGGTACAAGAGGGCGATGGAGAGTGTGTATATATGAATCTTCAGTTTCTTTTCTTTTCTTTTTTTCTTTTAACAAGATCACGCCCACTACCAATGATTTTCGTCCCAAGGACGAAAATCCAAGCGAGGGCCGGGGAGAAGCAATGGTTAAATAAACGCGCCCACCCCCCCGTGAATCCTCAGACTCAGTCAGGAGGCGTGTGGGTGTTGGGGATGATGATGAGCCCCGGATCCACTCGTCAAGGTTGCCTCCCCCAGACCATCCAGCAAATCAGCAAATGAAGATGGCGAAAGAGGGGAGCGCCAGCAGTGGACAAGTATTTCCCTCAAAAAGGTCTAGGGAGCGGGCCAAGTTCGGCGGGGGGACGGACTGTCCTTCTTTAGGCCAGTCGCACGTCGATGCAGGCTGGATCCTCCCCACCGCTGTGGAATTGACTAATTTGATCAATCTGACAATTATTATTACTACGGAGTATAACTATTACTATCCCTATGAGGTCTTAGCACCATACTATGTTTCTTTCTTGGAATAATTAATATTAAGACTGTTCTTCAAGAATCCGAGCCCTGAAAGTCAGTGACTAAGAGTAAGGGCGGCTTCCTACGGTAAGTTTCGGTGGAGCCCCTCTAGTGCCATCCGACCGGCGCTATGCCCGAACCGGGATGGGGAACCTTACTAAGGTCACCGCCATGATTTGTTTCGGCCCGGTCACGTTACTGCGCCTGGCCACCACCGGAGGAGCCCGGGAACCAATCACGGCCCCGGTCATTGGTCAGTTGGAGTTAGTCCTCTTTCTTGTTTCGAACATGCGTCATTAAACTTGCCGGGCTCGGAAAAGATTCCGTTCTCCCAGCAGGTTCTCAATTCTCGTTTTCGAAATTTAACACAGATAAGAAAATAATTTCAAGTAGACTCAGGGTACCCCGTACTCCGAATATGTTAGTCTGCATCCCGTGACCCATGATTGCGACGCTGGAACAGCCACATATGGTTTATGATAATTGTTATTACCAAACCTCCTCTCTCTAGAAACTGTGGCTTAAGGTCTCAGATAGAATACCGAGGCTGGGGCTGCACAGGTAGGTACCTGCCTACGGAGTATGATTATACCAAAACGCCGACTGCCATGAACCGAGGCTCGCACCGATTACTCGGTTGAGCGAATCCGATCCAGGGATTGGATATCGATCAACGTTGATCACATCTGAATGCCGGTAGTTATGAATCTGGATGTATAAATTATACATCGAGATGTACGGTAGACAGCTTACCGCACACATGCACAGACGCCGGGCCCAAAACCGGTTGGTTCGCTGTTCTGACATTTGAGACTTTGATATGGGGTAACGTAGTACTACTAGCGAGTAAAAAGCGGACCGTTCTGGATTATCAAGATGATTAATCATGATAACATGAGTGAACTCATAAGAAAGGCTCCTGAAGATCTCTAGTTTTCTACCCAGGGTTTGGAGTTCTAGACACTGGCGTACTGCGTATAGTAACCGCCTAACCGGCACGTAGTACGTACCCAATGGGGCACGACTCTCCGTCAGCTGCCTGTTTGGGAACTGCCGCCAGCTGCACCGTGCAAAGCCCTGGCACGATGCAATTATCATATGGGAATACTAATGTAGACACTGGAGCCCCTGTTATTCTGAGGACGGCAGGATTTATAAATCAAAACTCCCGTAGCATCCACAGAACCAATTGATTCGTCCGGGGCCGCCGACTAGTTAGTAGTAGTATGTCAGAGACACGGAAAAAAAAAAAAAAAAGGGCTGCATGTTTAGACCCTGTTGTGAATCCTGACGGGGGACCGGCTAGGGAGAAAAATCGAAAATAGAATAAAATTGCAAGAGAAAAATGTTGATAAAAAAAAATAAAACAAGAGCCGGTGGAGCTGTCAGAAGCTCATCATTCATCATCCATGAACGTGATTTTTCAAGTTCCTGTGGACTGTGGAATGTGAAAGTGTGGACTGTGGAGTGCTCGTGGACGGAGTTGTACTCCGTAAACCACCTCTGGCGGAGTTGTAGTACTCCGCCGATACTGGATTTCCGACAAGAAAGCAAGGCAAGCACATTTTTGAAGGCATTGAGTCCACTGCAGTGTATACCCCATACATTATTATAGTTACAGTGTACATAGTGTATGTATTGTTGACATCCCTTACACATCGGGCAGGTCTCTCCCCCACGTGATACTTGACTTGATTCGTATGCGAGTGCCGATATACGGAACCTGCCCTAATTTCAAGGCTATGCGAGGAATTGACTCCGTAGGGCATCCAACAAAACAGAGGTACCCAATCAGTAAACAGACATTGTGGTATGCAATGAGCCGGTTTCGAGAAATTCCTCCAGTGCAGGTGACAGACAGATGGAAAAAAGCGGGAGAAATGATTAACCCTTGACAGGACTTGAATGCATCTGAAAAGTAGCGAAGATCGGAGGTTACAAGGAAGTTGGTCTGGAACGGACAAGGGGGGAAGGGCCATGCAGGTTGTCGTCATCAAGGATCCTCTTCCAGCTGTCAGGACTTGGACTTGGAATGGCATGCAGTTAGTCCACATCCTGCCATTGAGTCCATTTCCCCCAGAACAACCAGAATCCGAACCTATTGACAACCGTTGGTGCAACAGTCATTGCACAGAGAGTCACGAGCCCAAATGCAAACCTCCGATCTCCACGAGGGAATTTCCCCCCTCGAGCCAATAAATCGGGGGGCGTGCGGATACCCATGTGGGACTAGTGGGGGAAAGGGGGGATAACTCTCGTCCATTCAAAAAATCGGGATTTCCTGAATCTCTCTCGAAGAAGTCGAAGTTCCTTGAGAAACCGGATCCTCCGCAGTGCCGAAAATCGCAAGAAACCTTTCCCCCTCTTCTTCCTTTTCACTTTTTCACTTTTTTATTTTTTAAGTGTCTGCTCAATGGTTTTCCAGTTCCCCGTATTTTGTAAGCCGAAAAAGCCTGGAACGAACTTGGCGGCCCAACGGAGTCATCGCCAAGATATCGACTCCATACGGGACTCCGTCGATAGAACCTGGGGTATGGGGAATGGACTTCAACAGAACACTGGTCAGTGTTCTGGTTCACCCAGACCAACGGCTCACGACCTGAACTTTGAGTCTTTAGAAATACCCTCAGTCAGACACCCCCAAATTCTGTGGTCAACGAAGACCTAATCCCTGTCAGGAATCGGACTTGTTGCCGTGCTCGGACAACGGCGGACCGGTGACCCCCACGTCCCTCTGCGGGAAACCGACTTCCTTAACTTTCAGGCCTCTCCCCCTCCCCCGCATGGACGATTTCCAGACAAGCGTCCTGTGAGTATGGAGTAGCTACACCGTACGAAGCATGTTGTTGCCAAGTCCTCCACATTTTGTTTACAAGTCGAAGGATATACTCCGTAACTATCTCGAATCGCATAACTTTATTTTCAGATCCCATCCTATAAAATATGAGTTCCCTCAATTCAATTTACATTAAACGCCTCCGTCGGGATATCAAAGACAAAAAGCAAGCAAGAATAGATACATAAACACATAAACCCAACCAAAAGAACTCGTAAACCTCAGAGACCGGGCGTCAGTTTGTTCGTGAGGGGCATGTGCACATCATGAGAGAGAGCGGGTTAGATGCCACCACGGCCCATGCGTTCGATGGAGCCCATGATGCCACTGCGACCCGGCGTGAAGACGGCGATTCCCGACTTGCCTCCGCTATTAACTCGCCCGTGACGGCTGCCTGGTGCTGCGATCTTGGGCATCTTCTTCTCGCCGGAGCCGGACCCGGTGCTTGGAGGCCGGATGCCGCTCGAGACGCTGGAGCCGCTACGGCCCAAACTCCGCTTGAAGTCATCCGAGCCGGCGCGCTCCGTTGAGACCGGCTCCGGCTGTTCATCTTCTTGCGGCCCCGGGGATTCAGACGGGGGCTGGTTTTGCTGGATTGCGAGCCACTCATCGACGGCTGCCACGAGCTCGCCCTTCTCGGCTCTTTCCAGCTCGAGTTCGTTGTGCAGTCGTGCGCTGTCATCCTTGAGAGCTGCCATCTCTTGTTGCAAGCCCTGGATTTGAGCCTGAAGGATTCGCTTTTCCGCTTCATGCTCCTCGTTCTCGGGGGCCTGGGTATTGGGGCTGGCACTGGGACGTGGCGCATCAGACAAGGCCGCATCTCGTTCCTTCCTCAGGCGTTCGTTCTCTTCGTTGGCAGTCTTCAACTTGTCTTCGGCCGCGCGCACTCGCTTGTCCCACCGCGCCTCGTAACTCTTCTTCAGCGCGCTGACCTTCGTCTCGTGTTTTTTCTTGTATACGACGTGGAGCTCTGCTGCCATTTTCTCAACGGCGTCTTGGACTTCCCTTGCAGTTTCCTCCGCCGTCTTGGTGTGGGAAGCACTTTGAGGGGTATTGCTGGACACGGAGCTGCGGGTTGCACTCAATTGAGTCTCCAATTCAACAATTCGGCTCTCCAGCTGTTCTTTATCCTTTCCTGCTTCCTCGACCCTCTTGATCAACTGTTCCCTTTCCCGTTCCCCCTCCACAATCTCGGCCCTCACCGATCGCAAAACGTTGTCCATTTCCTGACCCCTTCGCTGCCATTCGACCTGCTCGATCTCGAGTGTTTCCTTGCCGGCAGCCTCGTTGCGCACTTCTTCCAATGCCTCGCCAACTCGTCGCTCGGCATCCGCAACGGCCTGCTTGAGGCTAGACACTTCTGCTTCTCTCCCGCTCAGCGTCGCCTTGAGAGAGGAAATCTCCGAGAGGAAGCTGGATTTCAAGGACTCCAGCTCTCGAGGAGTGACGGTGGGAATGGATCGAGGGGTCGGAGCGGCGGGAATGTCAAAGTCTAGCAGCGATACTTTAGGTGAGCCTCTGACCGACTCCCGGACAGCTCTCAAGGGTGAGCGCCGCGATGGAGAGTATCTCTCATTTTGCATGCTGTAGCGCTTTCTTGGGAAAAAGGTTTGCTGATCTGTCAAGTCGAGTAAATTTGGGGTTCCAGGAACACCCCCCTCAGCTTGGGGTTCTCTTCGCTTTGGGGTTGGCGATCCGATTGGGGAGCTCATGTCAAGTAGTGCCCCTTTCCGGGGAGATTTTCGAGCCACGGATGGGGTGCTCGGATCAAGACCCCGAGTCTCAGTATCGTCGGCTTTGCTTGGGCTACTTGGAAGAGGCCGTGTAGATTTGAATGGGGAGTCCCCACGCAGCTTTGCAAACGTTGTCATGTCGGCATTGGGAACTGCAGAGAAGGTACTGAGGCAGGTATCATCCATGAAATCGTGAGAGTCGTCAATCATCGAGTCATCTGCGTGGGGCAAGGATTCGTTTTCTTTTTCGTTTGAAATGCTTTCATTATGGCTCTCACGAAGGAAAGTGCTCATTCCTTCGTTATGCTTCTCTTCCATCATACTGTTGTGTTCCGCACCTCCCGGACTTTTCTGTTCAGCGCTGAAACTGGCGTCCTCGTCGGCGTAGACATTGATGTCTGGCGCCTCCCAGCGACTGGCACTCTTCCTGAACCTCCCATCTAATGCCTCCTCTTCATCCTGGCCTTCCGGTCCGTACTCAAAGGAACGTTTGCGCGGAGTATTCGAGCGCTCGTTCGCGTCGAGGGCCGGTTGTCGCTTGAGGGGGAAGTCCACCGTGCAGTCTCTACCCTGCTCTATGAAAGGTGAGCTAGACGCTGGCTCCATAAAGTCGTCATCAGAGTCATCCTCTTCCTTGCCCAGTCCCTGCGACTCGCGCGAAGGTGTGAAGCTCAGGTTGTCCTGGTTGCCGACGTTTGCGTCATCCGCCAATTTCATGGGGCTCGAAGGCGCATTCTCAAAATCACCGGTTTGAAGAATATCCTCGTGGTCAGGGGCCTTTCCCGCAATCAGATCACCAGGGTTTGGTGAAAAGGATCGCGAGTTTTGATGCGCCGGCGTTAAGGGGGAGAGGGGTGTGGGCATGATAAGGAGCGACGTAGAAGATGATGGTAATGGAAAAGAACAAGAAGAAAAAAGAAGTTTCAAAATCGTACGAGATCACAGACCAGCCAACCCAGTTTTTTGCAGGATGGGAACAGGCCAAAATAGGGTAAAGGTCAAGATGATGGAGATGGAAGGCAACAAGTACCCGCCGAGTTGATTATTTTCATCTGTTGCCGTTGCCGGGATGGGGGAGTAAACAAAGCTAGCCCTATCTAGGCCTAGCGTCATGCATGCAAAGGCGGTGCACTATGGCAATATATTCAGCACTTCACCGCTTACGGAGTAGACGAGATGGGCCATTCTTACCCCGTAGACTGTTGGAAAGAAATCATTGAAAAAGAAATCCCGATATAATCATAATTACACTCATAATTGATGATCTCAATACAACGATCATATAAGGCGCCTGGAACTCCATGCAAATGTTCGAACATGCTTAGCGAAAAGAAATATAAAGTTCAAATGCTTTCACTCCCCATGCCCTGTATTGTTGCGCTACGAAACTTTTCGGCATAGGCTGGTCAGAACCATCGCGAGTATCCCTTGCTTCAGAATCTAAACCCGGTCATGGGTACCTCCGTCGGTTTACTCCTCACACATCCCTCGTGCTGCGATCATTTTCCGTCACGATGATATGGACGGTCTCCTTCCATGGCTGCGTCTCGTTGGAAACGTAGTGACAACGACCAGCTACGGTCGCAGTGGCATACTTCTTTTGTTCGATAAACCATAACTGCACGGCGCCAATGATGGCAACGAGAGTGCTCCCCCACCACGCTAGTGCAGTACAGCCAACTTTGGATCCGGTGCTGTACAGGTAGCCGGCGACGGGAGGGGCGATAGTGCGCGAGGCGGCGCCGGCAGATGCAGAAAGACCATTGAGCCTTCCCAAAACCGAATCCGAAGGGCTAGCTTGCTTGATGAGGATCAGCAAGACGGGGTAGTCAATGATCGAAAGGACGTTGCGAAGGGCCAAGCACGTATAAATGCCGACGAACAGGATCTTGTGAGGGAGGAATATCAAAAATGGGACAATGAAATAAGTCAAGGGATGCAGAATGGTCACGACCACGAAGAGTCTCCACACTCCCAGATAGTGAGCCAAAGCCGGGAAAACCACACTCTGGATGAAGAGTGCGATAATACCGTCCGTGGACATGATCAGGCCAACAGTTGATGTAGATAGACCAACTCCGCCGGGGAAGCTGAGGACCGAGGTGCCAAGCGTAGAGACTTCAGTGACCCTTTTATCCTGAAGGAAGATGGGCAACAGATGATCGAAAGTCATTGAATGGTATGTGAATATGGCCAACGCAACTATGAGCATGGCAACTCGCCATGTAAAGATGCTTTGCTTTGTAGGTGTTCCTTCCGACTTCGAACCATCCGCATGCACCATCATATCTTCGTTCTGATGAAGTCGGACTTCATTGAAAGTTCCGTAAGATTCAACCCGCAGGTCGGCACTGGGATTGGCCGTGGCACCGGCAGTTACTAGAAGAGGTCGTTCGGCAGCCAAGTCGTCAATCATGTCCCCGCCGAAATCCCACGATTGCATGTCGGGGTGGGTTTCTTGTAAAAATAGCCAGCTGAATAGCATACTGCAGAGAAGTAAGATAGAACAAACAACATTTGGCAATAGGTAAGGGTAGATGCCAAAGAGGCCGTCGGGAGAGAACAGGGAGGGAAAACCTTCGGCGGGTCTCGCCAGTAAGCCTCCAATAGCTGCCGACGGAGTACGCCATTAACATTTCTTCTCATACTGCCGCTACTACTTGCAGAGGGTTTTCGACAACGTACCTGGTCCCATTATTGTCCCGATTGACCAAACAAACGGCATCACAGCGTAAGCGCGAGCTATACCAACCAAACTTAATTTAGCCGGGTCCAATCCACCAAAATGAGAAGAGATGGAAGGAGAAGTGTACTTACGTTCATGTTCGGGTCGTTTGACCAATTCACCAACCATGGTCTGGATAACGCCGATGTTTCCGTTCAGGACACCTCCTAGAGCCCTGCCAAATAGAGCAACCCAGAAGTTGCGGGCGAACCCAACGATGAGAAGGGAGAGCATGGTGCCAAAGCATCCGGACAGAAGCACGGGCTTGCGGCCGATGCGGTCGGATAGGCCTCCCCAGATCATACCAGTGAGAGCTTCGGCAAGCGAAAAGGCGGAGACAAGAATACCGGCGTAAAAGGACGCATTTTCACCATCAGCCACGTGGAAATCCTTGACCATCACCCAGGAGTATGGGAAGATCGAAGTTAAAGCGATTGGCTCCGCAACGCGACATATTGCTAAAGAGGAAGATGAAGAGGATCAGCATACCATCGGAAGAATTAGTTGTGGGGATCGGCTTACCTAGAAGAAAGAGCTGGGTAGTGGGAAATTGATCGTTCGAGGCGGTTGGTCTTTCCTGCGGTGTCAATACCATCTTCTTCAGAATCATCCAAGATTCTTACGGCAAGCCCTCCTCAATGCAATAGATCGCCGACAATCCCCCTCTTCTTTTTCTCCTTCTCTAAATGTCTTCCTTTTTTGAACTCCCTGAATTTTCTTTCCAACTTCTTGTTTTACAGAGTCCTCCCTGTACCTAACGACACACTTTGCGGACTTTTGGTCCCTTGTCTCCAAGCACGAAACTTCACCGAGTTGAAAGCCGATAAGATCCGAGGAATGGGTGCGATATATAGTAAAGAACCGAGAGAAGTAAAGTCTTCTGTGAGCTGAGAAGATTTCGAAAAGGTGGGATTTGAGTGGGGGGATGATGATAGTAAAGAGGAGTCTCAGGGGTGAAGCTAAGAGATAGGTTAGAGTTGGAAAAAGAGTTGAACGGGAGCGGAGCGAAGGGACGAAAAGAGGTAGAAAAAAAGGGCACCTGACAGGCTTGCATTAGTTCCACGGCCAAGGTGGCAACGAATCCATGGAAATCTCTTCAATTTCCACCCCCTCTCTCCTTACTCTTTTATAGAAAAGAAAAAAAGAAAAAAAAAAAAATTCAAGTCGGCGGATCTCAGCTCCCGAGAAAATTTCCCTCCAATCCTTCCAAGCCACCCTACCGAGTCTTTAAAAAAAGAAAGCAACGGTGGCGAGGGATTGGGTCACTCCCCTGCCCAGAGCTGCTATTACAACTACACTGTGCAGGGTAGTCGGCTTAAGTACCATGGTCGCGTGCGGATGGCAGGACGAGGATGCGACTGATACCCCACCAGGAACGCTGGAATCGGAACCAATCGTCGTATCATTGAATCATTGAATCATTTAATCATTAAAGTAGCACACTGTAAGTTAGATCCCTTACCTCCTACTCCGTACTCCGGAATGATCAACCGTGCCCTCAAGGCTAACGCGGATGAGGCTTAGTGCCCCAGGCTGGCCGGTGGGCCCTGCACTTGACAGGGCGATCCGCCAATAATGGCCTGCATCAATCCTCGACGACAGTGGAGGTCATCGAGCTAATCTGAAGTTCTAACCACTTCCCACTCCTCCATCGTGGATTCAAAGTCAAATCCTCTCTACAGTACCGTGATAAATTGACTCCTTGTCACGTCCACCTACCGAGCCTCGGTATCATCGGTGCCCTTATGCCCTCTACCAACATGCCGCCCATCACTGGCCATCCGTTCGAAACCTACGCCCGTTCCTGACGCTATCTTAAAGGCACAATGGGTGTAATATAAATAGCTTCGGAAGAACTATACATATGAGCATTGTATAAAAAAACCCGTCGGGCTCAACCATTGTAGCCTCCTGTGCTACTGGCCGACGTTCTCGGAAACCGGTATGTAGGACCGTCGCTCTCTAGCTTTCTGCAAATATTCAAACAAGTTAGCCCGATATGGTGAAGTTAGGAGTCTCCAAATCATATATACGTGCCTCGAGATATTTCTCCACCCACGGCTTGAAAACCGCCCACGCAAGGAGCCCGCTGGTGGCGATGATGAAGATGAAAACTATCGCTTCGTCTTTTCGCGAGTCTCGCTCTGTGCATCGAAACACATATTAGCTATTATCGGACCAGACTTGGGGCCGGAAATCAACGCTCAAAGGTGCAAGGATAACGGCAGGAACAGTCGAGCGTACGGAAACAGGTGGTGAAGACATCCTCCTCCCTCGCGCCTTTGCAGGTGGGCAAGTTATATCCCAAGCAAAACTTCCGATTGCAGTCGTTACAGCTCAAGGAACGATAATTGCTGGCCCGGTCATCCAAAACGTTGCCGAGATCGTCGGAGGGACTTCTGCGGCCGAGAGCATGGAACATGCCATCGATCGACGTGGACTCCGGCTTGACGGGGTCAAGGGGAATGATGGTGCTGTTGGAGAAACATGTACATTTGCAGAAGGATGCGGGGGCTATTTCCAACGGAACACATGTCAGCGCGATGTGCATATAATTGCGATATCTGGAGGATAATGCCCGGTCGCAAACCGGTCACTCACAGGAGGCTAATGCGAGCGATGCGCAGGAGGAAAATGCGACCAAAAGAAGGATAACACGCAGGTAGACGTTTTTAAACATGACTGTTGGGCTGACCCAGGATGAAGGGGCCGTTTTGTACCCCCTCCTGCTGGTTCTGGATGGCTTGGGATGATTCTCGTTAGTCGCGGTCGATTGCTCAAGTGCCGACGGAGCACAAAGCGGCGGTCTTTCCCCGGAGTTTCAGTGTCACGTGACACTATACGTACTTCATGCTCCGAGCACTACCTACAAAGCTGGGAGGAGTTTTTCATTTTCCCCATCCATTGCCCGTGGTTTTATTTCTTAGCCCTTCACAAACACTTCTATATACACGCATATTGAGCACTACGCTGGAACAAGTGTGTAAGACCGAGATAACGAGGGGTAAAGTCGTGTCGGAAACATATTATTATGACACCGGCATGGCGGAGCTTTAAGATTTCCCCCTCATTCCCTTCTTCCTGTTCTCTCGCTGTCGCTGCTCCTTGGCGACGTCTCGTCGTCGCTTCTTCCAGGCACGGTTGTTGTCTCCACGATTCTCCCAGAACCATTTTGTGAAATCAGACTCTTCCTTCGACCCGGCTCCGGCCTTCGGAACCGGAGTGGTGGTGGTGTACGGTTCATCATCCGTGTCCATGGGCTCGACTTGATCCCGATTCCAGTTCACGGCCCGATTAAACAACGCCGTATCAGGTGTTGGAGCGGCGCTCCTTAACCCTCGACTCTGCAAGTCGTTCTTTGTGAACGGCGTTTGCGGTGCAGCTGGTTCCTCAGTCTCCTCTTCCGATTCTATGTCATCCTGACCAAAGAAGCTGAACTGCGCGGTCGGCTCGGGTTGAGGTTTGGGTTCAGCCGAGCCTGGAGCGGGCCGTTTGAAAAGCGCTTCTAATGGATGGACTTCTTGGGTGAGAGACTCCTCAGTCATTTTGGCAGAAGTCTGGCCGCCATCTACCTTTGCATCGGAGTCCGCGGGGCCGTCATTATGGGTTTCGGCGGACGTTTCAGGTTTCGTATGCGCGTCAATCTCATCACCACTGGAAGACGATTCTGAGTCCGATGAGCTGGATGATATGCTCTCATCATCAGATGACGTATCGCCACTGGAGGAGGTCCAGTCTTCCGATTCATCAGATGCATCATTCTTCGGGGGAGCCTTCTTGGACTTGGACTCCCTGCTTGCCGGAGACGTCTTTGATCGGCCCTTCTGCTTGGCGCCGTCTACTTGCCCCGGCTTGTATTCGGCTTTCCTGATGCGATCGCTGACCTGTTCTTTGATATTCCCTGATTCGTCCACCCACCCCTTACCCTCTACGAAAGAAGATGTGGGTGCTGCCTCATCGCCGGCCGACCGAAGGAAGCTTGGGTAAGTCACCGTCTTGGCGAATTCGTGGACCACGGAATCTTGGGCGGACTTCTTCTTTTTCTTGGACTGCTTTTCTTGCTTCTCTTCGACGGGCGATTGTCGGTTGGGAGGGATGTTTGTCCGGAAAAGACATTCGGATTTCTCAGTATATTTGGATTTGGCTTGGGACTTGGACGATTTCCCATCCTTCCCCTTCTTCTTTTCATCCTTGCGCCTTTCGCTTTTGTGTTGTGTCGATTCGGTCCAGCCTCTCTTGACCTTGCGGTCCGACGGAAGCTCATACCCATCTAACACATTGTCTTCGGACTTTCTCTTTTTTTTCTGTTTTTTGTCGGAGGTAGATTTGCGATCGGACGCCGGGCTGTCGGCCTCAGTCTCATCTCGAGATCTCTTATGTGACCTAGCTTCCTCCACGTTGAATTTCCGTCCTTTGAGAATCGACCCGTTCAACTTCTTTTTAACTTTATCCGCCTCCATTGCGGGCAAGGTCACGTAGCCGTAGTTATTCTCCGGATAGGTTGGGATGCTGTGGAAGGAAACTTCAGTGGCCAAGGGCCGAATCGAGGCACCTAGCACGGAGGGGAGGAGTTCCGGTGTAAAAGGGGTGATGTGAAGGCGCTTAGTAGTCGGAGCTTCGGTCGTCATTTGCGGCAATGAGAGGCAGTCAAGCGGAGAGAAGGTCAACTATCTATAAGCTCGAATGACCCTCACAGGGAGCAAGTAGAGTGGAGGGAGGATAATGGAGACAGAGTAATAAAATCAGTACATCCTAGCTCCGCGACTGTATCATTCGGATCAGTCTCGAATCAGTCAATGATCAATAAGCAACATGCATCAACCGGGTTAAAGTAGTAGATGGTTTTTTTTTTTTTTTTCTTCTGGCACCAAACCCGAAAAGAGAGGTGTGGCTCAGCCGAGCGGACCAGCCACACCTGTTCTCGGTGGAACTTGGGTGCCTGAGCATTCAGGAATCAGGATGCTGTAGGCACAGGGAGGCCCACGTATGATACGGGACCGTACCGTTTCATCAGGTATTCTACTTATGAAATTGGTGGGGATTTGTAGTTGCTCCGTTCTCCGGTACAGTACATTCTAAGCATTCCCTGGGAGTCCCCAGTTAACCTTGGAACTTGACCTTAGGCAAGTATCCCGTCCTCTCCAAGTGTCATACCTCTCCTCTCTTCTTCTCTTCTGTCTTCTCCCTTCTTCCCTTCTCTCCCCTCCTCCCTTTCTCCCGAATCTCCCATTCCCTTTTGGACCCTCCGCTCGTCACCTTTTTGTCATTGCCTTTGTAAACAATTCTATCTCTTTCAGTCTACCCAACGTACATACGAACAACTCCCTCCCATATCCCAACCCATTCGACCCGTCGATTGGGCTATCAATCCAGTATCCCTATCTCCGGCCCATTTCCTCCTGCCTATGGCCTCCACCCGCGGTTAACTAAAGCCCGCATTTTGATTTCATCGCCGCTCCCTGCAGACCAACCAACGTCGTGTCGCTCACATGGCCACATCGAATTTATTGTCACCTATTCACCGTCCCATTTTCGCCCCCCGCTTTAGCAACTGAGGGTCCCTTTTAGCTTACTCTCCACTCCGACCCTGGTTGCTTGGCTGATATTCCTTCTGATATTCTCCGCCGGGCTAACTCCCGATCTTGGGTGCCCTTCTTCCTTGTCAACTTTCCACTCCTCCACTCCTCCACCTCACCCTGTCCGCCTTTCTTTTTTTATTCCTCACAACTGGCATTCGGCCTTTTCAACGGCCACGCTCTCTTTGTCAATTGTTTTCGCCTGTCTAGTTCCTCCCCACCTTTATTGTAACCTTCAACCTCCCCTTTCCCATTCTCGGGCGACATGGGTAACTCGCAAACGAAAGAGAGCCGACCGTCTCTCGCCGCGAATCGCCGCAGTCATCAATGGGGCTCTACAAGTGGCCATGGGAGATCACCGTACGGCGAGAGGTATCATGGAGAGGGTTCACGATCAACGCGAGGCAGCAGGCCTGATCTCTCCATCCTCGGAATCGGCGGAAGCTCGGAGCGCGACGTGGCGACACTTGAACATCGACGAGAGACCAGACAGGAACGGGAGGCTCGTCGATTAGAGAGAGAACGTGCCGCTAGAGTCAAGGAACGGGAACGTAGTATGCGAGAAGAGCACGTGGATGGGGGTTACTTGGTGACGCAAGGTGTCTACACGGGCACGGAGGATTTCAACAAAGCCGTTGTCCGGCAACTCATGGTAACTTGAGCTTCATTCCTCAAAGCCCGTACGACTGATGCTGACCGTTGAGCGCAGATCGAACGACGGCTTGCCCCTTTCTGGCGAGGACTCAACGACTTCTCCGATTCTTGGACCGAACATCAGCTAATGGCGGCGGCGCGCGGTCTTCCCATTCCTCCGCCCGATGAGATCCCTCCTGAATTGGAATATAAAAACCCTCCTAAGCCTACCGAGGATACGAAAGAGTCAACGGATTCGCAAGCTATCCAGCATCTAACCGTACCCATAACTTCGAGATCACAGTCTTATGGGTCTGATGCATCCCAGTCGTCCAACCCAGCCCAGTCTTTACCGTCTTCGTCACCACTTGCCTCCGGCACCTCGAGTTCACCGCTGTTTCGGACAAGGGCAAAAACACTCGCGTCTCTCACCACGTCAAAGCACGGTTCCCAGGTTGACCCTGGTCCCCGGGAACTTCAGCTTCCCCGAGACCCATTTGTCAACGGACAGCCCATCGAAGCGTACCTCTACAAAGATGCGGCGGAATGCCCCATTTGCTTCTTGTACTATCCCCCCTATCTTAACCGCACGAGGTGCTGCGATCAGCCTATTTGTTCCGAGTGTTTCGTTCAAATCAAGCGCCCCGACCCCCATCCGCCGGAGCATGGGGATGCGGACCCGAATGCCCCGGCCGAAAATCCCGAGGGCGACCGTGCCGAGAGCCAAGACTGCCAGCTCGTCTCGGAACCTGCAGCCTGTCCCTTCTGTGTACAGCCGGAATTCGGAGTGACCTATGCGCCTCCGTCCTTCCGCAGGGGGTTGGCATATGCTCCTGACCCGAATTCGCGCCCGAACTTCGCATCCCCTCTATCATCTACGTCTTCTCTTTCTTCCGGAAATGCTGCGGCTGTCGTGGGCCGCCGACGCGCTACCTCGTTGTCTGCCAATGATCCCACCGTGATCACGACCGACAAGGTTCGACCCGATTGGGCCCAGAAGCTGGCAAACGCTCGAGCACACGCCGCACGCAGGTCGGCGGCGGCCACTGCTCTCCACACTGCAGCATACCTGGTGAATACAAACCCAAATGGAAGCGAGTCGCGAAACTTCAGTCTCGGACGACGGGGGCGACGGGCACCGGACGCGCCCAGCGGCTCGGGTCGCACAGGCTCTCCAGCCCTGCAGGCCTTTACCTTTCTAACTGACCGCCGCGGTGCGGGGAACGACACCGACTCTAATGAGGAGGCATCTGGTCCTCTCGCACCGCCGCGAAACAGCTCACGACGAAATCGCATCGATGACTTGGAGGAAATGATGATGATGGAGGCTATTCGGCTAAGTCTAGCTAGCGAGGATGAACGCCGCAAGAGAGAGGAGAAGGAAATGAGAAAGGAAAGCAAGAGACGGGAGAAGGAAGCAAAAAAGGCCGAGAAGGCGGCGCGCAAAACTGGACTTTACAGTAACAATGCGAGCAGCTCCGCTCTGGACGTGCCTACAGGGCTGGGAAGGGTGATCAGCAGTTCTTCGTCCATTACCGGCGAAGATGCCACCTCCGGAGGCAAGGGCAAGGAAGTGGAGCGCATGTCCAGTGAACCGACGGGTGCTGCCTCTGTCGGGCCTGTCGCTGCTACCGACGGTTCAACTCCTACGCATGCTTCGTCAGTCAATGTGGAAGGTCAACCTGCGGCCGTGCAGCCTTCGCCCCGAGAGCCGACGAGGCCGTCTCATCTACGACACGTTTCTAGCGCCTCCTCGTTTTCGTCGCTCGTCGAGTCTATGTCGGAGGACCACGCAGGGGCCAGCGACGCAAATAATCCTGCATCCGAGCCAATGTTCAATTTTCGAAGTCTGGCCGCGGTGATCGGGGATGAGGAAAAGAAGGAGAAATCCGAATCCGCCGAACATGTGGAAGACGCTTCTTCAGAACCGACTGCGGAAGGATCGACCTCGTGCGTCTCTGCACCGACCTTAACACAACTGGAGGAGGACCGTCCAGTGTCGGCATCCGCAGAGAAGGCGGAACCGGGGGCGGCCGTGGAGGAGAACGGCGAGCATTTGATTTCCAAGGAGCTTGAGACCCGCTCGGTCGAGCTTACGGGCACTGCAGGCAACACCGAGGCCAAGTCGTGATGCCATAACGCCCAGGGAATGCAGAGTATGGCGGCGTAGAGGGGGCGGACTTCTCGGTTTTGTGTTTCTGTTAATCTTTCTCCCTTTCGTTTGTTTTTCTTGCGATCTTAAATTGCGTGCATCTGGATGGGAACGGCGACGATGGATGCGTTCACTCACTTTTGACAAGTTCATTCTGTTACTGCATTTTCATTTTCGTTCATATTCGCATGGCGGGACCGGAATTTTCCTTTTCTATATACATACATTGTCATAGAGCTTTCCTTTTGTTTCGCCCACTTGCTCTCCTTCGCATGTTTTCAACTGTGTGAATTGCGTTGTCGGCAAGGATGAGCGGCCAGAATGAGTACGTCTACCTGTCTGTCTGTCTGTCTATGTCTGTTGGAGAACAAATTGGCGTTGGCTACGAGATGAGGGATACGGGATGATAGATCTTTGGAAATATTATTTCCTACTGTGGACTGTCAAGATGCTGTCAAGTTGCGCTGGATGGTATGTTTCAGATCGGGTTTCAGAGCTCCACCGCGAGGGACAATTTGATTTGGTCTGATCGGAGAATTGGAATTCGATCTCTGATAGCGATCGCCATGCATGATGCACTCCGTATCCTCGACGGAGAGTATACTCAGTACTTCCTACTGTGTACATCATGACTGCCTCCCTTGTCTGCCCGTCAGTCCAGTAGACAGGGAAATGTCAGTCGATCATTCCTCGGATGGGTCCGACTTGTGTACTTCATTTTCCCTCTTTTTTTCCTGGTCCCCACTGAACCAAATGAATGAATCTTGATTGTCCGGAATCCGGATCGACCCCGTTCCAAGTTTTTTTTGGTCCCAACTGTGGACTCTCTTCCCCTGTATCTTCTCCGGTGTGCTGCACTACTCCGAGTAGGTTCCTCCTAGGCATTCTAGCGCGCCCCCGTTGGCCCTGAAACTATTTTTTCCCCTCTTCCCTTTTTTCTCTTGACCACTCTTTTTTTGACCTCGTCGTCGCTCTCATTCTCTTCTCGCACTCATTTACAGACGCTCCTTTGAATATTCGACTGGCGTTAACCCAGAGTTGTCGGTTAACGAACCATCCAGTCGGCCTATTTATTTTCTCCAGGCTCATAATCCTCCGCCTGAATGTTGACATCCTTCTCCCCGCCTCTCTCTCTGTCTCATTTTGAACCCTCCTTCGAATACTGCGCTGGACGTATATCATCCTTTCGTTCATAAATCAGAACCGGAAGACCAGACTGTCACAACGACAACGATCAATAAAATAGAAATGCCAATCCTCGATAAGGAGAACCGCCCCCGCGGTCTGCGGATGCCGTCGCTTTCCGCCATCAAAGGAGGACTTAGGAAGCAACAGTCCTCGGAACCCTCGCCGCAAAAGGATTTTGAACCGGTCCAGCTGCCTGCTGCTTCTTTGTATCCAACCGACACCGTACCTGTGCTACCTTCCACCAAACCGCAAGAGAAAGAGTTGCCGCCCAACCCGACGGGACCGCCGTCGTTTCCCTCCCCACCGGCCAGCTCGTCCCCAGCCGTCAACACCAATGGTTACAACGACCGACCTCTTCCTCGGTTCCCTCGAGTTCCCGTCCCTAAACCCGAGGAACCGATCGCGCCGGCTGTCCTGCAAGAAACGCCGCTTCCGATCGAAGAGCCGAAGCTTCCCGCTGCCTCCGGGTTAGATCGTCCTCAGAATGCTCCGCCCCAGCATAATTATATCCCATATCACCCAGGTCCGAGTCCAGGGCAATCGGACGATACGGATGATCCGTTGGAAGACTTCATTCCGGAACCCGAGCCCGAGCCCGAGACGGAAGCTGACGCGGTTGACGCACCCATCGAGCCGGTGTCTAGCGAGGAGAACAACGGACCCTGGACGCCGCCGGATTACGAGCCCGTTGCGGCGCCGTTGAACAAGCTGCACTATGCGTGCTACCAGGGCCACCGCTCCATGCCGGTGGCTAACAACGCCTGGTATCCGGTGCCGTGTATGACCTGCCAGCGATTCGACCGGGAGGTGCGATATCGATGCGTTTTCTGCTGCCTGCGCATCTGCGGCAGCTGCTCGCAGACCCTTCAGAAACTCCCCAATCGTTCGCTTAACCAATTAATGGAAACCATCAATTCTCCCGAGTAATATCCACGCGGTTACCTGCACAAATAAGGCGCATGTTGTCCGACCGTTTCCGGTGCGGGATGAACCTTGCCCTTGCATTTGCACCTTATGATATCTGTCTTGGGCGTTGGTGGTCTTCTCATCCTCTTTCTTCTTTACTATTCGATTTTCTTCATACCTACCGTTCGAATGCACCTCGTGCTTTCGCTTCTCTTTTCCTTCTATTGCCTCTTTTACCTTCCGGGGAATGATGTCTTTCTACATATCTTATGCCATCGATTGTATATACAACTATACAGCCCTAATATGCTCCCCTTGCCTATGATTCAATGCATGATGTACAATATTTCTTTCCTTTTTTTTCGGTGCTGTAATATACATGGTGTTAGCTCATTAATCATGATCCTCCTCGGTGATTCCGGGACATCCCTCCATCTCGTCAGTTTCGTAGCGGCATTTGCACCAGAAACAATAGCGGTGCTCCTGCCGCAGATGCTGCACTAAGCGGGCCAGCCGCTCGCCGGGATCGAGTGCGTTGAACTCGTCCAATTCAGGGTCCTCCTCTTCCAACTCTTGTTCCAGGATAGACGACAGTTCCGGGTTCCCCGCAAGAGCCTGTTTGTCCTCTCGCTCAAGTGTGGGATCGTCGTAGGTCGGTAATCGAGGATTCGGGAAGAATGAAGATGGAAGGGAGGATTGTAGGAGATGCCGCGCTTGCAGGGATCGTTCTCGTTCCTCTCGCTCCCGCACCAAGCCGCGGTATAAAATATTGATCTGAGAGGTTGGCTTCACTGTCGTTTTGGGGCGGCTGGCGCCCTTTTTCTCCTTCGGTTCCTGTGGCTGATCCTCGTCCGTTACATGATCGTCCTTTTCGCGCGAGCTTCCTTGCGTCGTAGAGGCGGCGACTTCATCATCTGCCTCAGCCTCGGTATCCAGTCGCTCGGCCACTTTCTGGGCTGCGTGCACTTGGGCTTCGGTGCGTCGCGTCTCCCGCTCCTGGCGCACGCGATCGCGATAGTCACCTTCGTCCTGCTTGACTTTTTTGAAGGCCTCTTCGGCTTCCTCGCGGAACTTGCGCTTCTTCTCGCTATCCAAGCCAATGCCTCCGCGGCCTTCCTTGAGGACCAGGTTGACAGGCTCGGACCGCGACTGACCCGCGCCAGAGCCGCTAGCGCCGTCCCCCTCCTTGTCCTTATCCGTCGTGTCTTTCCCTAGCGCCTGCCCCGGCTTGAATCCCAGCTTCGCCATCATCTGGAATCCTTTGTTGGACGGGTCCAGGGTGTTGGTGGACAGGGCGGCATCGCGGCGCGCAGCTTCCTGAGCGGCTCGTTCGGCTTTCGAAGGGACTTTCGCGCGGGCCTCAGCCTGCATCGCAATAAGAGGGCATTGGTTAGTCTGATGCGGAATCATGCGGGGCTGACTGGGGGGGGGGGGGGGGGGAATTGGGCGACCAACCTCTCGCTGTTGTCGACGTTTCTTCTGAGCAAAGGTTTCCTTCTGTTGGGGCTCCTCAATGACCATGGACATGTAGTCATCCTCCTCTTCCCCAGATGCGGGGTCTTTGAGAGGACCCATTTCCCCGGGGGTTGGGAGTCTGGACAAAGAAATAGGCCGGTAGCCGTCGATAGTCTAGTCACTGGGGGAACGGAGGGAGAGAGAGAGAGACTAGAGAGACGGGATGTTGGAGGACAATTGAATGTTGATTCGAAGAGTGGAAATGCGGAGATTTTGGACCCTGCTGGTTGGCCTGAGGCGCCCAGGCGACTCCACCCGCTTCCTTGCTTCGGACGTGTCCCCGATCGACTTCTCTCCTACACTAGACTCGACTAACTCGACTACTCGGCCTCACAAATGGCTGGATCTCAGGAATTCTGCTCCGTGATTGGCAATCAGAGCTGTCACATCGGCTGTCCTTCTCCTTTCGCCGCTCCTTCCATCGGAGGCCCAATGCAATGACTGTTGGATGGAAGGAATAAACAAACATCCTGGTCGACATGGCTTGATTTAGGTGATGAGGCTTGCAATAGTTGCGTGCCGATCTGTTTTCCAACCCACCCACCCCCTCACTCGGTGCAGGAAGTGGCGCAGGAATCTGGCATATTATGATTTCGATTCTCCCACCGTAGGAATGCATGCGAGAACGCTATCCCCGCGACGCGATGTCTCAATGACTATAAAGGGCAGGCAAGGGCCGCTGGTAGCGCGCTGAGCAGATGCACCTCTGCTCCTTTCAGTCTCGCCTCACTCATTGCTCATCTGTCAACAACCTCAATTCAGAGCAGAAATGGTCCGGGTTGGTCTGTTGGCACAGGGCGTTCTCTTTCTTTCCGGCGTCTTCGCCCAGAGAACCGTCGTTGACCTTGGGTACACCCGATACAAGGGTCAACCACTTCCTAATGGCATCGTCCAATGGCTGGGGATGCGCTATGCTGCTCCCCCCGTAGGCCCGTTGCGCTTTTCCGCGCCCCAGGATCCGGAGGAAGTCGGTGGGGTTCAGGATGCATTCCAGGTACTTCTTTCAGGCCCCAACCTCCCCAGTACCTGCCGATTATGTATCATTGACTGAGAGCTTGGTTGTAGCACGGTCCGCTGTGTATCCCAACTGTGACCGAGGAAGAAGTGTTCCCCGAGGGAACCTCGGAAGATTGCCTCTTCATCAATGTCCAGGCTCCTCGGAACATATCCAGACCGTTGCCCGTGTACTTCTGGATCGAAGGTGGTGGCTTTAATGAAAATTCACAGGCTGACTACGACGCATCGGGCTTGATCCATGCCTCCCACATGGGCATCGTTGTGGTCACATTTAACTATCGTGTTGGCCCGTATGGTTTCTTGGCCGGAAAGGAGGTTGAAAAAGGAGGAAGTGTGAACAACGGCCTAAAGGACCAGATCAAAGCCCTGCAGTGGGTCCAGAAACACATCCGCAAGGTAAGTCGTCCACCCCGTCAGAAGAAGGGCCATGGTTAATCTGCCTTGTACAAGTTCGGCGGCGATCCCAACCATGTGGTTCTTGGCGGCGTCAGTGCCGGTGCTGCGTCGATCACGCTTCTCCTCTCGGCGCATGGCGGGAGAGACGACGGCCTTTTCCATGCGGCTGCCGCAGAATCCCAGAGTTTTGCTGGCATGCTGACCGTGAAAGAAAGCCAATTCGCGTACAATAACCTCGTGATCCGTACCGGCTGCGCGAGCGAGGAGGATACCCTAGCATGCTTGCGCAACCTGGACGTCGGGACTCTTCAAAGTGTCAACATTAACACTCCTCTACCTAAAGCGCAAGAGGCACCGCTCTATATGTACGGACCGGTTGTTGATGGGACGCTCGTTCCTGACTATACGTATCGCCTCTTCCACAAGGGAAAATTCATCAAGGTCCCAGTCATCTTCGGCGATGTCACTGATGAAGGCACTGTCTTCGCCCCAAAGAAGATAGCGACTGTTGGTGAGGCAGATACCTTCTTGCAAAGCCAGTTCCCAGAGATTCAACTTCGTCACCTTGCTCGTATCAACGCCATGTATCTCCACGAAAACGAGACGCGCCAATTCCCCGAGGCCGGCCCCTACTGGATCCCGGCCAGCAACGCGTACGGAGAAATGCGGTACACCTGCCCTGGAATGGACATGTCGTCCGTGTACGCCCGGGCCGGAGTAAAAAGCTGGAACTATCATTACGCTGTTCAGGACCCAGACTCGGACGCCGCTGGCGAGGGAACGGCCCACACGCACGAGGTCAACGCCATATTCGGTCCGCAGTATGTGACGGACGATAATCCCCCGGCCTCTTACTTCACCACGAACGCGCCCATCATTCCGGTCATGCAAGGCTACTGGACAAGCTTCATCCGAACATTCGATCCAAACCTGTATCGTCGGCCGGGGACCCCGGAGTGGAAACAGTGGGGCAGAAATGATGACCATCGCCGACTTTTTATCAGGACTGGCGAGACAGCGATGGAAGTTGCTCCTTCCGATCAGGTGAGACGTTGCGACTACCTGATCAGCATCGGGGTAGACCTTGCGCAGTGAAACGTATGCACAGATGCGTTCATTTCTCTTTTTTTTCGGTGTACATAAGTAGACACCTTCACCGCATACATGAACATACACATTACTTTTGGTTATTACGGGAGCTTACGTAGGTTTATATGGCTTTGAAAAAAAGCAGAACCTCAGCAGATGGCGTGGGGAAAGAAAGCATTCTTTTGGCTTTTGTAGACCAGAATGTGTATATGTACACCGATAAGATAAAGAAATAAAATAAAGGCATTATGCGCCGTCCATAAAGATAACGCAAACTCATCGTTCCCAAGAGAACATCGAGTATTATCACCATTTGCCCTGGCGCATTTTCTTCTCCTTCTCGTAGGCGTTGGCCTCGCGGCCCTCCTCGTTCTGCACATCCGCGATAAGCCGCTTGTACTTGCGCTCGTACTCGGCGTCGCGCTCTCTCTTCTCGCGCAACTGCTCGCGCGCAATGAAGTTGGCGTCCTTGCGCAGCTCGCGGATAGCGCCCTTGCGTTCGCGCTTGTGCTCCGCCTTGAGACGGTTGAGTTCGGCGCGCTCGCGGTTCGGGTCGTAGTGCTTGTCCGGGTTGAAAGTCTCCTCGAACTTGGGGATGGCGGTCTTGATGGCCAGCGGGCGGTGATAGTGGAGGAGGAGCGGGCGGCGAGCGAGCCGGGCCTGCGCGAGGTGGCGCTCGATTTTGTCCAGGGTGAGTTGCAGCGCATCGCGCGCGGCGGACGACACCTTTGCCAGGCCGGTTTTGCTGACGTGGCGGAGCACGGCCTGCACGGGTTCGAAGACCTCGGTGAAGGAGGACTTGTCGGCCCACAGGTCGGAGGCCGTGTCGAGGAGCTGGACGAGAGTGGTGATCAGGGCGAGCTTGAGCTCTTCTTGCTGGGCCTTCGAGGTGGAGTCGGGCCCGGCGACGTCCCAGAATTTCAGTTTGCGGGGGGAGAGGGACTTGGATGTGAGTCGCAGGGATTGCTGGGGGGTCCGCAAGGGGAAGGGTGCGATATCACTCGATAGCTCCTTGGGGGCGAGGTTCGCGAGGGCGTTCAGGACATAGTTGATGAATTCAGGCATGTATCGCTTCGATCGAGCCTGGTACTGAAGCACCAGGCTGGCGGCGTACGTACCCGTGGCGAAATCCCCGAGGGTGTTGACGGCGCCCTGTCCTAGATACCGAGCAAGGCAGAGATGCGCCGGGGTGGTGACGGCGTGGAAATGGTCTGAAGTAGGGAAGATGGTGCCAATGCCCGTCAGAATGATCAGGTCGCTGGGACGAAGGTTGAGCGGGCGTTCAGCTGCCATCTCGCGGAGCCGCGCCCTGAATGCCAAGGAGACGCTCTCAGCATGGGTCTTTGCCATCGAATGGACGTGTCGGAGAATGTTTTCGAGGATAGCGAAGGGAGGATGCTCCGGCTGTTCGGCCATGTACGCAACATGTTCAACCAGAATGGCTGCGAACTGCCCAAGCTTTGTCTTGTTGCCACTCTGGAGACGCGAGTGGTGCAGGGCTCGGATTCGCTGGATGACCGTAGGCAGATCTTCTACAGGCACATCTTTGATTATCCGAAGGAATTCGTCATGATCTCCAGGGCAGGGATAGGTGTAAGCCAGTCCGTCCTTAGCCTCCAGCGTGGCTGCTTCTGGGGCTGAATCGTCACCGTCTTCGAGCTCATCTTCCTCTTCTTCGGATTCGTCCGCAGAAAGGCCCTCCTCGTCACTGTCACCAACAGACAAACTGACATCAGACCTCGTTTCCACGAGGTCATCGTCGATAATGAAATCGTCCTCATCTTCGACTCCGAGGTCGGGGCGAGAACCCTCTTCGTCTGCATTCTGCTGCAGCCCGAAAGCCATAGCATCGTCTGGAAGAGACTCCTCTTCAAACATTATATTACCTCCATCGCTGCTTTGCTCTTCTTCCTCGTCCTCCTCCTTGTCTTCCTCTTCACTTAACTCTTCGCCACGCATTCTTCGAACACGCTCCTCCTCAAGTTTTTTGAGCCGCTGTGCTTCCTCCTCAGCTTTCTCTTCTGCGGTTTTGGTGCGGTCGGTTGGCATAGAGCGCTTGTCGAAGGTCAATTGCTTGAGGCGCTGATCGTACTCCTTCTCGGTGTCCTTGTCGTCGGATGTATTCAACAAGGCGGCGCGGTCTGGATTCATCGCTGCGAGGTCATCCTTGGGTGGCTCAGGCTTCGGCGGAGGCTTGATCCCTCTCAACATGTCGAAAAGATCCGGAAGACCCTTGTCGAGCTCTTCACGGAGGTCGTCGTCGTCCTCCTTGGCTTTTTGTCGCTCGAGTTTATGGAATTTGGACTTGGCGATCACCTCCTTCATGACTTCGTGCTTCGACTTCTTCCGCTCAGGCTGGTCTTCTCCCTCCTGGTCATCTACAATTTCTTCCATCTCACCATCCTCATTGAGGAACCGTTTCCTCTTCCGGGGTATCTCGGAATCCGACATGTCATCATCCTGCTCGCCCAGGTCCTCCTGGAAATCATCTAGGGGTCCGCCTTCGCCGAATGACAGGGACTCGCCCTTGTGTGTGAGTGTGAATTCCTCCTCGTCGTCTTCGAGATTGAACATCGATTCCTTGCGCAGTTTTCGTTGACTCTCCTTGGCGAAACGTTCGGCGGCCCTCTCTTCGGGGGTCATGGTCGGGTCGTTTTCACCGAATCGACGATCCAAAAGACCACCGACTTTCTTTCTGCGTTCCATATCTCGGAGAAGAGTTTGGCGTCTCTGGAAAGATCTCACATATCAGTCATGATGATCAGCGATGGGCGTGGATCGCGATTCATCTCACCTTTTCTTCACCGAGCGACTTGGTAACACCAGGTCTCGCCTGCGCACCCGCAGGTTTGGAGCCACTATCACGGGTGGTCACATCGAATTTGGACCGCGTATTCGTCGTCTTGATTTCGAAGGGATTGAACCGGTCCCGAACGGCCTGCAGAGCGGCATTGCGCTGCGCCCGGTTCTGCGCGCCGACGCCGGATTTCGCATCCTGACGCTTCTTCTTCTTGGACTGCTGGGGCCCAAGCACTCCGGTGTCCCGGAGGGAGGCCTTCAGCTGTTTCAACTGTGACGGCGGCATGGCTGCGTGGGGAGTTGAGGTGAAAGTGATCGGCTTCTCCGCCGAAATTTTTGGGATTATTTTCGCTGGGACCGCCGAAAAAAAAAGTAGTCTCACCGCCCTCGACGCCGCCGTTCTGCCGTCTCTTTTCCTTTCGTTGCGCCTCTCCGCTTTCCGGTCGACATCCAAGTATTCCCATGCCGTCTTCGCCATGGCCTCGCATCTAAACGATCGGCTACTATGGTTGTGTCTAGGTATGTCTCGCTTTGTTCTGTTCGAATATTATATTTTCAAAGCGTGACACTGACCCAACAGGTGTTACTCTCTTCTTCGCCGTGCGCGGAATCGCCACGGACCTCCGCCGGGTCCGTGATTTGACGGAGATCAAGCATGTCGAGAAGGAGGATAGGATGATCAGCGAGGGTACAGAAGATGGTTAGTCGGCTTCACTTGGACCTTACTGACTTCTAAAGCTGACCTGACTCCAGCCCTCAAATTAGACACCTTGTTGAAACTATCCGAGAGCACCAATCATGACCTCCGCGCGGCGTATGACGACATCAAAGCTCCCCCCTCCGACGAAACCAACTGACATTCTCTAGGGCTTTGCGCATCATCGCCGAACGCTCTACCAAGGGTGAAACCCGAGATCTGCTTCTAGAGGACCTGGCAAGCAAGAACAAGGATCGGCGGAACAAGGCGCTCAGTGCCATGCACTTTCTAGTCTCGAATCGAGCACGTAAGGTTCCCTAGCCCAGTCCTGCGCATCCTGAAGAACCGCCACATCCTAACTAGCTAGATTTTCAGTAGCTCGAACCTCCGTATGTACACGACTACAGGACCTCACAACCTGCACCGCACTCGTCGATTGTCTCTGCAATTTCTTAGAGGAGCATGTCGAAGAGACATCGACCACCGTATCACCCATCTTCCCGAAAACGAGACCGCTTGGAGAAAAGAAAGCCCTCAGCACGCTCAATTATGTCCTCCAGGAAAACATTCCAGCCGCATTGGAGGCCGGTGTAATTAGTCGCTGGCTCGATAAGTACCCGTTCCCATGTGCTCTTGCGGAGCCGTCACGGCGGCAGGACGTCGTGATCCTGATGAAGACGTGGTGGTCGGATGATTCGATAATGAGCTCCATATTCGGCACCCTGTCCTCTCACCCGGAGGCAATCAAGCAGCTACGGAAATATGGCTTGATGGGAAGCTTGATAGAAGAGAATGATCCAGACGACGAAGACAGTGACGTGTGGATGGTTGATGGGGAGGACACGGCCGGCTCAAGGCACATTCCGGGGCGGCGGCTGCGCGAACGCACCGCCGAGGAACAGGCTGTCAGGCGGCGCCGAAGGGAAGCCATGGTACTAAGCGACGGTGAGCGGCCGCTTGGTAATGACGACATCATCCAGTTACCCGTGTCGGAATGATTAAAAGGCTGATGTGATCTTTGGTAATTGTTATATTCCTACGTGGAACTTGATCGCCATAACCTTTGGGAGTTTGGGGGGAGAAATAACGACGGAAATCGTGGCGTCTGTGTGACGATGTGTTCATTATGCATATATGATACCCTTCTCTACAATATTAAGATACAACATAATTATTCTATATGTGATACGAAAGATGCAGCCGATCAAAGACCGATCCATGAGGTCTTCGCGGCATGATCGACCTTCTTGCGACTAGATTTGATCGTGCCCAGCGCCTTGAGCTCTGATAGGGCCCGATAGAACAGGGTCATAATCATGCGCTCGTCGCAGCGGTCCCCCTGATCGCTCTCGAATACTGCATGGAATGCATGCCAAAGGTCGTGCATGTTCACAAGGGACCCAGACTCGAGGTACAGCTGATATAAGATCGCAGTGGCAGGCTGCTTGGCCGAGACCTTCGTCTCAGCCGTCTCCGAAGTCGATATCAAGTAATCGAAGGGATTTGATAAGGCGCGCTCAATGGCAAAGCGCGGCCGCGGGGCAAAGGTTTCCTTCAGTGGGTTTTTCATATCAACCAGGAAGACCTCATGCAGGAACAGGTCCTGCGGCCGGAAGAGATTTGCCTGGAAATATCCCTCTGATAGATTGAGGAAGCGGTCGATAATCTTCGTATATTCAATTTCCTGTTCGGACAGCTTTGATTTGCCCTTGCTGAGCTTTATCCGCTGTTGAACAACTGTTGTTGCCATGACGGAGTGGTGGCTGTCATACTCACTCCGAAGTGGCTCGGGGCTTTGATGATTCTCGAGCAAGTCATCCAGGTCTTTCTCAATTTTTACGAACTCTGGATGTTGCATGAGACATTGGGAGAGAACCGTGAAAAGCGCCTTGAGTCGGGCGGAATCTAGAGTTTTGATGGTCCGGAGGATGTCTCCTACCAACTGCGAATCGAACAACTCTCCTGAAAGTGCCTGGATTGATAGGTCTGATATGCCTGTCCGCTTGACAAGGTTGAATTCCTTTAGACAAGAGTGAATCACCTTGACGGCTTGGAACATATCGCGCATTCTCTGCTGTCCAGATCCAAGTTGCCGCAGACTTTCCTGAAAGAGGATCTTGTCGTCCTCTAACAGGTTGCGCACCTGTTTCAGGTGGCCCTGATCGGTAAGATCCTCGCAATATCTAAACGGGGGTTAGCGAAATGGTTGCCATCGATCTGTGGAAAGATCCTCACGTTCGGAAGGACGAAGTGTTTCTGATTGCCTCACACAGATGACGCTGCTGCAACTTGCTTTCGTCTCGATCGTCCGCAAGAAGCACCGCCAGGGGGTTCGCGAAGAAATGCGACATATAGGCATACTGTTCGCTGTTAGCGACGAGCTTCAGGGGTACCAAGGAAAGCGAAAAAGTACTTTGACGGTTCGGCTAAAAGCTTCCGGCGTCTGGAAGAAGTCACTTGACTTTTCCAACAGAATGTTTGTGATACTGCGGCCTATCCAAAGTTGACCATCTTCCTCCGCCTGTATTCGCTCATAGATACGATCAACACAGTTGCTTGCCTCGTGTATCTCAAAATATTTCCCTCTCAGCAAGGCGACAGTCGATCGCGGAAGTCGCCCTTCAAAGAGCTCAACGGAAGTTGAGATTCCGAACAACAGGGTGAAAGGGATTCGGTCAAGCCAAGAGCTGAAAAATCAGTCTCTAATCTCAACATTGTCCGGTGCAACCAACTCACCTTAGCAAAGACAAGAGGTCTGTGAGAATATTCGGATCGAAGGCTTCGCTATCTCGGAAGGCAATAACTAATTTCTTGACGGCCTTCTTTTGTACATAGTCTCCAAGTAGGTCGAGATCATATCCAAGCAATCGGGGTCCCTGCATCGTCGTTAGTTCCTTGTCGCATTTCTATCGGTCGAGGGAGAAAGCCATACATCTCGATCATTCAGGAACGACTGGTATCTGTCATTTCCCTCGGTGTTCGCGATTGCGGCTCGGATAGTATTTTTCAGCGTCGCCTTGAGGTTAGGCGCATCCCCGGAATCGAGCATGACTACTCCTCCCTCGTTTGACGAAATCAGTTGGTCATTGAGTCGCGCCAAAAGTCGGCCAAGGGACGAAACGTTGGATCCCACGGTCACCAGTGCAGAGGGAATGCATCCATCATACCTGTTCGGAGTCAGACCGGGCAAAATAAGAGCGATTGTATTTGTATATTACTTACGTCTCGGGCGATGTCGACCTGACGAAGGATGCAACATTCTCCAGGACCTCCGAGTCGACCTCGTCCAGAACCCTCTGTACTCCCATTAGCCAAGTCCCATTTCAATCGTGAGTTACGGCAAGTAGGGGTTGTGCGTGCTGACCTGGATCTTGGCTTCCTGAGCCCCCCATAACTGCTGGAATGCTTTATATCTCAAGTCGATCGATTCCGGCTTTTCGTCTCCGTTCAGCAGCGGGGCGAAGATGCGCGCATTCCGCTCCGGTTCCTGCTCTGACGATAATACCTTACGTCGTTTCGCGGGCCGTTCTCCGTGCGCTTTGGACGAATCTGTAGGACGATAGATATACACGCCCTGGAGGGTGTTAGAGATGGATCAACAGGAATGTCATTGGATTGGAGAGATAACTCACCTGGGAGTTGGCGCCATCTTTTGACGCAGCTATCGTATCCTCTAGCGGATCCATGGACGAGAGGAAGCGATTGAACCGAAAAGAAGAGAAATGAGGGAGAAGGGAAGGGAAGGGGAACAATTGAGCGCATGAATGATTGAATTGAAGGGAAACCCGCAGCTCGTGTCGGCGCTAAACCGCATCGGGTCGAAATGGGGAATTTCCGCCGCGGAGCTTCTCCAGCGTTGATCTTTCATCATTTCCATCATTTCCATTTCTCTCGTTCCCGCCACTCGTTCACAACGCGCCGCCTCCCTTTTCCCAGACTTCGTTTCGTCCGATGAACTAAACACCCGCTCTTCATGCTCCGCCAGGCTGTACAGGGAGCTCGGTGGTATCAGCATGTGGCCCGCAGAAGCCCGTCGATTCCATCTTTGCGGCCGCGTGCATTCTCCGCCGCAGCGCCACGCTCTTCCAACTATGGCGGCCCCGATGACAAGATTCGCTTTTACGAACAGGTGACGCGCGGGAGCAAAACGAGAAAAAGGGTCGACCCGGAAGCCGAGGACCGCGCTGAGAGAAGAGACATGCAGGAGGAATTGTCGAAATTGGATGCCGAATTAGAGATATTAAAGGAAGGCCCTTACGGTCCCAATAGCCCGTTCATCCAGGGGCTACCTGAAAAGGACCGGGAGATTGCACTCGATGCTTTGCGAAAATACGACGAGGAGCATGGCAAGGGTGAAGCTTTCAGCCTGGATCAGGTCTTCGATGAGAAACTAGACGATGTGTTACGGCAAGAATTTGAGGGTATGGCCAGGGAAGAAGAGAATTGGCAGGCACAGGACGAAGACGATGATGCGCAAAACACGATCGCCAGACAGCCGTATGAGGTCGTGTTGGAGGACTCCGACCAGGAAGCATATATCGACAAATTCAACCAGTCCTTAAGACGGTCCGCGGGAGGCATATCTAGTGAACGACTTGCACAAGAACTGTGGAATTGGTATCGCCGTTGCAAACAGGTCGTCCCCAACTTTTTGCAATTAATACCTGAAGAAGGCTTGGATTTACTGTGGACCTCCGCAACTACTGCAACCCCGGCAGGGCCTTCTCGAGCAGCCCATATCCAAACACTTGCAGAGGATATCATGTCTGTCGGAAAATCTCTCTCAACCCCGTATACTCTTGCGTACATCGAGTCGTTACAGGGAACCGGCAAGACAAACTTGGCACTAGACCAGTGGGAGGCACACCAGAGCAGTCTTTCCCAGAAGAAAGAGGATCTGGAAGCATATTGGAAACTCGGAGTACAGATCTTCTCGGCAGAGGGCGACCCTCAACGTGCCCAGGACATCGCACTGGCATTTCTTGCCAATGATACATCGCGTGATGCTCGAATCTTAATACCGGTGATTTTGGCCTGGGCAAGGCAAACTGGTAAGGAGGCGGAAGTCAAGGCATGGTCGCTATATCTGCAACTCAAGGCTTTCTTGGAGCACCCGCCTATGACAATGGAGGACTACGATCGCATCAGCATCGGTCTACTAAAAACAAACCGACTCAACCTCGCCATTGCCGTGTTCAAGGACATGATGGTTACCGGTCAAGATCCAGCAAACGACTCGACTTCTCTCTACAAGAAAGCCCTCGGTCTGGTGGGCAACCTTCAAGCATCCAGCGTCTCGGAAGGGGATGTGAACAAAGTATCGCTTGCTACGCTGACAGTCTTGCCTCGCCGCTTCCAGAACCGATTCTTCTATGCCAGCTGGATGAAGAAGCTAATTGGAATGGGCGAGGTCGATTCAGCGGCCATGGTGATTGAATTGATGTACGAGCGAGGAGTCAATCCTGACCCGAAGCATCTCAACGGCTTGATCGCTGCCTGGCTTCGTGAATCGAACCCTGTCTCTCGCGAGAAAGCCGAACGGCTCGGCTGGGCCATGGTCCAACGGCGAGTCGACACAGTTTGGGCGCGTGCAAAATCGTCCAGCAATTCCCCCCAGGTCGAGGTAAACGAAGAGGTCGACGTTGCACGGATTCCCAAATTCATGCAGCGACCGATGCCCTCCGCAAATATTGAGACCTTCTCGATCCTTCTCCTCCACTACACCCGACGAAGCGACGTAGACATGACCGAACATTTGGTCAAGTGCCTCACCGATGCTCAGATTCGGCCAAACTCTTATTTCATGAACCACCTCCTGTACGCCGAGTTACGGAAACAGGACATTCGAGCTCTGTGGGTCAAATTCAAGTCCATGTCCGCTTCGATCCAGCCAGATCTCGAAACGTATGCCTGTCTCTGGGACTGCGGGAAACTGCAATACGACCGAGGCCGCACAGCATTTGTTTCGGGCTTCCCGTCCGCTCGCGGTCTCTATGCCGAAATGATGCAATGGTATATCCAGATGTCCAGCCGCGGCCAGGCCATCGCGCGCGACGAATTCTCCAAGGAACTCTACGACCAAATCGTGCGCTGCCTCTGCCTCTCCAAGGACCCCGCCGGCACCCTGGTGGCGCTTTCCTCGATGCGCGCCATCTTCGGCATCGCGCCCGACGACACCACCGCCCGCCTGATCGTCCTACAGGTTGCCCGGATGGCCGGCGTCCCGGCCGACACGCCCAAGCGACGCCTCCGCCGTCTCTCCTCGACCCCCAAGAGCAAAGAGAACATCGCCCATGTCAATCGACTCGTGGAGATCCTGAGCGAACGCAAACTCGCTGCCCTCCAGGCCCGCGGTCTGAGTCTCGACACCCTCGAACCGCCGGAACGGGAACAGTACCAGCTTGAAATCATGGTCGAGCTGCTCCGCGTCGTCATGACCCGGTCGACCGGCGATCCCAGCCGAGTCGAACGTGACATCGCCGCGGCCGCGACGGAAATGGGTGTCACGGGCGTCGAATTCAATACGTCGCTGGCAGACGATGACCTTCTATCTTAAAAGCCCTCGGAGAGGCGAACTCTTACATTGGAAGGGTACATACATACAGCACGGCGTTTTTTCTTTCCTCTTTGTTTGAACAAGATTCTCACTACAAAATGGCTTCCGAACCCATACAGCATATATAGAAGGGCGTTTATATCATGGCGGCGCTGCTGCGTTTGTGTACATATATCGGGCAAAAGAATGGCTTTTTGTGTACTATATAGTGAAGGGGTTTTTTCCACTCTTGGGATTAGTTTTTTGATCGCAGGGCGTATGATGGCCTATAATTAATTTCCACTTCTAAGTTCCAACGAACAACCGTAGCTCCAACCATATTGTCAAGTCGAATACAGCTGGACGGGATGGTCAAACGTAAAGCTACAGTTTATCTGAGGGTTAGAGAAAATAGACCCAAACTTCAAGGATAACAGAAGACAAAAACAATCCAACCTTCCAGGGTCATATTGAAAGAGAAAAGAACTAATAAGACATCGACAGAAAGCTCCCTTATCATGCATGAGGTAAACAGAAAGAAAAGAAAGAAAAGCCATCAAGGAATCAACGAAAACACTTATTTCTTGCCCTTCTTCTTCTTTTTGCCAGGAGTCCCAGGAGTCCCAGGAGTCCCCGGGGTCCCGTTTTGCTCATCTGCTTCAACCAACACCGCATCATCATCACTGCCGGTCACGGACGACGGCGCCGCAGAGGACTCGGGCGTCTTCGTCGCAGGGGTCGAGCTGCTCGTGGTAGTCGGAGTTACCGGCGCCGGTTCAGAGGGTCGCGAGGCGCCTTCGGCATCCAATTCCTTCATGAATCCTTCCTGAATGGTGGCCTTCTTCCGGTCCCACCACTGGCGTTCCTCCTCCATCTTGGATTGTTGGGCCTCAACTCGCTGGCGGTAAATGGCGTTGTTCATCATCTCGTTGGCGGATTGGAAGATCACTTGGCCCCAACCAGGCTGGTAAGCGTTGGCCTGGAAGACATCCCCAATCCAGTCAGTATTGTGGTCTTGCGCTCGTGGCGCGGAATTCACACGCGGGAGAGCGGGGGGTGAAGAAGGCCTACCTCAGAAACCACGTCGCGAACCTCGTCCTCCATTTCCTTCTCAGCCCGTTGGAATCGCTGCCACAGATCATCGCCAACACTGCCGCGTTGAAGCAGCATGGCCAATGCCTGTTTCTGACTCCGCAGGGCCAGCACTCGCTTGATATCCTCGGTTGCACGTCTCAGGAGAGCGGCCTTGAGGACCGTCTCCGGCACTGCGGGAGCTTTCTTCTCCTTGGAACCCGTGGCGGGCGGATCAAGATGAAGCAGGGAGAAATAGATGTCTCGTTGAAGGTGGGGCGGGAACCATGGTTCTAGGGAGAAAGCCTTCTCTAGAAGATGACGAGACATTAGTACCTGTAACAAAACTTTGCAGTTCCAGCAGGATGATCAGGAGCGCGCTTCACATACGGGCTTTGCGCTTGCGGTATAACGAGGAGAAGGTCGCCAAAGAGCCAATTAAGACGCCGAGGTAGGCGAATGGCACGGCGAGATTTAGCCAGTTGACCATTTCGTCCTCAAGATGTAAGATTGGTTTAGAAGGAGATGTTGAGAAGCAGTTGGAGTGGACACGAGAGTTGGGGTATTGGTTGAGCGGGGACCTAGAGGGTCATGTGTTTTTATTGGGTCAAGAGTTCGCGGCGGATCGGAGAAAAGCGCGAGAGTAAAGCGAACGGATCCCGACGTCGACGGACTCGTAGACAGGCACGTTAGCAGGCAAAAGCGAAGGAAAAGTGTCGGGTGCCTGAAGGGAGAGGGAGAGAGGGCACTGAAAGAAGTCGGGGCCAAGTCGACGTTGGACAAAAGCTCCTTCGGGAAAGGCCAGCCTGGTGTCTTGGCCTCGTCACATGGGCGGTCAGCCGGTCCCTCCGGTCATGAAGTATACGAGCCTTAATCTACGAGCCTTAATCTACAGTGTCAGGAAAAGGATATGGGTATGATAATACAATGAGATGATTTGAAGGGAAAAAAAAAAAACACCGCCTGCCATCCCTAAAGTTTCCGCACAATATCAGCCAATCGACAAAACAAAAGACAAAGGTGCCCTCGGCGGGTTGATGAACGAACTATTCAAACAGGTATAAAGGGAGAAAGTGATAGCTATGAAGGGGTAATGATAAGAACTGTAGAGAGAAAAGGGGAAAGAAAGAAGAAGAGGATGAGGAAGAAATACGAAACCTCCAATGTCGCCCGTCATCTACCTCATATGGGTCGCATTGGCCGCTTTAAACCATTGTCGCATCTCAAAATTCAAAGCCCAGACCACAAATCACATGAATCAAAGAGACAGAAGGGGAAAAAGAAAAAAAAAAAAAAAAAAAAAAAAAGAAGGAAGGGAATGAAGAGTAGAGGATGCGTGCATATTTCCTCAGCATCATATGTCTAGAGCCCGAACTGATCGAATTGGTCCTTCGTCTTTTGACTGATGGGCCCGATATCTTGCATTGCCTGCATGTCTTCCAGTACCTCGTTGAACGTTTCCTGGATGCCGGCCGCGACCCTGCTACGGTTCCACTCCCCACGCATGCTCCATAGGTAATCCATGAGGCTGGTGTTGATCTGCTCCAACTGTTCCACTGAGCAGCCACTACTCCGTTGGGTGAGTTGACCATGCAGCTCTTCGACATAATCTTGATCCAAAATCAACTTCGGCGAGAGATCTTCATTGTTCAGGATATTTTGAAGATCGGTGGATACATGGGTCGGATGCTTTGCAGAGGCGTCGAAAAGAGGCACCGGGGGCTGCGATTTCGGTGGGGGCGAATTCGCATTGGGCCCTTGATGTTCGGAGTCCGGGTTTCCACGAGGTGATGGCTGGCTGCTATTGTCACCCTGTTGCGTGTCTGGGAGATGCTCTTCTTGCGATACACGGTCCGGGTACTGGGTCAGATCGGGGAATTCATGCCGCATCCCGTGGCCCGCCACAGGACTTTGCGTGTAGTTTTGGAGGACGGACGACTGCTCCGACGACTTCTTGTCGGACGTGGTCTGGGTGGTGGAAGCTTCGTTGGTATAATCGTGCGGCTGCGATCCGGGAGCCATCGGCGTCATTGGGCCCTTTTGCGACAGGCTCGACAGGCCTGATTCCCGTCGCACTTGCTGCGATGGTGCCGTGTGTGAATACGGCGGCTTTGGCTGAGCCGATGGGCCAAACGAGCTAGTCTGTGTTTCTCTCTCGCCCGAGTGGTCTTCGGAATTGGTCATGTAAACGTCCCCGTCTCCATCCGGTCGAGACAGGTGAGACTCATTGCTCGTCAGTGCATGGGTACTTAGGTCATTCAGGTCCGACCCTCCGCCCCCATGATACCCGTTGGTCATGTAACTTAAGTTAGAGCGCCGTGTCGGGGTGACCGGCCTAGCTTGCCCGCTAGGCGCAATAACTGGGAAAGATTCACCTAGCACCACAGGTCCAGTCGAGGGACCGGACTCTGTATTGCCATGCGGAACGTTGTGGTTGGTGGCCTGGCGGCCGATGAATGCATCCTCCTCCTCTTCAGCCTGCTTGGCCTTTTGCATCGCCACCTTCTCGCGCTCTAATTCTCGAAGATAGACATTTTCACACTCCATCATCAGCTGGGGCTCCGCTTGCTCAATGGTGGCGACATCGACTTCAACGTTAGACAGGAGTTCATTCGCTCTTAGGAGCCTCTCCTGGTCGCCTAGTTGCCGGGAATCCTTGGTCATTCGTTTGATATCTGCCAAAAAGTCTTTGGGTCGCTTGTAATAGCCATTGGAGAGACGTTTCTCGATAGTGACAATATCCATATTGTAGAAGAATTTGCCCGAAACCGTCTCCCGCAGCCCTAGGACTCCATGCTTGTCGTGAGCCTTCTCAAACGGTCGAAACGTAGCCTTTCGTTGTTCAATTGGCAAGTCACTCGTGACAATATTCGGGTCATCTTCCTCCCACAGGTATCGGATTTGGGATTCATCGATCACACCGGTCCTGAACCGCTTGTATTTCTTGATTTGGTCCATGATGGGCTGGATGCGAATCTTCAAGAGATTAAGTGTCTGATGGTCCTTCTTCTTCTGGGATTTGAGCTGTTCTTTAGAGGGCGCAGCGTCTGCATTTGGCGGCGGCGGCGGCGCAACTTCCAATGTTTCGAGTTCCCTCGGTTTGCGGTTTTCTGGGTCGGGGAAATGCACCGGCGAAGTCTTGATGTACTCTATTACCTTGCTGAAAAATTCTAGTCTTGCAGCGTGCCCAGGCGCTTTCAGCTCAAAGAAGTTTCGCTTCGAAAACCCAAACAAGTTCCTCACTAAACCGGTGTCTATATCTTCGCCGCTCGACTCTTGAACTCCCAATAGCAGAACGGGATCGGTAGGGGGAATCGATCGTAACAATCCAAGGAACGTAGAAGTAACCGCCGGTCCCACGGTATCTGACCAAGTCTGGAGATTTGGGATGTAAATCACACTCGGTCTGTGTCGTTTCACTTCTGCGAAGAGCTGTATAACAGCTGCTTCGGGGCTCCGAGTTGAGTCGCTGAGGAGGGTGGGGAGGTCGAACGATTGGACATGCAGCCCCTCGAAGTAATGCAAAAGAGCGGCAGCCAAGTACTGCTGGCCCATGCCTAGGGGTCCGCGGAGCAACATTCTAGGCCGGAAGACTCGCGAACGATCGAAATCTTGCTGCATCTGCTCGTGTCGGAAGCTTCCAGAGTCCTCGGGTTGCTCAAATTGTGCCTCTTCCAAGGCAGTTAGTCTCTTTCTCTGGGGAAGGATTTCGGACACTTGGTTCCTGAGATCACCGAGAGGATCACGTAACAAAGGCTCAACTTCCTTAGGTAGCGGCGAGGCACCAGATGAAGTGGACCGTTCCGACGACGGAACCATCTTCTTGATGGCTATCATGAAGTCTTTCGGAGTAACATCAATGTTCTTTGGATCAATTACAAGCTTCTTATCAGATTTGTAGATCTGGGGGTACCGCCTTTGGACTGCGTTAAGGGCAGCCTCTGTGCAGAGAGCACGAAGATCGGCACCTCCATATCCCTTGGTGATCTCCGCCAGCTCGTTCTTAATGTCATTAGGAAGAGGGGGATCCCAGCCTTTCGTGTGGATGTCTAAGATGGAACGACGGCCTTCAGCATTTGGCAAGGGAAAGTAGAACTCTCGGTCAAATCGACCAGGACGCCGGAGGGCAGGGTCGATGGAATCGGGGCGGTTCGTTGCTCCAATGACAATCACTTGACCGCGACCATCCATGCCGTCCATAAGGGCAAGAAGAGTCGAAACGATAGAAGCATGTATCTGCTCCTGTTTGCTCGATCTCACGGGTGCCAGGCCTGATTTGAGAGTCAGCAATGTTTGGTTTCATTGTCCTGCGTGGGACACCCAGTCTACTCACCATCGATTTCATCAAAGAAGATAATACTAGGCTGCGTTTTGCGCGCCTCGTCGAACAGCAACCGGAGCTGCCTCTCGGCCTCACCCACCCACTTACTCAGGGCATCTGCGCCCTTCCTCATATAGAAGGTGACCTTCCGGCCTTCGGAACTGACACTATTCGCCAAAGCCCTTGCTAAGAGGGTTTTACCCGTTCCAGGGGGCCCATGAAAGAGGACTCCTCGGGGAGGCGTAATGTGGAAACGCTGGAAGATCTCCGGATACAACAACGGCAGGGAAACCATTTCCTTGAGTTGATCAATGTGACCCTGAAGACCTCCGACGCTATCGAAATTGACGGTCACGTCGACCCCCAATGGATCCGCATCGGCAAGTGTCTGTTTATCCTTAACCTTGCCAAGATTCGCAGGCGTCCCTGAAGGACCTTGCGCGGCGTCGGCGGAGTGAGTTTGAGTATTGACCAAGGCAGCACCAGACGCTAATCCGCCGGCACTCTTCGGATGTTGCATGACTTCGTCATCGCTACTGTCACTGTCAACGCCTCCCGTGGCGGCCGGGGCGCCAGGGGGGGCAAGGATGGCAGACGGGCCGCCGCCGCCGAAAGGTCCATACGTAGGGAACAGGGTGCGTTGCCAGCCCCCGCCGCCGCCGCCTCCCCGGCCACGGCGCGAAGGAGATTCATTGACTTCATTCTCGGCCTCCTCGATGGGCAAGACAAGGTCGGGACGAATAATGCGATAGTCGACATCTTTTCTGCTCCGACGAGGTTTTTCATAGACGATATCTGTCTGCAGTCTCCTCCGTGGCCGGCCGCCTCTGAGATCCTCAAGCTCTTCGGCGAGTTCCTCCGCGATATCGGCCCCTGCCTCAGATTGTCCACGGGATCGAGACGGTCTTTTGCGCAGGCCCGGCCGTCGGCTGACGACGCTGTCCTCCTCCTCTTCATCGCGAGCCTGACTAGCTTTGCGTGGAGAAGGCTGCGATTTGCCCGACTGGGATATCTCATCTTCGTCGTTGGATTCTTCCTCTTCGGGTTCAAAATCACTTTCATCTTCGTTCTGTCGCTTGCGCTGAGAGCTTTTCGGTTTCTTGCGGCTCGAACGACGAGGCTGCTGGCTTTCGGCGTCGTCTTCCTCCGGTTGTTCGGCCTCCTCGACATGTTGACTTCGACTGGGCCTGTTTCTTCGTCGTGTCACTGGTCCTTCGTCGTCCTCATCCTCGTCCTCGTCGTTATTCTCACCGGCTTTAGCATCCCCGTTTTCGGATTCGGGCACAAAACCGACGTCTGCGCCAGGCGCTCCCTGCTCTGCGGGAACACTGTCCTCGAAACTAACTTGGACGTCGCTCTCCATGATCTCAAGCTGGGAGCCTCGCACTTCCATCGTCGTCTCGTCAATATACTCCTCTTGCTTCGTTTGGCTCTCTTCCTCTTCCTCCTCCACCACCGGGGGCTGTTTGTGGGCATGGGAGCCACGACGAGGTCGCCGTACCGCCTCGGCTTCCGGGCTGCGAGTACCTCGCTCAACCATCTCCATATGTCGTCCAGAGTTCGTAAGAGCGTAGATGTCTTCCGACGCGCCACGAGTACGCCGCGTCATCCGCCGATTCCCGTTGTCCACAGGCGGCTGTCTCTTAAGAGCATCGCCAACTTTCAGCCTCACTACTGTGCTCCTGCGTTTCTTGGGCGGGGAAGCGGGTTCTATGTCATCATCGTCTTCATTTTCCACGCTGCTGGACTCTTCCTCGTTGTAGACTGGTCGATTTGTGGCGGCCCTTCGCGCGACTAGGCCTCTTGCATTCCTTTGGGCGTTCAGATCCTCCTCATCATCGTCGGACTCCTGGAAAGAGAGCTCATCTGCGTCGCTCAGCATATCTTCGTCCGAGATGATATCGTCGTCTGAGCCGCGGCGAGCCTTTTTCTTTGCGGGCTTCGACTTCTTTTTCGATTTCGATTTCGATGCCGAGCGTCGAGACGAGCGGACGGGGTGATCGCTGTAATCATCGTCGTCGGAATCGGATTTGTTGGCCAGCTCCTCAATGGAGCGCTTGAAACGGGCCATCGTGTCACGGAAAGATGAGTCGGGTTAGATGATTCTTCCTGCTTTCTGTGGTATCAGCAGGCGGGACGTCACTTTCAGTCAAACCACAGCAATGGGATGAGGATGAATCAGATCCTCCGAAAACATCAGGAGTGAATAATGAAGCCGGTTAATCAAGAGCTTACTGACAGTGGTGTGGGTAGGACAATGGAATCAGTGAATCAGATCGCTGGCAATAGCTTGGTTCGCGGACGGAGACCCAAACAGGTACCTCCCAGTCAGCAAACAAATTAACAATGACGGACAGCTATCTTCATAAGAAAAGAATGACAATGAAGTTCCAGATGCACTTGAAAGGTGCGCAACAACAATTTGGAGGAAAGTTCCGATCAGCCGATGACCGTGAGGTGGGAGTGAGTGGATGGGGGGCAACGGCGAAGCGCAAAAGCGCAGGGCCCCGGGGGCAGAACAACAAGCAAGAAATCTCACAACCGAGACCCAGGAACGCGTCGCATACAGCGATTCAGGAAGAATTGACGAATCACACGATAACCCACGGTAGAGGCAGCGAGGCGGGGGACACAGAGAGAAAGCTCGCAACAACGATGCTAGACGATGGGACAAGATCGAAGGGCGGAAAGACTCGCGCCTTTTGCCGGGTCGCCCGTCAGCCACAGCAAACCTCAGGCTCGCGCGGCCCACAAGCCACCGCTAGTGCTCCAAGGGGCCTAGCGCGGCCAGGGCGGGCGGCCACAGCCAGGGTGCACGTGCCACCATCCCGCGTCATTTCGGCCAATTCTGCCCTTCTGGACGGGCCAGACAAAACTCCTCTTTGCTGGCCGTTTAACGACGTCTTTAGGCCCTCAAACCCTCCCCCGCGACATCCCGTAAAACCCGGTGTAATTCTCTCATTTGTAAGATCCACAGCCAAGATAGACCCCGGCGCGTCTTTTGACACCAATTTGACGGAATTTCGGCGTCGTTCGGCCCACGAGCCAGGGGTGTCTGTGAGCGACGAGAAGGAGGAAAGAAAGATGGACAGGAACATGGAGCTCTGCCCCAGCTTCTCGAAGCTTATCGCCTTTTGGCTCCTCCCCGCCGGTTCGACCTCAGGCCTTGATATCATGTGCCGGCTGACTCAGCGCGCCCTACCGTGTTCGTTCCCGGTCGGGCAGTTGGCGTTAAAGCGGCGCCCGTCCGGTCCGAAATCCAGAGTTTAACCAACATCCGGACAAACTATCTTACCTACTTCCATCGCTGCCGGATTCTAGATCTTGCGTGTTCCCTTGTTTCTATATCCATTATTCTAGTGGATCTTTGCTCTTCTATTCCTTCCTCATCCCCCCCAATCTCCCATACCTCAATCATGTTATCACGGGCTGCCACTTCTCGGTTCTTCACCGTTGCATTCCCTGCCACTCGCAGGTCCTTTACCACGTCTCGCACCCGATTGAATGCTTCCAACGAACCCAGCTCGTTCAAAGAAGGGGTACGTATGGTCTTCTTTTTGCTCGGTCTGGCCCCAATGGTGCAAGCATCGGCTTTGGCTACCTGCCACGGGCGAACATGGGAATTAACATCGTATATGTACAACTCTATATACATGCATCTGAAACGATTCAATATTCCGTTCTTAAATATCCGCTAACAAATCCAATTCCAGCTGTCACGATACAAGCTCTTCGTGGGCCCCTTCTCCAAGGTCTTCCTGGGAGCTATCTTCACGTACCAGGTCATCTACTGGACGTGGCTAAAGCTTGAAATGGACGAATCCAAAGTCGAAAAGAACCGTATGTAACTCACTTGCCCCCCCGCATGAACCCACTTGTTGACAAAGCTGAACTAACCGATGATAGAAGAGGTTGCGGAACTGGAAAAGAAGGCCAGGGAACTGACCAGCTCGAAAAAGTAACAAAGGCGGCTTTTATGCACTCGGCAGAATCTCTAGCAAGTTCTCCTTGATTGTATTGTATATATATACCCAACTCCGTTGTTGTTTATTCATTCAAAAGATATCTCCTTTTTTGCTTCCTTCTTGCTTCCTTGGAGCTGCCTTAACCTGTGATTATTTGGTGGCCACTGTAATCCAGAAGGGCTATATACCATAAATTCAGCCCGAGAATTTGCAAATCGATGCCACTATCTGCTACGGGCTCCGAAGATACCAGTTCTACATGGTCGGCGCAAATGATAAGCGGGTGCATGTAATGAACGCAATGGATAGAGGATTAACCGACTTCGTATTATCACGTTATTCAGCTACACATCTCGTGGTCTCCAGATTGGATGGCGAGGCCTAGGTTTTAGACCTTTTCTCTATACTCAAACTCCGATCCTTGCGACCGTGACAGAAACCCGGTGTGGGCTGGGGAATGGGAAGCTTTCGCTTTCGCAAGTTTGCCGGCCCTGTTGATCGGTACAGCGCGGCGGAAGACCTGTCCGGAAGACAATCCTGGAATGGCTGAAAAGGTAGTCCCCGACTATTGTCGTGGCCGGTCACTTCAACTTCGTCTTGCAAGCCATCGCTGTCGGAATGATAGTAGTCGCTTCCGGAACTGCCGTCGCTATTGTCGCCTACGGCGAGCTCGCCGTCAGCCTCGATTGCGTCCGCTACGGCTTTCCTCTTCTCCTCCTCGCGCATCCCTTCTTTAGTGGCATGTCCGGAGGGGAGAAGCCAATCCCCAATTCGTTGCCCTTTCTTAAAATGCTCGCTATCGATGTGGTTGAAACGTTCGTTCCAAGCCGCAAGACCTTGGTCCATGAGGGGAACAATATTTCGGCAGAAACCACACCAGAACTGCGATTGGCCGTTGAGCTGCGACTGATCGCTCTGGCCGATGCAGTTCTTATGGATTGCTGCCCGCACGTCATCGTCGCCCGCGTGATGGTGCCCTTTCAAGTGTTGAATGTATATCTCTTGCCGATAGAACAAGCGAGCGCATTGCAACCCCCCTTGCGTGACATCATGCAAGGTGCAACGCCAACTCTGCCGAAGATAATGTTGCGAGTTCTCGTGACGCTTCCAGTCAGCTTTGCTGCCAAAAGTCTTGTTGCACTTGTGAAAGGTGCAACCATACGGTCGTTCATGCCGCTTCTTATGTTTTCTTGAGGGTGGCAGGTCAGAAATCTCCTCTGCCAGTGGGGAACGAAGTTCCTTACTTCATTTCGCATCGCAAGCGCGTGCGTTTCGAGCAGAACTCACACTGGATCCATTTCTTCTCGTTTGTGTTGTCGACTGGCGCCGCATGGGCGTTGGCCTGATCGCCATGGCTAGATAGCTGATCCAAAGCGGTCGATAGTATCTTCTGTAATACCTCGCGCTTTCGGTCGGATAGCTCGTGCTGATCACCAATTTCACTTGCAACGTCCGCCTGTTGGCTTCGCCTTCGTTGATTACTATTCATGATCTTAGTCATGGCATTTATCATGTTTCCAGCCGCCTCAGTTATCATGTCGTCCATCTTGTCGTTTCGGGTATTTCCTCGACTGGCAGACAGTGATGATTTCCTATATTGAGACGAAGATTCCGTCTTGGCTGTTGTTGGAGCGGATAAATCGATGGACTCGGAAGCGTCAGACATAGACTGCCGCGAGGCATGAAAGCGTTCGGGGTTGGGTGCAGCAACGGTGTCATAGGTAGAATCCAGGATCAAATTTCCGAATGAACGCGAGACCTGTTCGTTCGGAACCATGCTAAAGCTGTCTAGAGTGGGCTCCGTCGGACACTCCAGCTTGGGGTCTTGGTTGGTCTCCATGGCATATTTGACCTCTGGTAGATGTTCGGCAATGGAAGTTGTCATTTCTTGCGGCTTGATGTACGTCTCATACCACTCATGCGACCTGCATAGGACACAATTAATTTCTGGACGGCCCCGAAATCAGACGGAGACGAGGCTAGAACACAACGCACCTTTTCAGCAAATCATCGATGTCCTCATCATGATGCATCCTAGTCAGGTGCTGGCGGAAGTTATCTAGCCGGGGCCATCTCTTGTCTTTGCGCGGACAGTTGTGCCCAAAGCACATGAACAGCATTTTGGGACCGCGTTCCGGATCCTGTTTGTGAACGCATTTCTTGTGACGTGCAAGGTCATTGATCGTCCCGAACCCCTCTTTTCGGGGGCAATGTGGCTCATCGCACTTGAACAGTTTCCGATGCCTCGCTTCGTGTTTCCTGCAGCGAGAGATTAGCCTAGTCGCTTTGCGTCTCAGGGCAGACGAGAGGGGAAAGAAGAGCAGGTAGCGCACCTTTTGTCGGAAGGACACTTGCCAGTCCATGGGCAACCTGAATAATCACATCCGATTATATCAGAGCAGATAAAAGGCTGCGTTTCGATTCTCTCCGGGACCTCACATCCTTGTTCGCCGTAGCGTTGGACGTTGAGGTCCCAATTAGGTAACCTGTCCTCCGATTCAAGCTCATGGGGTGCAAGAGACGGGCTGTAGGCTGGCTCGAAGGCTTGGGATGACGTTGTTACCGAGCGCGAGGCACAACTGTGCGTACCGTACCCGGAGTCAGATGGGCGGATGCCCGTGTATTGACTGTCATTTTCAGAAGGCGTGCTTTGCTGGCCGGTGGAGTGCCTGCGATCAAACCCGCCCATCTGCGTCGTCTCCCCAAAATGCCGAAGGTCAAATTGGATCGGGTTGACGGACATTGCCGTCACCTGGAGTGGGCTCCAGGCATCCTGATTATTCACCAGTCGTGCATGGCGATACTGGAGATAATCGAACCGATGAGACGAAGGCGACGATGGCAGATTGTGATGGGAAGGCCACGGATTCAGGATAGACGCATGGTCGTGAGGAAAGATGTCCGGATCCGAGCTGAACTGCATTCCAAGGAAAGAAGTCGGGTCACCCAGAGCAAGGTCGGACGGCGCTGCCAGCCCGTCCGATGAAGGGTCTGAGTGGGAGGACGTCGAGATAACGCGAGTGCCCATGATCCCCTGCAGGACGTCGCCAGAGCTTTCCCAATAATGATTGGAAGCCGGGTCCTTGATGGAGGAGCCGAGGTAGTTAGCATTTTCGATGCTCTCGAGATGGCATATTGCCAAGACATTGGAGGACATACACTCATTACTAGGTATCGTTGCGGAACAGATAAAGCGGATGTACGAGGGGGACAAAGAAGACGAGACTAACGGGAGGGAGTGGCAATAGAAAGATAGAAGAGAAGGACGACGAGGATGGAAATAGAGAATTAGAAACAGTCCACGGACAGTAGATGATGCAGTGCAATCAATCGGAAGGTATCCGTAGTAGATGGACGAAGTGAAGTGGAGTGTAGCGTGACAGAGGATATAAGGCTGTTGATATACTCGGTTTGGGGGGGGGGGGGGGGAAGAGCTGGACTTGTACGCGGCTGAACGTCGCAGGGATTAGATGTTACCACAAGCCATTAGTCCCCGGTCTGTTTGTTTGTGTACCTGACTTGTTTTTTTTCTTCTTTTATTTTTTTGCTTCTTTCCCCTTCGCGTGTTTTTTCTCCCTATTTATCTTCCAATTCCCTCTAAATTTGACCCTTCGGCACTCCGTACGTCAGCCGGCGATGAAGGGTCAAGACACGAGAAAACAAGGTCATATCAAGCCACCGACCGTCGAAGAGTGGGGGGAATGAGAAGAAAAAAGTAGAAGAGGGAAATAAAAAGAAACAATAATATATTTTAGCTCATGATCGTCAGCTCCGCAGCTCCGGGGATAGTTTCATGAATGGGCCAAGAGAAACGAGAACCGGTAAAAGGGGCATACATAGATCGATAGAATAGGGAAATCAAGAAAAGGCGAGACAAGAGAGACAGCGAACGGACACGGAGTACGGAAAGATAAATAATGATCGACCGGTGCTCACCCTCCTTTGTAGCTTGATTGTTGCTCAACCCCACGGGATAACGTGTTCCGGTATGATGAATGAATAGTCTCCGGGTAGAGCTCGCTCGGAGTCAGGAAGCGATCCATCGATAATTATGTAACTTGAAAATCATCGACCCAGTACGGTGTATGTCCCACGTCAGAGTTGAGAGAGAGAGAGAGAGAGAGAGAGAGTATGAGAGAGAACAAAGCTGTCAGTCGGTCATCCGTCTCTCTCACACACTTCTCAGGCTCGCACACACTCACAACACATTCTCACTTAGTCTCTCTCCCCAGCAGCCACCGAGCAGCGTCATTTGCTCGTCGGCTGGCACCCGCAGGTCGACGACGTGGGTTGGCTGCAGAACCGCAGCCCTGCTCCTCTCTTCCCTTCCCTCCCTTTCGGGATTCCATGCGATAGTTTAAAAGAGAGGGAGGGAGAGAAGGCGCGAGAGGAATGGAGGAGTCCACCCGATTAGGAGAGAGGTGCCAAGGGAATCATTCGTCAGCGCCAAATGGCGGAAGAATCCGACAAGAAGCCCGGAGAAGGGAAGAATCAAGAGAGCAAAAGACGCAGGCGGACGTAAGGTGTCGAGGCCGCGCGCGAGACCATGTGATTGGCGACCTGCAGGCCCAGAGAAAGTCATGCCTTTCCTCGAATCAACTTACGTACGACCCGTGGCTGTGCCTGTAAGGGTACGAGCACTCCGCTCAGCCTGTTATTCTTCATTATTGTTATTATTGCCGCCTGCATGCCAATATGATGGGAACTCAGTCATCTTGGCTCAATCCCGGGCGTCGATCGTGGAGCAATGGCCATCACCGAGTTCACCAGCCCTTCTGTCAGTCTCCTAAGAATGGGAATAGGATCAATCAATCGATCAATCTACGGAACGTCCCACCGAGTCTGGAACCGGAAGACAGGACTCGCGCATCCGGCCGATGTGATGTCTCATTTTTCTTTTGCGTCCCCCCCCCCCCCTGGTCCCAACCTGACAGGTGCGCCGTCTACGACTAGTCGCCTGCATCTTCCCCATCTGCCAATCACATCCCAATCTATCCATTGCGGGAGGGCTGGATGCTGGAAATCTCTCTCGGTATTGCGGATTTGGGATAGAGAAGCGCACAGCTGGAATTTGCATACATATCAAGGGATAGGACCCACTCTCATGAACACCGAGAAAATATCTCTACGGACAAAATCCCCAAAAGATGTGCAAAATATTGAAAGGATGCCAAATTGCGGGCCACATAACAGAGAGGTATGATTCATGGGTATATGGTAGAGGTGCACAGATCAAACATGACATCAATTGATATAGAAAAGGGGGCAAGAGACAGGGCCCCCACACAAGAAGAAAGACAAATGAGAAACAAAAGGTTACTAATAATAAAATAAAAAAAAAATTCTGAAACATGTCCGCCATCAAATGTGGCTGATACATGAAGAAAACTCAAACAGGCCGTTAAGAAGTTTGATCATAGTCCGTGCTTCGGGTATCATGTACAAGAAAGAACCCTAGATTAACCGCGGGAAGGTCAAAGCTGGGTGGGATATCCCCCACAAGGTTCAAAGACCATGTTCTGAACCAAGGGGCCTTGGCTAGGATAGCCATTTGCCGCTGCAGATGACATGTACGGCGGCCCCTGTTGGAGGTTATAGGTCGGGTGCGTCTCCGTGGGAGATGTGGAGACTTGGTATGATTCGGGCAAGACACTCAGGTTGGAATGGGCCCGCGGTCGCGGCCCCGCGTTGAACGGAGGAGGATATGTCACTGAATTCTGATGCGTGGACACGAATCGCGACTGGTCCAACGGCCCCCCTGGCGCCAGTTCCACCGACGGCGCCCCATATGTTGGCACATCCTCGTACGCGTCCATCGGTTCCGGTTCAGCGGAGAGGAACCCATTTGTCAAGTTGGGGACGTAGGTAGGGTGGAAAGGAACCGCCAGCCCCCCGTTCTCTGCCCCAGCAGAGAAATGTGGCTGTGTAAGAGTCATCGAAACGTCGGCCTCGGTCCCGCTGAGATTGGGAGCAAAGCTGGTGCTAGGCAGATCGGTCTTGCCCCCTATGATCAGGCCAGGGTTAGACGAGAGATCGCGTTCGTTGACGAGCCCCAAGACAGGCATCGCAATCTGCTCCATGTGCTTGGCCAGATGCACCGTTAGCTTTTTCCAGCTGCTGCAAATGTTGCCGCAGAACCGACACGGCTCCTCCTTGGGCGACTTCGGGGTGTCATGGCGGCATCGCTCCACCAGGTCCCAGAGCTGTTCAATCTCCCGCTCGCGGTTTTGTTCGTCCTGGGCGTCGGCGCCCCCCTTCCCCTTGGTCTTGGTCTTCTTGATCTTAGGCTCAGGCATCTTATGCTCCCGCACCAGATGCTGCACAAAATTGTCTTTTCGATAACACGTGTGGTGACAATCAGGGACGGTGCAGGTCCACCACTCAAGTTTCCGATGCCGTTCGCTCTCGTGTCGGACCCAGTCAGCCTTCCTCTTGAAAGATTTAGGATCCGTACAATGGGGAAATGTGCAGGTGAACGGCTGCACATCCTCGTGGACGTGTTTCGTCCAATCCGAGGGTTTCTGAAACTTTTTCACCTGGAAGCACACTGGACACTCGAATTCGGCCGGCAGGCGCTTAACCGGGGGCAATGGCACGCCAGACGGGAACTGGGCTGCAGTGACGGCCCCTTCCCCAAGGGTCTGGGGGTCCTCGTCGGCCTCACCATGCCCGGGAATTTGGAATTGGGTGTGCGCCGCGTCCGGATCCTGAGGACTTGTGCGTGGGGCCAAGAGGGTAGCCTCGCCACCCTGGGCGAAGCAGTATTTACCTGCGGCGCATCTGTTCTGTTGAATGGCACGGCTGTGACTGAGTTTGCTGTCTACCAACTTCTTGTATCGACGAAGCTGCTCGTTGGCAAAACGCTCGATCAATGCCGACGGAAGCCGAGGATTCAGTTGCGTGATCTGGGTTCTAAACCCATCCAGCGTGGGCACCGGTAGACGCGCTTGCACAGGGAACTCCATCACCAGCGCCTTCTCATCCGCCGCGTCATCGTCCTCATCGTCATCGTCCGCCGGTTCCTGTGCCGGTCGGGACTGCGATACACCGCGGCTGCCGGGCTGGGGCGAGTATGCAATATTAGCGACCGGCGGGCCGCCATGGCTCGTCATTAAATCAATCAGTCCAGGGGCCGATGCTCTAGGAATTTCACTCCTGCTTCTTCCCCGAGCTTTCAGAGAGGACCAGGGATTATGTGTCGAGCTGGGAGATGCCACCCGCATAGAGTCCTTGCCCCCGATAGCAGCCATCTGGCCCGCTATAGCGATGACGGCACCTCCGGTGCTGAGGCTGGGCGACCGAGAACGGCCGAGGCTTAGTTTCCGGTGTGGGAAACTGTCCTTTCTCTGAGGGCTTTTGTGCTCATCGCCTTTACTGGCGCGGTCGGGGCTGGGGAGCGCGAGTGAGAGGTCCGACAGATGCCGTTTGAGTGTATTGGATGGCTTGCGTTGCAAAAGCTTGCGAAGGCTACTTCGTCGCTGATGTTTCTTGTTCTCACCATCGATAGACAGGTTTTCAAAGGAGCCTCCGGCGCCTACGATACTGTTGACCTCAGCCTCGCTCAAGGGCCGCGTGCCCCAAGTCGCCGATCGCGAGGCCGTGTCAATATCCCGAGCCCGTCGTTGAAACTCCACGATCGCTGCAGTGGAGCTCTGGGGTTGTAAGCGAATGTTTCGAGGGGTGGAATCGTGCGAGGCGTCCCGCCATGGAGGGGCTCCTAAAAATTGATGAGGGGACGGCTCTTCATCCTGGGACAGCTGCTGCTCGAGGATTGAGGGGCTCTCTGCATCCTCTTCAACCCATTTCGCCTCGTCCACAGGCACCGCGGGGGAGTCAGAGCCGCTTCCCTCGATCATTGATTCGTATTCGCTGTCCTCATCATCGCTGATCTCATGGATGAGAATTCCTGGGCCTGGAAGAGTCACTGATTTCAGATTGAAGTAGTCCTGTTGGGACGAGGGATCGCCGGCACTTTTGGCTCGACGCCTGGTGCCTGTTGGGCCTCGACGGCCGCGATGTGTGGGAGCGTCGTCTCCCGCCTCACTATTAGCAACGCTTACAGAGGCCGACCAGGAGCGAATGTCGGCGTTCTTTTCGTCCAGCTGGCGCTTCAAGTCCATCTGATTGGGACTCGGGACGTACGTGTCGTCTCTCGAGATAGGGTCGACACCGGCCTGGCCGGTAGTTGCATTAGGTACCCATGACCCATCGTATGTCCGTGAAACGGAAGGGGCAAAGTTGTAGCTGTGATTGCCCTCCATATCTTCATCATCCGAATCGCTGCGTCCGTCGTTCGGGGACAAATGCGTGGACGACTGGCTAGGTCGTCGCCGCGCAAAGAAAGTATCCCGAACAGGCGAGTCCCCTCGGGAATAGCTTTCTACCTTCACTATAGGACTCCGCGCTCGAGCCGAATCGGGGGCGTCGTGGACGCTCAGACTGTCCATTGCCGAAGTGGTATTCAACCAGAGCGACTGGGGAGGATTGGATCCGGCGCCAAAGTGATTTGACTTTTTCGTAGTCGACATGTCGGGAGAGGGAGTGGGGTTGTTCGTGAGATTGGGGGTCAGTAGCTGGGATGGATGCCTGGTCCCCAGCGGGGAGGTCAACTCGCTGGTGTCCCGGACGGCCGGGTGCATATCTTGCTGCCAGCCATGGGAGTTGGGTGGCAGATCCGCATTGAAGCCAACGGGAAGATAGGCAGCGCTCGGAGACGTGTGCGCGCTCAGATCACTAGAGAAATCATCCACAGGGCTCAGGAAATCGGAATAAGAGGCGGGATGGTGGTGCTCCTGGTCGTAGTCACCATTCCCATGGAGCTCCATTGGGGACGAGACGTGTTCATCGCCATTTGTCGGAGTGAATCTAATGGCCGAGGACTTGAAGGAGGCTTCCTCCGGGTCCAAAGTGGCGGACAGATAAGGATCAGATAGATTCGCGTCATGTAGCATCATATTAGCGGGAGAATCATCTCGGATAAATTGAGGAGATAAGGTCGACATGGTTGCGAGGAGCCAGACGGCGAGGTCTTTTCCCGCTGGAAGATGGAGATCTAGGTCGGCGCGGCGTTTCTCTTTTTATTTTGCTCCCACTAAGAGGGAAGGAAGATCCCGATTCAAAACGAATGCAGTTGACCAAGACCGGAGCGGAGAAATTGTGGACGAGGAGATAAGACAGTCAAACACATTCAAATTATGGTAGAAGACACCGTGCACACATGTCTAGGGAAACCGGGGCGCATAAAATGAGAAATAATACAGAGTCGCGAAATCAAAGAGAGCCAACCGGTTCATCTAAGAAACGACATTGATTGACACTTTCCTAGGCATCAATTCTCCGACATGACGTATGTAGGCGCCAGCGATATGGGGACGGCGGAGATTAAGTTGAAGGGGAAGGAAGGTGGGGGGAGGGAAGGAAGAATAAGCACGATAGCAGTCTGAACTGGTAGACACGGTGGTTATGTGCTCGGTTGGTTAATAAGAAGAAATCAAGTGGAGCAAGCAGTAAGGCAAAGGGTAGAAGAGAAGAAGAAATGCGATCTCGAGTCAAAAAGTGCCTGGTAGGGCCGAATGCCAAAAAAGTGGAAAGGGGGGGGGGAGGATGAGGCTCCGCCCGGATGAATAAGTCTTGAGTGCGGAGGGCTTATTTCCCTTTTCTTCTTCTCTTTTTTCTATATTTTGTAACAGAGAGAGAAAGAGGCGAAAAATGACAACACAAGAGGGAGGAATGGAGGGGAGAGAGGAGGCTGACAGGAAGCGGGAAAGGAAGGAGGGGAAGAAATAATGCGGTTTGAGGGCGAAGACGCCTTGCGGCTGAAGATGACGGAGAAGGAAAGCGCGACGGAGAGAGACTCGGAGAGGGAAAGAGAGAGAGAGAGAGAGGGAAAGAGAGAAAGAGGAAGGGACGAGGAGAGACGACGGACGAGGGAAGAGGGAAGGCGCAAAAGGGCCAAACCTCCGGGTTCGCATCATTCCACTGTCAACCGTCTTTCAATTAATCCTATAGAACATTGGCTTTCCAAGTCCCTTTCTTGTCTTTTCTTTCCATTAATATCTACCTCCATCTATCTATCTCCCGGTCTCTTCAGTCGTTGCATCCTCCTCACTCTCACGCCAATGTCGACATCCGTTAATCCGACCCCAGAATCTCCCCCAATCTTCAACGTCGTTCGTTCCTCTCGTCAGCAGTCGCCAGAGATTCCTCGACAATCCGCGATGAATGAATCCCTTACATTATTATGATGAAGGATTATTCTCAGTGGGCGCATCGATGGGGGCCGGGTGAATCCACTGTCGCACGTTGGGCGCGTCGCATTGGGCCGGTTGCCAACTTAGTCGCTCTTTAGTCGCCCTTTTGATCCGGTTTATTTTTGGCCCGTCGCGTTTCTGTCTCCCGTCACGAGTTTCATCTTTGCTGCTCGAATAAGCTGCAGTTCGCTTTCAGGGACCACGGTTGGGCATACCCACTCCCTCCACGGAGGAACCGTGGCTAACCCATTCGTGGACCAAGTCCTCGTTCAGGAACAGGCCTCTGGAGCCCTCATCTCAGGACCCCAAGAGGGCGTAAGATTCTATGTCTATCTGACACTTACGGTGTACTTCCAAAGACGGCGGATTAACGCAATCCGGTCTAGTAGACAGCCTTAAGGACTGACGATTCGGATGATACACCCACTGTCAAAAACAATAATCCTGGTGCGATGCGACGTTGTCGATCCCTATTGTCTCTCCACGAAGGTGATACCTTTGAGGCGGTGTCCGAGGATCTTTCTCTTCCCTCTCTCTCACTCATACACACACTCTCTCTCTCTCTTCCTCCCATTCATTCTTGCTCTATAATTAGGCCCCTTCCCCGACATAGGAACTAGTCGGGTCTCTCTGGCCTCTACATCCACGCATCCATGCGTGCATTCTAATTGATCCGGGTATATTAGCTATCTACCGACATGGGAATGCTACACCTTTGTATGCACGATGCATGCTCCTTCATTTACCGGGTCGCAGGCTTGGGCGGCCACTGCCACCTTCCATCTCCAAGTCCAAGCTGGGTCCGGTCAGCCCTGTCTGGGGCTGTGCTTCACCGGTGAAACTTAGTCTTTTCTTCCCGGGTTGATCGTTGTCTCGCAGCTGTCGGAACAAGCTTTGTGCGCCTACGGAGTACTCGCCTTCGGGAGGCCTGACATCATAAGCCGTGGCTGTGTCAACCAGGACGATCGTTGCCAAGAACCCATCAATAATTCATCAATGATCTCTTCATCACGGTAAATGTCTAGGTACAGATATTATAAACGTGCATGTCATCAAAATATTTTTCATCCGTTACCGTATGTGATGGGGTGAGGGTGGGAAAATTAACACAGAAATTCGTGACGCAACCCCTCGCCGGAACAATAGAAAGGAAAGAAAAAACACATCACAAATTATACATGTTCGTCAGTTATGTCGCTGAAAGTGCAAGATCAGAGCATACATGGACCCGAAAAGACAGGGTTCTAGAAGACACAGGAGAAAGAGAAAAGAGCAAAACAAAGGAAGGAAGAGAAACAATATAACGGGACAGACAACAGGTCCGAGGGGGGCGAAGAAATACATATCAAGACGCTATAACAAAGGAAACCCAAATGAGTGGATGACGAGGCGCTTGAGTATGCACGGCCTCATACGTATGTAAACAGACACACACAAGTGCTTGATACATCAAAGCTCTTGCTTGTGGATCGCAATGGTTCCACCGAGAGGCATGGTCTCAAACCCGAACGTAATCGCCGTCACCGTTTGAGTCTGCGGACTTCTTTGCCAGTTCTTGCAGTCGGGCCATCACGACGGGGGAGTCAGAGTAGAGAATACCGCCTCGGGAGTAGGTGCACGGGCTGGCTCGTTCTTGGTCCTCGGCGAAGTCTTCGTGGGCCGCCTCGCGCATAAGGCGCGGGAAAGTACGGAGAATGACATGGCGACTGGGGTCGTTCTTGGAGCTCAGGGATCCTTCCTTGGCCATTCCGTATTCCTCCCAATCATCGTTAGAGACTCCGTCCGCATCGGGGGCCGGAAGCGATGCGAGGATGAGCTCCCGCTCGACTCGAGCAAGTCGCCACGTCTCGGCGGCCAGTTTCACGATCTTCCGAACATCAAGGACGAGCGTGTCCAAGTGGCGCGGATCGGCGAAATGCTTCAGGTGGTTGGTGATTTCGTCGACAATCACGGCGGCCACGACGTTGATCGATTGCTTAGCATCCGAGGTCGTATACGCAGCCTTCAGGGTCTGCTGCCGCCAGAATGCTTCACGTCTCACAGACTTGCGGCGAATATCCATCGAGAGAAGCTGGAAGAAGGTGTCGGCCTTGTCGTATCTTCGACCTAACGTGAACAAGAACGGATGGAAGATGCGGTAGGTCAGAGTTTTCGAAACGACGTGCTGCACGTACGCAGCTCGCAACTCGCGCGACGCCGGAGTATTATCAAGGAACGATGGCAGCTCTGATGGAATCTTAGAGAGGATGTCCTTGGGAGGATCAATTGGAAGGTACGCAAAGTGCTCCTTGGACAAGGAGACGATAAGACGAGAAAGCTGGCCGAAGCAGTCCAAACTAGATTTCGAATACGTATCAGAGCAGGTACATTTTTAACGTTACCGACATATCATCATTGACATCATGATCATCATAAATTCTATTAGAAATGACAGCGCAAGGGCATGCAAGAGACAATATAGAATGAAAAGAAAAAGAAACAAGAGAAGAAATAAGAAATGAGATGAAAAGAAAATAAACCCAAAATGAATGAATGTAACAATAAAATTCAAGACAAAGGAAAGGGATCAATGAGTGGAGTTTTTTTTTTTAAGAGTCATAGCTCTCGTTCACATCATGGTCAAAATCGAAGAGAGGAGGAAAGAGACGAAACATCACAAGAGATAAGAAAAGAAACATGCAAAGAAATTCGGGTACTAAAACACATTCTGAATGCATGTGATCACTTACAAGAATGAATCGGCCTTCGCGCTCTTGAGGTCGGTAGCTTCCCCAAGGCTGGTCAAGGTCTTCCTCAACCGGTCACAGTCATTGTCCAGGTTGTCAATAGTGGTGCGCATGCCTTCCACGGCAAGCTGGAGCTGCTTCTCTTTGACGACGCCGGCCTCCTCCAATTTCTTGTTCTCGTGCTCGCAGTTGGCAAGTTCCTCACACTTGTCTGAGTACTGCTTCTCCATATCGGCCTTCTCATCGGCCCATTGTTGCTCCTTTTCGCTAAATTGGGTCTCCATCTCAGCAACCTTCTCATTGTGGCTGTTGGTGAGGGATTCCATTTCGTCGGCATGAGTGGCTTGAAGGTCCTCGATTTCTTTGGCGTGTTGCTCGCGAGTCTCTTCCAGTTCCTGGTGCTTGTTCTCCAAGTCGGTCTTGGTCGACTCCAACTCGGTCACCTTGGCGTCATATTCCGATTGCAGAGTGTCGTAGGATTCCTGCATTTGCTGCTTCTCCTGCTCATGCTCCGCCTTCATTGCGTCCTGTTGGTCAAGCAACTCTTTCTCGCGGGCTGCCAAGGCCTCCGCCGCAGTTCGCTCGTCTTCGGCCTTGATCTCTTCGAAAAGTTCCGTCAGCTCTTGTTTCTGCGTTGCCAATGCTTCGGCCTGCTCTTCTTTGCGCTTCTCGAGCTCCTTTTCATGGGTCTCTTGCGCCTCCTGCATGTCGGCATTCAACGTCTTGATCTGCCCTTCCAGATCGGTATTCGACTGCGACAGCTCTTCATTGGCCTTCTCGGAATCTTCAAACCTTTCCTCGAGATCCTTCCGCTTCTCCTCGAGGTTTCCTAGTTCCATCCGGAGCTCATTGATGGTGTTCTTGAGGCGACTGGATTCTTCTGCGCTCTCATTCGCCGTCTTCCTCATCTGGTTCTGCAGTGCCTCGATGTAGAAATCCTTGTGCATCAATGCCTGCTCGTGCTGAGTCGCCATTTGCTTAAATTCAACCTCGCGGGCTTGCAGTTTGCCTTTCGTGTTCTTGTAG